CATAAACTTTAGTATAAGCCTATACTATAAGCCTTCACATAAACTTTTGTATAAGCCTACACTATAAGCCTTCACATAAACTTTAGTATAAGCCTGCACTAGAAGCCTTCACATAAACTTTAGTATAAGCCTACACTATAAGTCTTCACGTAAGCTTAAGTATAAACCTACACTATAAGCCTGCACATAAATTTTAGTATTTTAGTATAAGCCTGCACTAGAAGCCTTCACATAAACTTTAGTATTAGCCTAACCTATAAGCTTTCACATAAACTTTCTTTTAAGCCTACACCAGAAGCCTTCACATAAACTTAAGTATAAGCCTTCACTGAAACTTTCGTATAAGCCTACACTAGAAGCCTTCACTTAGACTCTAGTATAAGCCTGCACTAGAAGCCTTCACATAAACTTTAGTATAAGCCTAACCTATAAGCCTTCACATAAACTTTCGTATAAGCCTACACCAGAAGCTTTCACATAAACTTTAGTATAAGCCTACACTAGAAGCCTTCACTAAAACTTTTGTATAAGCCTACACTAGAAGCCTTCACATAAACTTTTGTATAAGCCTACACTAGAAGCCTTCACATAAACTTTTGTATAAGCCTTCACTAGAAGCCTTCACATAAACTTTCGTATAAGCCTTCACTAGAAGCCTTCACCAAAACTTTAGTATAAACCTGCACTAAAAGCCTTCACTTAAACTTTCATATAAGCCTACACTATAAGTCTTCACATAAACTTAAGTATAAACCTACACTATAAGCCTTCACATAAACTTTAGTATAAGCCTACACTATAAGCCTTCATATAAACTTAAGTATAAGCTTACAGTATAACCCTTCACATAAACTTTAGTATAAGCTTACAGTATAAGCCTTCACATAAACTTCAGTATAAGCTTACAGTATAAGCCTTCACATAAACTTTAGTATAAGCCTACAGTATAAGCCTTCACATAAACTTAAGTATAAGCCTACACTAAAAGCCTTGTCATAAACATTAGTATAAACCTATACAATAAGCCTTCACATAAACTTAAGTATAAACCTGCACTATAAGCCTTCACATAAACTTTAGTATAAGCCTACGCTATAAGCCTTCATATAAACTTTAGTATAAGCCTACACTATAAGCCTTTGCATAAACTTTAGTATAAGCCTACACTATAAGCCTTCACATAAACTTAAGTAAAAACCTACCCTAGAAGCCTTCACATAAAAATTAGTATAAGCCTACACTATAAGCCTTCACATAAACTTTATTATAAGCCTACACTATAAGCCTTCACATAAACTTTATTATAAGCCTACACTATAAGCCTTCACATAAACTTTATTATAAACCTACACTAGAAACCTACATAAACCTAAAGACATGTATAAATTTACACTTGAATCCATTCAAACATATTTAAGAATAATTTTACACTAGCATCCATTCACTTATACAAAGTAAACATTGGAAGTCATATACTGGTACTTAAATATGTTTACACTAAAAGCCATTGTCAAAGTACAAAGTAGAAGTTTATACTAAATACCATTCACAAATACATAGGTATGTACATTATTTCACACTTGGCAGCATGAAGAGGATTTCACTCATGATAGTTTGGAAGTTATTTCATTCTCTACTATATGTTAGGTGTTTAACACTTGGCAAATGTGAAGCGATTTCACACTTGACAGTTGAAGAGTGATTTCACATCTGATTGTATGGTAGTATTTCATAGTTTATAGTATGGTAGTGATTTCACAGTGGATAGTATGGGAGTTGTTTCACACTTGATAGTTGAGGAGTGATTTCACATCTGATTATGTGGTAGTATTCATAGTTTATAGTATGGTAGTGATTTCACAGTGGATAGTATGGGAGTTGTTTCACACTTGATAGTTGAGGAGTGATTTCACATCTGATTATGTGGTAGTATTTCATAGTTTATAGTAAGGTAGTGATTTCACAGTGGATAGTATGGGAGTTGTTTCACACTTGATAGTTGAGGAGTGATTTCACATCTGATTATGTGGTAGTATTTCATAGTTTATAGTATGGTAGTGATTTCACAGTGGATAGTATGGGAGTTGTTTCACACTTGATAGTTGAGGAGTGATTTCACATCTGATTATGTGGTAGTATTTCATAGTTTATAGTATGGTAGTGATTTCACAGTGGATAGTATGGGAGTTGTTTCACACTTGACAGTTGAAGAGTGATTTCACATCTGATTATGTGGTAGTATTTCATAGTTTATAGTATGGTAGTGATTTCACAGTGGATAGTATGGGAGTTGTTTCACACTTGACAGTTGAGGAGTGATTTCACATCTGATTGTATGGTAGTATTTCATAGTTTATAGTATGGTAGTGATTTCACAGTGGATAGTATGGGAGTTGTTTCACACTTGACAGTTGAGGAGTGATTTCACATCTGATTGTATGGTAGTATTTCATAGTTTATAGTATGGTAGTGATTTCACAGTGGATAGTATGGGAGTTGTTTCACACTTGACAGTTGAAGAGTGATATCACATCTGATTGTGTGGTAGTATTTCATAGTTTATAGTAAGGTAGTGATTTCACAGTGGATAGTATGGGAGTTGTTTCACACTTGACAGTTGAAGAGTGATTTCACATCTGATTATGTGGTAGTATTTCATAGTTTATAGTATGGTAGTGATTTCACAGTGGATAGTATGGGAGTTGTTTCACACTTGATAGTTGAGGAGTGATTTCACATCTGATTATGTGGTAGTATTTCATAGTTTATAGTATGGTAGTGATTTCACAGTGGATAGTATGGGAGTTGTTTCACACTTGATAGTTGAGGAGTGATTTCACATCTGATTATGTGGTAGTATTTCATAGTTTATAGTATGGTAGTGATTTCACAGTGGATAGTATGGGAGTTGTTTCACACTTGACAGTTGAGGAGTGATTTCACATCTGATTATGTGGTAGTATTTCATAGTTTATAGTATGGTAGTGATTTCACAGTGGATAGTATGGGAGTTGTTTCACACTTGACAGTTGAGGAGTGATTTCACATCTGATTGTATGGTAGTATTTCATAGTTTATAGTATGGTAGTGATTTCACAGTGGATAGTATGGGAGTTGTTTCACACTTGACAGTTGAAGAGTGATTTCACATCTGATTATGTGGTAGTATTTCATAGTTTATAGTATGGTAGTGATTTCACAGTGGATAGTATGGGAGTTGTTTCACACTTGACAGTTGAGGAGTGATTTCACATCTGATTGTATGGTAGTATTTCATAGTTTATAGTATGGTAGTGATTTCACAGTGGATAGTATGGGAGTTGTTTCACCCTTGACAGTTAAGGAATGATTTCACAGTTGACAGTATTGGAGTGATTTTACACCTGCCAGTATGGGATTTATTTCACACTTGACAGTCTTGGAGTGATTTCTCACTTGACAGTATGGAAGTGATTTCTCATTTGCCCATCTGACTGTGGGGCGATTTCACTTTTGTTAAGAATGAAGAGATTTCCACATTTGCCAGTATAAAGGATTTCACACTAAGCTATTTAAAAAGATATTTTTGAACACTGACTACAAATAGAGAGCAAGAAAAATTACTGTTTTTATGTCATTTTGACACTTGTATTAAGCTTAGTGGAATTTTAAAGTTAATCATTTATTATTTGTAAAGTTGTTTCTTTAGGATTGATTTATTTCAAAAATCATTTCTTGTGGAAACATAGAAAGTAATATAAAAAAAATACGTCATTTCAAGGTTCTATTTTCAGAAGTAAACTTACTTGATTTATAGAATATTTCCGTCAGTTATAATGTTATTGAAATTGACACGTTTCCATGAAAACTCCATATTTCAAACTTATTGGTTTTTAGCTCTAATTCAACTCTGCTGAATGTCAATTTGTATTTTATTAGTATGAATAAATTTTCTGTGATACTTTCATATTCATATAGTTTGAACTTGCCCTTGGGACTTGACATTTTATTTGTGTGCAAACAGACTTGAGTAATGTTTTTTCCTTTCAAAGAAAGGTTAAATTGTATATCCAGATTTGTTGTGGCTGACAGTTTGAGTAAAATGTTAAAGCTTGAAGGTCCACTTGTATGTATATAATTTGTCCTTTAAATCAATGCTGTAGAGGCCAATACAATAACATGATTAACTAACTGGCTTTCAAGAAAGTAAGACACAAAACCTAAGCCTTATTTATGTCCTTCTTGTTCCAGTTTGTAATGTCATGAAAAAGGTGTAAAATGTTGACAAATACAATAGACATTGAAATTTTAATTGTGACATCACGCACATGCACCCCATGTTCTATTTGAATTAGAACATGGTTTTATTTTTAAAGGGAAAGAAGAGAATAATTATAAAATTTATATTTATAAATGTATATGGATACCAATATTGAGAGGAGAAGGGAAGTAGAACAAGGAAACTTTGCATCTATCTCTCATTCAAATAACAACGATCTATTTAGTCAAATGATACCAGACTAGAATTAAGACCATTATTTCTGATCATATAATTTGGTTGGAAAAAATGTTTTGTAAATGTCATCATTACTTTTAATTCCCAAGAAGGATAATTTTTCTTATTCCCTTAGTACATAAAAAAAACACAAAACCTTTTTCCTACCTTTTGACATTTACCAAGATTATCTAGTAATCTGATTTACTCATTCCAAGTAACATTGACAATACTCTGAACATTAATTTATAATGCAAGAACTGCCTTATCAAGGAATGGGAAAATGGTATTTAATGGGAAAATATTGTTTATAAAGCTTGTATGTTAGTATGATATTATTGATAGGAAAATATTGTTTATAAAGCGTGTATATTACAATAGTATGATATTACGTAATTCCATGTATCTTCAAAATGCAAAGGTATGTTCAATTTTTTTCTTGACTGGTAATACATGTGTTTTATTTCATGTAGTATTACATGAAGACAGTTTTGCACTTTATTTATTTGTGATTTTTACATTTCAGACAACAGTGACCTTTGAACTTACATATAATGCACCAGATGGGTCAGTTGGTATGTGGCAAAGAGGTGGCTTTGAGAAACTAAAAACTGATGAATTACGGCAGCCTCTATCTGAAGATGAACTGAACCTTTTGAATATAAAACGTAGTCGTAGTGGAGATCGTAGTGATGGCAGTGACACTATCTCTATTGCATCAACTAAGTCCTCCATTAGGGGGTCAAAGTTGAGTCTGGCTTCATCCAAAGGTGGAGGCAGATCTCCAAGACAGTAAGATTTTATATAATGTTTTTTCCAGCAATTTTTTTAGGATAACATTTATTGTGAAGATTAGCATAGCCATACAGTTATTTGTTTTTTCTTGAAACTGGACAAATTTGTTACATGAGTGATTTAGAAACAGGTCGCTGCAGAAATCAAAACTAATATGGTATGGTAGTCTTGGGCATTTCATCATGAAAATGATCCGCATATAAGTTGAACTTTAATCATGGATTTTTCTTGTTGAAGTTTTAAAAGGTTGATTGACTGCTTGATTGTTGTTTTCTTTTGTCCAATTTTAAAAGGAATACAGTTTCAATTTGTATATTTCAAGATAAATGTATGAGAGAAATTTGGGTAAAACTTAATTCCGATGTCTTATACATGTTAAAGTCATATGAAACTTCAAAATCAATAAAAAGTTGAATATGTTTTATTTATTTGAATGGCTTAGTTTTACTATAAAACATGTATACATGGACTTTCATTTCAAAGAAAAACCTTAATTTTCTCCAAATCTTCAGAAATATACTGCTATTGAATCATTGTCTTCCCATACTCTTATTTGCCGACAGATTTTTTGTATGCAATGACTTTACCATGACCCCACTCATTAGAAATTGACAACTGCACAGCGCAAGTGCAAGTAAAAAACTGTGATGAAAGAAAAGGTATACAAACATGGAAGCAAGGGAAATAGGATTAATTCATTCACCAATCATGTAACTACTGTTATGACAAAGTTTAATTTACAAATGGGAACACATGGTAAATGTAAAAATTAACATATAAACAATGCTCTATTCATCCTATCATCTCACTTATTTTTCACATGTTCCTTGATTCTGTGTTGATTGTTTATCAAGGTTGCTATCTATCAGTAAACTTTCTCACCAAAACCCGAGAGTTAATTAGCAGCTAAAGTTTTCTATCAACAATCACTGAATGAAATATTTTTTGCTGATAAAACGCACTGGATTCATAATAAATGTGAAATAGTGTGCATCTCTGACTTAGTTTAGTACATATGCATGCGTTGGTTCAATAATTTTCTTTGCGTTATAATTACAACAAACTTGTTTAATATGACTTTTAAATTGTACATGCACGGTTCAAAAGTTAAATGAAAACTTCATCTGATATATAAAGGAGTTATTAGGAAAACATCAATGATACAGCAACCAAACAACAAAAATAAATTTATTGGAAATAGAAACATTTTTGTCTTCAAGTTCAGATTTGATAAAAAAATTACAATTTGGATATCAAAATACAGCTTTCCATTTTGAGTAGGTGCCCACGCTGATTAGCAAGCTCTGAATATAGTTTAGATTTGCTGATAATTTAATATTTCATAAACATGAATGGTTCTCATCATTTGATTCATTTGTCCCAGAAGTTTTTTCATTAAACATTAATTTCAACAAAATCATTAAATATAAAAAAATTACTGCACTTTACCGTAACATAAAAGTTTCAGTACTTGTAATTGTACCATCGGGTACAAATTTTTATAGATTTGGTGGATAATCAATGCCTTTTATTTCAGTACTCTAGAAATACTGATATCATTGTTTGTTTTGTGCAAATAGCCTGATACCACAAAAATCAACAAACCACTAAAATTTTCTGAAAAAAAAACCAGGAAAATTTTATTCACATAGTAATTTGCAGTAATATCATATCTTCATATTGGGACATAGACGGCATTGTAATTACACACATTATCAGACTCTAAACTTGCACATGATGCTTCATCTCATTGTCTGGACGCTAATTTCTGTTGCACATTTATTACACAAGTTCGTTAGTACCGGTAGTTAATTACAACTTCATACCAAATTCATTTATTAATACCTTTTGAGACAGAGTTTAAATACTTTGTACCCTTTTCACGTCTTTCTCACAAATTTATGAAGCATTGAGGTTTTCATTATTATTGTTATGATGCCATTCATGTCATTTTCAGCAACACATTTCCTTTTGTTAGAAGTAACACTTCAAAAATATAAATATCATTCAGGTGAGAAAATTGAGCATTAATAACTTGTGCATTACATAACACAGACTTCAATCATCTTTAGAAAGACATTTATTGTTGTTTCGAGAATAATTATCCCAATTTTGACAATTTTTTCTTTTGTAACATTTGAAAACTATTGATTTTTAGCTTTAAATTATATAACATGACATTATTGATGTGTCTTTAGAGGACTTTTGTCACTCAGAAGTCGTTATAGTAATTGCTATAGTAATTTGACTTTCTGTCATTTTTGAAGTATATTTCCTTGTATTTTAGAAGAAGGATATTTATGGTTGTTATTTTCTCTAACAAACTATCAATTTATAGGAAAGTGCTGTATAATAATGAACATTTTCAGTTTTTAAAGGAAACATTTTGATCCTACTTTCTCCTTACTCTGGTGATGTAATCTCTTTTTTATAGAAGGATGATTGGAAATTTGTCATTGGCCAGAGCATCTTAAGCAAGAAACTATTTTCCCAAAATTTTAAATTGACTGCTACAAGCAAGCGCTGCTTTAATAATAATTAATCGTGCATGCCTAAAACAATAGCCCTGTTAATTAAGCGCTGATTGGTTAATTCAAAAATTAATTAGCAATTTCATTGCTTAATTAGTAAGATCTCACAAAACAATTAGTTCACTAGACGCACATGCAGCAGTGACTGGGGAACCCCCTTGCTGATTGGATAATTATCTGGACACCAGAGGGCCCCTGAATAACTTATGTACGGCATGCCAAAACGTATTGTGTCTTAATAATCTATTTATATAAAATAGTTCCATTAATCCACAAAACTTGTCCCTGCCAGATCCTCCCTTGATATGCCGTTGATGAATAGGCTGGTGGTACCAATAACCAGGAGGCTATTCCATTGGTGCCCGAACCAAATGCTGAAGAGTTACAGTGCAGATAAATAAGGCACTTTATTTACACTAACATTTCAGAGTTAAGTAAAGTGACCAAGACATATGCCAACTGGTTCTTGTATAAAGGAATAAACTGAATAAACACAGGTTTGGGAGAAAGAATCACAGTTTAATATTTTCTTTGCATATCAATAAAGCAATAAACATATTTACAAACAAAGCAAAATCAAGCTGAAAAACTGTTGTACTCCAACAAAATAATCCCAAACCTGTGTAAAGGTAGTAAATTAGGTTCATGCCTCAGAAGCAAGCTCTTGACTCCGGGCTGATGAGAAAGCATTCATGACTTGCTGAGAAAAGGAAGGGTAATGTTTTGCCATGTTACTAAATTTCTTGAAAATGATCTTCGAAAAATGATTTTACCAGTAGTTTCATGGAGTATGCAATGTAAAGGATTGAATATAAAAAAAAGGAGATATGGTCTGATTGCCAATGATACAACTATCAACCAGAGACCAAAGGACTATAGTGCACTGCACAACCTTCAACAATGAGCAGAACCCATACTGTATAGTAAGCTAAAAAAAACATGACAGTATGTAATATAATTTAAGAGAAAACCAAACGCCTGATTTATCCTAAAACAAACATCAAATAAGTTGGACAACCACCAACAGCAACCACTGAATACAGGCTTCTAACTTGAGACAGGCACAGAAAGAATATATCTGGGTTAAATATATTTGTGAGCACTCAACCCTCCCCTTCCCTGGGACAGTTGTGTAATAGCAATATATGAGAAAAACTATAAAAAAATCAGTTGGTAAAAGTTTGACTCATCAGATTGGCACTAAGTACACAAAAAAAACTATTAAAAAACCAAAACAAGGTACAGATCTGAGAGCTAGTATTCCAAGTAAATGGATGCTGCAAATTCGAACTAATGAATATATCATGTATTCCCAGACTTATATTGCAATCAGTACACTTTGGATTTAGTGTAAAGATGTCATATACAGTCTGATCGAATCATTGATGGCCTTGTGCAATGCCAAAATATAAGTATCAACAGAATGTAGGACCAAAATTGTTCATTACAGTATAGTCAAACATACTTAGTTATGATTAAATTTATTAAAAACAAATTCAATGTTAGTACAGATGAATACTTACTACAGTGTTAAATTGATAACCTTTCAGATTAATTTTTTTAAAAGGATGAATAAGGTTACATGGATCTAATCTAAATTTACCGGCTCTATAAACAACATCACCGTAAAAATTAGGATGTGATATCCCATTTTTAAGATTTCTACAAGTATAGCCAAACAAATCTTTGTATCTATAAAAGAATTTAGTAAAGGTTTTACTAATTGTTGGTAATGAAATCCCTGACTGAATGCTTTACAAATTATACAAACATTATGTACATTGAAATCTAAAATGTTACAACAGACAGGGGCAGAGTAAACAAGTTGGGATTATACGCACAGTAGGAAGGGGGCCAAATGAACATTACTGAAGAAAATTAACAATAGGAAACAAAAATCGTCTCTTGTGTTGTAAATTTCAATATAGAGTTTCCAGTGTGAAATATCAAATCTGGAAAAGGAAATTATTGTTGCTTATAGATTTATTTAAAATTAGTTCCTTTGGGTAAATTTCTAGGGTTTAAAAGGAGAATTTTTGATTATTTCAAGCTAAAATAGGCATGGTTATAAAACGATTTATCTTTATTTACTGGCTGTAATGTGTACAATGTGCTATAGTCAATCAGCCTTTATAGATCAATTTGTTAAACTTTTTACTACTTGGCAATGTTCATTATACAACATCTAAAACATTAAGATTTAATTTGTGGAAAGTATTGAAAGGATCTTCTTAAATGTTTTGTTCTATTTTAATACATTGAATGCCAAAAAAAATTACTTGATTTCTTTGTGTTGAAATTAATATTTTTCTTCACTCGGTGAAATTGTAGAAAACATCTCAAGGGGATTGTTTTAAACATTTATGAACAAATGAAGATTTTGACTATAAATCAATGAAACAGCAACCCAACATCTTTTAATGAAGCAAAAACATCAAATAGATGATCATACACAGGATGGTAGTGAATTATTTTGATCTTAATTTCACCTGTTTTATAGGGACCTCGGTGGCCAAGTGGTCTAGGTAGTCGAACTACTTATCACTAGCCTGTCAACACTGAGGTTGTGTGTTCAAATCCTTAACATGGCAGGTGCTCTCGACTTCAATCTTTAAAATTGACTAGGATTGTCAGTTTTCCTACGGAAGGTTGTGGTTCTCTCGGGCACTCATGTTTCCTCCACCAATAAAAATTGACCGCCATGAAATAGCACAATAGTGCTGAAAGTGGCATTAAACACCAATCAATCAATCAATAACCTGTTTTATTGATTAATATCAACAGTATTAAACATATGAAAAGTAATGATAGAACAAGTATTTTCTATAACTCAGTTTTAGCATGATTTAGAATTTGATAGGACTAGAACATTAATTACTCAAACAGAACTTTTGGGGAATTAAGGTGAAGTTAAAGTTTTTCATGTATAGCAATTTTTTTTCCAACTGGTGGAGATTTTTTCTCTTTTGCAGTCTTTATAGGTTAAAAAAATGTATTTCTTTTCTTGAAGTGGCAGAATTAACCATTTGAAAATAACCTCAATATCTTATCCCTTCTTTCACTTGAAATAAGAAGAACTGTATGGACATATAGATAAAGGGAGATGTAGGGTATAGCAAGCTAGGTTAAGCATTCAGGGTCAGGTCTGTTCTTCAGTAACTATAAATGGCAGGTTAACAATATTTGGTATGTGTACTTGTAACAAAGATTAACTGTTTGCATATCTGACATGTCTTATTGTCTTGACCATAATTTCCAGCAACAGTGATCAGAATAAAATCTGTTTCCAAGTAACTGATAACTTGATAAATTTTGTATGTAGATTTGTTGCAAGACGTTTATGTCTGTCTGACATATGTCATATGGCCTTTACCTCAAAATCATACTATAGTGGTAAGTTATGACCTCAGAAACTGTACATGATAAGTCAACAATATTTGGTATGTGGTTTGGAGGGATCAATATGTTTCATTTGGCCTTGACCTTAATTTCATGTTTAAGTGGTCAGGCTAAGTTTTTAGCATGAGGTCTGTGCCTCAGTAACTGTAAATGATAAGTCAACAATATTTGGTATTTGGATTATTTGCAGGAAGCTTATGCCCTCTTGACATATGTCATTTGGGATTGTCAGCTGACCTCAATTTTACACTACAGTTTAAGAATAAGATCTGTTTCTCAGTTACTTTTAATGCTATTTCAACAACTTCTCCATTAAATGTTCTACATTATCACTTACAATTGTTCTGTTTTAATCTCATTATTAGATTTACCTGTTCTTCTTAAATCTTCCTGATCAGAAGTCATAAGATGACACTGATTAATTTAGGTTTTTTTATTTAAAATCATTTACTTTTGCAGTTCAAAGGTATTTAAGTCAGCAGTGCAGATGATGATGACCGTGAACAGACGACCCTCAGGAATCTTAGATGATAAACAGTCTTTACTGGAACCTGAACCTGAACTGGAAGGTATTTATCATTCATTTATTAACATGATTTCTGACACTTCTTCTTATGTTGAGACAAAAACTGTACACACAAATCTATGTAAACTAAAATTATATGAAACAAGCTGTTTCATCTAAGGTATAATGATTTCAACACCTATCAAGTTTTTAAGATCTTCATAAAATTGAAAAGGAACTGACCAATGGAAATAAGTTAACATATGAATGTATTTCCCTGTAGTTTTTGACTCACCTGCGATAAAAGTCGCAGAATGCCAGACATGGTGATTACAATCTGACAGCAGTGATGGCGAAAACCATTTGTATAAAGCTTTATATTTCAGGAGCTAGAAGACCTGGATGCTTCATACCTTGTATGCAAATACATTATGTTACGAAGATTCTGTCTATCATATTTCCATCGTCCTTGACCTCATTTTCATGGTTCAGTGACTGCTTGAAAAAAAAAATAACTAGTTTTTTCTAAAAGTGAAATACTCTCTTATTGTCTGGCCTGCGACGAAAATCACAGTATGCTAGACATAGGGATTAAATTCCAGCGGCAGCTGCAGGAACTATTGGTATGAAGCTTTATATTTTAGAAGCTGGAAGACCTGGATGCTTTATACCTTGTATGCAGATACCTTATGTTATAAAGTTTCTGTCTGTCTTATGTCCATTGTCCTTGACCTCATTTTCATGGCTCAACGACTTCTTGAAAAAAAATTATAGTTTTTTGTCATGTGAATTTCTCACTTATGAGTAATTAAATAACTATATTTGGTATATGGGTTCCTTGGAATTTCTATATGTCAGTCAGACAGGCTTCACCTGACCTTGACCTCATTTCACAGATCAGTGATCAAGGTTTAAGTTACGTGATTAGGTCCTTTTTTCAGATACTCTAGCAGTAGGTCAAATATATTTGGTGTATAGAATTATTGTAAGAGGTACATGCAGTCTGGCAGTTTCATCTTACCTTGACCTCATTTTCATGGTTCATTGGGCAAGGTTAAGTTATTGTGTCTTGGTCTGCTTTCCAGTACTATAAGAATAGGTCTGCTATACTTGGTTTATGTAATGCCTGTAAGGTGTACATGTCGGTCTAGCTGGTATCATCTGAACTTGACCTCATTTTCATGGCTCGTTGGTTAATGTTAATTTTATGTGTTTTGGTCTTTTGATCTGTTTTTCAAATACTAATAGCAATAGGTCAGCTATATTTGGTGTATGGAATAATTGTAAGATGTACATGTCTGTCTGGCATTTATCATTTGACTTTGACCTCATTTGCATGGTTCATTGGACAATGTTTAGTTTTTTTTTTGTGGTTTTGTCTATTTTTCAGATACTATAAGTAATAGGTCAATTATATTTGGTGTATGGAATGATTGTAAGGTGTACATGTCTGTCTGGTAGGTTTCATATGACCTTGACCTGATTTTCATGGTTCATTGTTCAATGATAAGTTTTTTGATTTTATCAGATACTATAAGCAATAGGTCAACTACATTTGGAATATTTGTAAGGTGTTCGTGTCTGTCTGGCAGGGTTCATATAACCATGACCTAATTTTCATGGTTTATCGATCAATGTTAAGATTTTGTGTTTTGGTCTGTTTCTAAGGTACTTCAGATGTATCAGCAATAAGAACACTATATTTGGTGTATAGAATGATTTTAAGGTGTACATGTCTGTCTGGCATAATTCATCTTACCGTGACCTCATTTTCATACAACATTGATAATGTTAAGTTTATGTGATACTTGTAGCAAAACCTTCATATTACAGACTTTCAACATAAATTCAATCATAAATAAATCAGGTGAGACATTTCAGCATGTGCACTCTTCTTTTATAAATGAGCTCATCATGATTATGTTTGCTAGAACAAAAAAACATGTTAGGTTCACTGACCAAGGTAGTTTTATGAAGTTTTAGCTCTAGTTTAAACTTTCACAAAATACATATTTACTTCAATCCGCCTTTCTGAGTTTTCACTTTAAGATTGTCAAAAAGTTGAAATTTGAAATGATTGAAACAGTTGTAGTTATAATGATAAGTGAGATGATTTAGTTTCTTTTCCTTATAAATTTTTTCAAATATCTTTTCCTTCATTTTTCAGACACAAGTTTGGATGCTAAGGCAGCAGAGATGGCGTCATTACTGGGACGAAGGTCAGACATGGATGATGACAATGCAAGTGATGGTCGTGCATCAACAATAACTACACCAATTACACAGAGAAGGTACCATTCATTTTGAATATACAACTTTATGTATATCTTGACAAGTGCAAGTAAAATAAGTAACCAGATAGTCAAATAATGCTCCTTCTAATAGACTTTTGATAAACTACTGCAAAATTTGATACTGAATTGAGCTTTAAATAATCAAAACTAAAAGATGATTTTGATTGGTTAACTGTTTGGTTTGAATCTTACCTTAACACAAAATGACTCTATCAGAGTAATAAAATCAGAAAAATTAGATAGGAAATGTAAAAAGTATAAATCTCATAAGAAAGTTAAAATACTTAGGGGTTGGAATTTGGAAAAAACCAAGAAAAACGCTCAAATGTCTGGAAAAGTCCTAATAATTGATAAACAGGATAGTTACTCTTCTGGAGCGTTTCCATATTCTCCTATTTTACTATGTCTGTAAAACAGGAGATGATGGACATGTTCCAGATCTTGAAAAAAAGTCTAAATGACGATGTTTCAACAGTGCTCAATCTGTGTATTGTTAATAACCAAGATTGCATCAAATGTTGAAAACAAACTAAATATTATAACAAACAAATGTATGTTCAGAATATGATAAATATGTTTATTTCATTGTAGAAACAGAGGGAAATCCCCAAATATTGAACCGCCATCTTTAAAAGCTCAGGACTTTCAGGTATTTATTTCCAAATGGTGAATAATCTCATGTTTGTTATTTTGAACATGCTTAGAAGTGGCTACTCACTATTTCCAACTTTTATTTTCTTTGCTGTCAGAATCTCTTATTTGAACATCATTTCAAATAAAATATGAAATATCTGAAGGTCATTAGGAACAGTATAGTATTAAGTGTCTGAAGGTCATCATGAACAATGCTACAAAATTATCTATCTTGTTAGCTTATTTTATGATTAAAGTTGCAAATTATGATGAGAACATCACAGATGACAGACTGTCTCTATGTCCGTATGTAAATGTTCTCCTTACAAATATTTTTGGTGTAATCCCAGATTTCCAGGCCAAGTCCAGCAAAACATACAAAATTAATTAGATGTCTTTCTCTGTACTATAGGGGGTAACAGGTTGATCATTCCTGCTCAGCCAGTGTAAAACAAAACAGTATGTATTCATATCATGATAAGATTTTCTTGTCCTGAATACAGTTTGAAAATTTCTGTTTGGATGTTTAGTATCCATTAATCTTAAGTTTTTATAGTCGATAACTTTGGTCTCAGTAACTCCTATGAAAGCATGTTTAAAGAAGTTGATGAAACTGTATTTTAGGTCTGTGTAACAGTTATAGAAGCCCGACAGTTAGCTGGTGTAAATATGGATCCAGTCGTTTGTGTTCAAGTAGGAAATGAGAAAAAATACACAAGTGTCAAAGAATCTACAAACTGTCCTTATTACAACGAGGTAAGAATAGATTTTCACCCTAATTTTCTCAGTAACAAAATTTTGAAAACCAGAATAAATTTTCTGATAACTGATTTACACAGTTCAGATAAAGTACTGAATTCAGAATAGATTTTCACCTTAATTTTCTCAGTAACAAAATTTTGAAATCAGAATAAATTTTCTGATAACTGATTTATACAGTTCAGATAAAGTACTGAATTCAAGACATTTGTTAAAAATACAAAGATTAAGAACCATTGCAAATTTATATCCAGTCCTATAAAAAGAAAAAAATATGTTGATTGACAAACATAAAAAACAGAAAAGACCGTAAAATAGAAAAGTTTAGTTTGTGACAACACTTGTAGGGGGGTAAATATAGTTCTGACAGCTATCTAACAACCCAAGGTAGACAAACTATAATATCTATCAGTTATCATACAGCCTATTATATAAGAACAGGCTCTGACACAATAGACTAAGTTTTGGTAGTTGTAGATGACAAAGATCTTCATCGAAACTTAAGGGTGTTAGCAGGGTTAACATTTCTTCTTTGCCTACTAAGGAAAGAGCACTCAACAAAGCTATAGAAAATAAAATCCAAAATACATGTACTTATATTTGAGATAATTATTTTTTAATTTCTTTGACTATTATAGAAATGTTCTACTTTTCTTATTGCAGTATTTTGTATTTGACTTTCACATGGCTCCTGCAATGTTATTTGATAAAATCATCACTCTGACAGTAAGTACTGCAAGAATTAGATATAAATAGTTTGATTTACAGATATTTAATCTTTCTACTGATTTAATCCTCTTACAAATGGACATGTGGGTATATTTCACGTGCTCTAAGTTTTATAAGGATAATTGAAAAAAACAAAGATCTGTATGGTACTCATATTCAAGGTTGATGTGGATTTAGGTTATTGTAGTATTAAAATGGAAAATACCGTGGTTTTCATTTACTACTCTTGATCTAGCTTACCCGGTATATTAAATAGATTTTATAATCACGTCTCATATAACTATCCTGGATTTTGATTTGGTTGATTGCTATAAAAATAAGATGTGGTATGATTGCCAATGAGACAACTCTCCACAAGAGACCAAATGACACAGAAATTAACAACTGTAGGTCACCATACGGCCTTCAACAATGAGTAAAACCCAAACCTCATAGTCAGCTATCTAGTATATTTTTCATGCATTGTTTTATTCAGGTGAATTTTTGGTCATATTTCACTAATCCCAAGGTTAATACACAAGGATATCCATTTTACCCTAGGAGTTTATGTCTGTTTTTGGATTAGGTCTGAATGTTAGAAGTAAAACTGATGTTATGAAAATATTTTGTAAGTGAATTCAATATACGGACATGATCATATACACTTAACAGTTTATTTATACTTGGCTTTGGTTTTAGAGCTTATTGTGCATCAAATTATGTAAAATATTGCAGAAGGGAAGACCATTTAGTGCCTTAAAAAACTCTTTCTGTGTGAATAATCCATATGCTGAAATTTGGTGATCTAAAAGGATTTCTTAGACATCAAATTTGAATCTTCTTCTTCGTGTAAGATTTCAGAGGAATATAAATAAGATGAAATTTTTTACTTTATTATCACTCTCATAAAATTAAATATAGGAGCAAAGAAGCAATTTTTGGAGTTTAATAACATATTTATGTGTAAAACAGCTAAATTAGAAGCTTACATTTTTTTCATCACTTAAGTGTTCGTTGGCCGTCTTCGTCCTTTAACATTTATAAAAGTCTTCTCCTCTGAAAATACTGGGCCAAATTAACCAAACTTAGACACAATCATCATTAAGTTGTGTAGTTTAAAAAATGTGTCCCATGACCTCGCCTGTCAACCAACATTGCCGACATGTCTTAAAATAGAACATTGGGGTAAAATGCAAGTTTTGTCTATTATCTTGAAAACAACTATGAAAAGAGAAAATCTGACAGAGGCGAAATTGTTCAGATTGATGAGATCTACATATAGTCTGTGACATCAAAACTGTCAGAAGACTTCTTACAGGAGTTATTTCCCTGAAAGGACGAATTTCATCATTTTTTTTTCAATTTTGCATATTATTTTAAAAACTTTGATAGAGAGAGAGAAACTTTAAAATGCTAAAATGATCAGCAGGACAGAATCTACAAATAAGGTTGCATTGCTGAAATCGCTCAACAACAACCTATTTGATTTATTGCCCTTTTATGACAATTTTTACCTAATTTTTTACGTTTTTGTCGAATATCTTTAAACAAAGAATAAAAGATAGATGGAAACTTAAATAGGCAAAAATTGATCAGCAAGACAAGATCTACAAATAAGTCCACATGTTCGAAACCTTATTAGAGTTGTTTCTCTTTAATGACGATTTTTACCCATTTTTAGAGTTTTTGCCTATTATCTTGAAAACTGTAGAAGATGAATAAACACTTTAAGCAGAAAAATTATCAGTAAGACAGCTCAAATTGTCTGAGGACTCCTTATTGGAGTTATTGCCCTTTGATTATGATTTAAAAAAAAATAATCCCATCTCGCCTTATATCTTAAAAACTATTATAGATAGATAAAACCACAAAGAAGCATTCTTATATGACTTGCTTCTTTCGCTTTGTAAACAACACTGTGATAAAATTCCCGATATATCTATACTTAGCGCAGACTCCGAAATGTACATAATAATGGCTGTTAAAATATACCTCCCACATAAATCCACATGTATCGTAACCTATGTGCAAACGCTATGTCGATTTCGCTGTGTCAAAAATTACAATTAAAAAAAACCTACAAAACCTTTATTCTAATTCTGCGGCATAACATAAATAATTAATGCATTAGAGATCAGAAAAATGTACAAAATCAAAATAAAATAAAATTCCGCGAAATTCCATTAATGTTTTTGGCGCATTAACGTCATTTCAAAACATGACGTCATACGAATGAAAACAACAAAGCTGAAGGTTTTTTCATTGCCTTTACCTTCTAAACTCGGATAATATTGCATTAAAATAAAATTTTGAGGTAGGTGTTACTTTTTTCCTATTCTATTGCATTATTCACACATTTACTGATTTCAGCAAGTCAACTTGGCTTCTTCATTACAAAATGTCAACAGTGAATTTGACGGAAGCCTAAGAGAAAAAAATGTGAATTAAAAATGGCAAATGTTGGGTTTGAGAATTAAAAGAATCAATCATATTTTTCTAGCGGTTATTTAAGAAAAGATTCATGCAAGCTGCAGATTTTTTAGATTTTTTGTACATTTATCTAACAGTGGGTAAAATAGAACAGCCACACACACGGCATACCCACCCTCGCTTCAGTTTTTTAATGACAGTATTTGTCCTATTAGAATCGAAATAATTCATGGAAGCCATAGATTTATTGTAAATTTACACATGGCCTGGGCCGTGATATTCGTTAATTTTATCCCTTGCTAAAGCTCAGGATAAAATTCGAATATCACGGCCCAGGCCATGTGTAAATTTCCAACAAATCTATGGCTTCCATGAATTATTTCTTAAATATTGATCAGCAAGACAAGATCTACTATTAATTCAGATGGCTGAAATCGTCAAATGACTCCTTATTGGAGTTACTGCTCTTTAATGACGATGTTTACCCATTTTTGTGTTTTAGCCTAATATCTCAAAAACTATAATAATTAGAAAAAAACTTTAAGAAGCAAAATTGATCAGCAAGATAAGATCTACTAATAAGTCAAGGTGGCCAAAATCATCAGTCAACTCCTTTTTGGAGTAATTGCTCTTAAATGAAGATTTTCACCCATTTTTAGTGTTTTTGAAAACTCAAATAGATAGTCACTTTAAATAGCAAAAATTTTCTTCAGAATAATCGTCAGTAGACTCCTTATTGGAGTTCTTGCTCTTTATTGACAATTTTACCAATTGTTTCTGTTTTTGCCTAATATCTTAAACTATAATAGGATAATCAGTAAGATAAGATCTACTAAAAAGTCAAGTTCTGTTGAAATCGTTAGTAGACTCTTGATAGGAATGAATGAATGATGTTTTTTTTTTCCCTTTTCTATGTTTTGGGCAAAAACTAGAGAAGATAGGGAGATACTGAAACAGAAAAAATGATCTGCAACACAAGATCAACAAAAAAAAAATGTTTGTCATGAATTCTGGCCTAGTCCACAGTGTTGGAGAGGGTCCATTGTTGAAGATGCACATAGACCTGGGTGAGCGACACAGGCTCTTTAGAGCGTCTAGTTTAGTATATCTTTTAACATTTTTCCTGACACATTATTGTCACAGTAATTTCTATTTTTGTATCCCTATATTTATTGTATTAATTTCATTACTGTTCAAAGATAAATAACAATCATTGATCAATGATTATGAAACTATCCAAACAATTTTATAATTAAAACATCTGATGTAATTAAGTCAACAACTTTACTAGTACTCTATTGTTATACTTCAAACATTATGTTTTCCAGTAGGCGTAATTGATATTATACAATTTGCAGAAAATATTTAAAAAATGAAATTATAATGGTTTTTCCTAATGGATATTAATCGATTTGTAATTAAAACTAAGCTGTAAATATTTCCATATTACATAACTTAAGTATAATATTTAATGGAAATGTATTTTTATTAAGTGATTAAAGGTAAAATCATTATGATATGATCAAATTTCCATGTGATTTACTGTAAATAGAGATTCTTATTAGTGATATTCCAAAGTATCAATCCTAAGTTGGATAAGGGGAGATAACTCTGATCTACAGAATGCTCAGAGGAATTTGATGACATTTTTATAGGGTATAAGATAGACCATCATAGCATGTGAAAGTATAAAAATTAAGGAAGATAATTGTAAATCAAAAACAGCACATGTAGACTGCTCTATGCCCTCTGACAGATATATAGGCCACAGACCACAATTATTCTTACCATTGGTTACAATGCATTTCTTTGTAAAAGTCAAATTGAATTTAAAAAATTGCACCGGTTCAAACCATTATTATTCTAATAAAATATGCATGTCCCAGGACAATCCATCTCTGCTTTTTCTTTTGAAAGTCCTATTAACATGCCAATGGTAGGATTTGAATCTTGAATACATGCCGAAGGCTAATTTCTACCCTACTTTCATCTTGGCCAAATCACTACTTTCACTTTCAACAATAAATTTTTCTCACATGTTTTACTTAATTCAATATCTATGCAACTGATAGGACCACTTAAATAGTATACTTTTCAAAGAAAACATCAGTCAGAATACTCCGGAAGAAATACCCCATATAATAATTAGGAACTGTATTCCTAGACCACGAACAAAGGGAGTTTAATAATTGTTGTCTAAAGCCTATAACCTCTAGTTCTTCCCTCAAATGTTTCTTTACCAGATTGAACTGGTTTGTGTGTAGTCTAAAGCATTATGAGCAACCTCATTTTAATGCTCCAGTGGTCAAGTAAATTTTCCAGGATTACCTCATCCAACTACAAGTGACAGCTTATTGATATATAACATCAAGCTTTATCTGGTTTCCGTGTGACATTTTTTCTGTTTGATGAAAGTGTACGCCTTTAACATGTCGCTTTGAGTCAATAATATTGAGTAGGGATATAATGAGTGAGCAATTACTCATCGTACATCTTTGTTGTTGTGATATATGTAGTAGTCTTGTATATTCCTTATCTTCCATTTTATTCAATAAGCATTCATCTTTTTACATGTTGTGAATTTAACTAAGTGTTGCTAATCCTATATGCTTGGGCTTAGGCTATTTGTATTGCCCTGTGTTTTTTGCAAAAATGAAAGTAGAGCTATACAACATTTCTTTACATTCTTGGATAGATTATACCTTTGTGATCACAAGGTTTAATTAGGTGGTTAAGCTATTCAAGCAATTGCAGTAAAACAGCATATTGTGGAAGGTTCCCAGTCTTGTTTTGATCATTGGCATTTATGGTTTGATAAGTTGAATTAATGACTGTGATCAGTTGGTTCCTAAGATATAAAAGTCGTTGATTTGTACAAAGTTTGTAGTCTATTCAAGGCACATTTTTTATAGAATCATGTATTAGTCCAAGTCATAGATTATTTTTAAAAGTAAAGTGTGATTCGACATGAAGCATGGATGGATATTTTGTATGTTTTAAACCTGGGAATACAATAAAAAAAAACCTTCAATATGCATTCATTTAGATTTATATCTTTAAAAAAAATACCATGTTGTGAAATGAAATATATATATTTTGTTTTAGGTATTGCATTCTCGTAATATTTTGCGAAAGGGTACCAATATAGGATCATTCAAGATGGATCTTGGCAATATATACGGGACATCTGGTAGATTTCATTACAATTATTATCCTTGTCTAATTGGTTTGTTTTCTAATGACATTTATAAACCAATGTCATTTAACGATACAAATGCATGTCTCTACCTTTTCCTACCAAGTTTTTTTATTAACCTGAAGAGTTTACAATTAATACATACCTTCCATTATTCCTCTTTTGAGTTGACTGTTTACGGTAAAGTAAGAATTAGATTTAAAATTGAATATGCATAATGTCGCTTCATAGTAATAATAAGTGACTTATTTTATAAATGGGTTAGATAAAAAAAAATATAAAACACTAAAATGGCATTGTTTTATATCATGTTATTGTGTTTACAGAATTTCTTTGTGTATTGCTTTTATTGTATGCTTCTAGTTTGGGTTTCATGTTGAGAAACTCAGGCTGCGATATAAATATATATTGTATACAAAGGAATAAATTGCTGGTATTACTTATATGCTTTGACTGTATATCATTATTCTATACAGATGAGGTTCATGAATTTCTTGTCTTATACACGGCTTTGGTCTGTATCACATAAGTTCTGGTTTGGGGAATATCTTGTGTGAGTGATTTATTTACTGCATGTACTATAAAGTGTTGATTACTTAAAATAAGTCAACACTTACAGTGTCATATTCTACATTATAGTTTTACTCATTTCCAATTTAAAAAAAATTATATTTCACACTCATTGGAAGATAACAGCATTTTAAAATATTCAGGAATGAAAATTTATAGTACTGAATCATAAAAAAATATAAATTTGAATATACTTGAATAATCGTTGAAATGCCACATGTAGAAAATGACATTAGTTAAAATATAATATAGGTTTGATTTTCAGGTAGAAGGATGATAATCTGTTATATTAACTGTATATCTTATATCAGGTATGTCAGTCTGGTCGACTTCTACGCAGTAATAAACCATTAGGAATGTATAAATTGGATGTAGCCACCGTCTATGCAAGCCAAGGTCTGTACTGTGCATATAGTCCATGTGAAACTAGTCCAAATAGTTGTTGTCTGTTTTACTTATCTTTTTATACTTTGCTTCAGTAGTACTTAATGCTACAATAACAACATTATTGTTTTAATTTTTGTTCTTTAGAATTTGCTATGATTTAACAATAATTATTTCCAGTTTCTTTGATATAACTTTAAATAAGTTCTTCTAAAAAGTAATCCCTGAATAGGAAGTATTTTCAATTTTTGACACTTACAACTCTTGGAATTAGAGACGAATGATATATGTAGCATTTATACTTACATAGATACCATCAATTCAAAATGTGTGAAAGATTTTTTTATGTAAAGAAGGCACATAAAAAAACCTGTAAACATGCATCTTTTCACATTTATTTACAATTTCTTGAAAACTTGTCCATAGAAATTTCTTTGAAGTTGATAGGTTTTGGATCTGAACATTCCTGTTTGACTTAAATTAAATTGATATGGGGTCATAGGATAAATTTATATTAGTAGAAATCAGTAAGTCTCAATTTGGAAAAAAATATTGAAAGGACAATTAAAAGAGTCTAGCTTTGCGACAGCATCACACTGCAAAATATCTGTTTTTATATGTTTAACATGCATCACTCAAAATGAAACAGTAAAAGCAAGGTCTTTGACCTCTATAATTTTAAAATTATTAAAAAAAGAAAATGATCACACCGAGAACATATCATTTCAAAGCAAATTCTATAGAATGAAATTTCATGAAATCTCAATTTTGAAAATATAAAAAAATATTTAGGGCACATTTTTTATGTATTCCATACATTTATAGATTTATTTCACATATTTTTATTGATTATATCTTTGAAAATATAATATGGTACATATATCATTTGGTATGGCCATAAGGTGACTTTCTATAATTTTGGTATCATTAAAATGTAAATGATCACACCAAGAATATATCATTTCAGAACAAAATTTAAGAAATCCCAATTTAAAGAGGAAAAAGGCAATTTTACTGTATTTTTTTATGTGTATTTCATGCTGCTGCACAATACACTTGTGGATCTATTTCCCAAGATTTTTAATAAGTTATTTCTCTGGAAGTGCATATATACATTTCTCAATGCATTAAAATTTAATGAAAATAATACAAAAGAATTGCTTAATTGTGTACAGGTTGCCTTATAAAACCATTTGCATGTTTTCTTTGATTTGCTTGATGTTTTAGTTTGTTGATGTCTGTTTTATTCATAGAATGAACTGAACTGGTGATATTTTAACATGAAAACCATAGATACTGAATAATGGTATTTAGATAAAGCATAGACATTATTCCTACCCATAAGAATGAAGTGGCTAAAATCTGGGAACAGTATATCTAACATATATATGTTCCTGGTAAAATATAGATCTTACATGAATTCATTTTTTAGCCTGTTGTTATGCTTGCTTATATTTTACCAACTTAAAGCTATATATAGCACCAATTTATTTGTTCTAAAAACTTATATATAAACTTTAGGGCATAGAAAATAAGGAAGGTATAAAAACTCTAAACACAATTTTTTTTTTATTTTGGTCTAAGTCTCTTTCTCTCATCAAACGACTTGCAATCTATACAACTAGAACAAAAATTGGGTGTGGTATAGAAATGTAAAAATCATTAATCTGGCTTCAGTCTGCAAGAGTTCTTTAGTAAGGCCAATTAAAATTAATTGATAGATTTTCATCCCCGCCCGCCCCTCTCAAATCGTTCCGCCCCAATTTTTTTTATTTTGAAAAATTAACGATTTCCGGATTTTGTTCATTTTCGTTACCAGTAACTGTCGATAATTTCGTTTCATTAATGACATCCTGTTTCAAATTTTGGTTTTTGCATTTCTTTGTATGTTTGATTCGTTATACATGTATATACATGATAGAACCTTATTATTACACTTGCATATATGAAGAACACGTCACAAGAGCGTTTCATATCTAATAAAAAATAAAAAATAAAATCCTCCCACCCACCCCATTTTTTTCAAAAATTTGGATGAAAATCTACTAATTAAATTTACTTGGCCTAAAGAATAATTACTAACCCAACCCAATTTATGTGTTTTGCAATGGCAGTCAAAATTATGTACCAGTTATCTCTAGATCCATCCACATTTTAAACCCTACAAATTAATATACTGTTCTCTTATTTCATTCCTGAATATGTATAAAAATTAATGCCACTTTAAGGACACAATAATCAACTCCAGAAAAACACAATTACGTTGGTAGTTTTCTTCCCAATCATCATGTATATACAGGACACTTTAAACTGGGTCATAGGGATGGAATAGTGTACTTGGATTAATGTGCTCTTTTTGATAAAATGAGGCTTAAATGCAAGAGGGACTTGTTGTTGTTGTACTGGTATTCATTATACTAAACCCCTAACGTGAGGGATTGTGCTTGATTTTAAAATGATGGAGACATAATCTTTCAATCAGTTTAATGAGGTCTGGAGCTGGCTTAACTGCTAATAGTCCTTTGTTAATTTATGTGCTTAGTTTCTTTTGTTACCTTTTCTGACATCGGACTCAGACTTCTTTTAAACTGAGTTTAACTGTGCGTATTGCTGTGTGTTTGTTTATTCTATATTGGCTAGAGATCTCACAAAACATGTTTAACCCCGCTGCATTTTTGCGCCTGTCCCATGTCAGGAGCCTCTGGCCTTTGTAAGTCTTGTATGTTTTTTTTTATTTTAGTTCATTTATATGTTTTGGAGTTTAGTATGACGTCCATTTTCACTGAACAAGAACACATTTTTATTTAGGGCCAGCCGAAGCATATTTCCGGATGCAGGATTTTCTCGCTGTGTTGAAGACCCATTGGTGGCCTTCAGCTGTTTTCTGCTCTTCGGTCAGGTTGTTGTCTCTTTGACACATTCCCCATTTCCATTCTCAATTTTATTTATTGTATATTATTTTAGTACTTGTGTTTGTGTACTTCTTGATCAATCAAAATGGGATATGCTTCCAGGTTCTTAAACCCTTATTGATTGATTCCGTTGTAAGTTTCTGTTATCATGACACTAACCAATCATTACCCTGATTTAATTTAATTTTCCAATCAAGGCACTAATTTTACCCCTGCTCCAAATATGCTGCCCAACCTCTGTTCTTCCATCTGTTCGTCCATGTGTCCATCCATCCTCCCAACGATCTAATAAAGTTTTTGTGGCATTTTTCTCAGGAACTATAAATCAGAGCTTCATGAAATTTGGTAGCAAGCTTTATGTGACAATGTTTTACAGTTTGATGCATTTTACATTCATCGCTTATCAGCTTCATGTTTACCAAATACTTGTATATTCTTACACATGATAAACATGAATGAAATTATCAGTGCATTTTTCTAAGTAACTGTGAAACAGAGCTTCTGAAAATTTGGTATCAAACCTTGTGTTTGTGCATGCTATACCATGTTGTGCATATTTCATTCATCTTTCATCAACTTCCTGTTAAACAATATAAGTTATCTATGTTCATATCCATAGATATGGATATTTTAATACCCTGAAGTATCCAAGTACACCCTGAGGTTCAGCCGAAGGGTGTACAGGGTACTGAAGGGTGCTAAAATATCCATATCTACGGATATGAACGTAGATAACGAATTTATCCCCGGTCTTAGTCTAAATCTGGCGATTTTTAGAGAAATTCGACCACAAAGTTAAACGTGAAAGCAACGTTTTTTTCATTTTTTAAATATCTTTTATTGAAATTTGGGAATTTGACATATTTTTAACTGGGTGTAGGGTACTACCTTTGGTAGAACCCTACAGGTAGACAAATATAAGACGTTTTTAAACTAGAGACAGAGAAACTGAAATGGGTCGAATTTGGCGCACAATGTTGTGAGAGTTACATCATAAACAGTGTGACGTCAACGTTGGTCATTTGCATAGCTAGGTCAGTAGTACCGTTCATTGACAATGTGGCTGCATAGTGATGCATTTACTAAAATGAGTGCAAATAATCGATATAATAAGATAAAATCGTTAGTGGATTAAATATTTAATCATACAGACATCATGGAAAATCTACAGAATTCGATATTTCATAAGGAACAACCATGGAACTAAGGAAAACGCGCGTGAAATCCCCGATGTAATGGGTAGCAACGTCCGGGGATATGGGTTAGCAACACCCAGGGGCTATGGGTTTTGTAACGACGTGCGTTAACCAATCAAACTCCTAGAAATATACTAAGCCGGGGATAAATAATTATATATACTTATCTTTGATTTTTTTTTATTTATATTGTTACAATATTCATTATTTTATTCGGACTATTATTTATTCAAAGGTATGTGTCTGGATGATACATAAAGTTAATAGTTAGCCATTAGTGTTTTATACATTGATCAAACTTGGCGATTGTTCATGTTATGATGTCTGATATAATTCTGTCATCAGACACAATACATTAAGATGTTTTTATTGCATAGAGATGAATTACAACCAATAATGCCCCAATGCATTAAAAAAATGTAGAAGATATACCATTTCCTTTTTTTCTCCATTAATGTTCTTTGTTATTTGTAGAATATTATTTTCAATAGTCATATTAATTTTATCGTAATTATATAATTCATTTAATAAATATGTTATTGGGCGGCATAGGTAATTAATTAAATATTTTTTTCTGAAAATTCAAGGATAATATATGCTGAGGTTTTTAGCATATTCTATATGTCTTTTGAATTATAGATCACCAGTTTTACCATAAGTGGGCCATGTTAACTGACCCAGATGACATCAATGGTGGTTTGAAAGGATACCTTAAATGTGATATTGCTGTAATTGGCAAAGGAGATTCCATAAAGGTAAGCAACCTCACACTGCGATGAAATAAAGAGAAAACCAAAATATGGTACCATTTTCTATGTTAAAGAAAGGTGTATGCCCTTATTGTTTATATAGCTTAAGATAAAAAAATATAATGAATTATTATATTAATAGAACCAGAGGCTTATATATTTACATTACATGCAAATCTTGATATCTTATTTGGTTACATGTGAAATTTAGTACTGGATGAAATATCCAAATTTATTATATTTAATTTAGAAATAGATATTGAAATTATCCAGATAGTATGCAATCTCATTTAATAATACAGAGAATAATTTGTATATTTCAAAGGTACCTAACATTTGTAGCAATTTTGAGCAATGAAAAATAACAATAAGACATTGCATACCTTAATTGTCAAAACCTTGAATATTGTTAAAATACATCACTAGTTACACTAATTGGTATATGGCCTTGAAAATGCTCTTGTAATTTAAGTTTTTTCCTGGTGAAGAATCAACTATAAACACAATCTTCACATCAAAGATTGAGCTGTTTGAAAAGGAGTCTAAAGTAGTCAGGAAAGGTTGTACTATTAATTTTTGGTTATCAAAAATGAAATATGAAACAGTTCAAATATCAAAAGCTTAATCAAATGTTTCTATTTCTGATACCAGAACCCTTATGAAAATATCTCTATTGATAAAAGCAACCAAAAATTACCTATCACCTATAACATAAAATAGAATGTGTCTATTGATTCAAAGGTGTCTCCAACACATCAAAGACTTAATATAATGTTGTTTTTAACAGGTGCCTCCAAAGACAGACAAAGATGAGGATGATATTGAAGGGTAATTATCTACCATTAATAACACATAATCAGCTCCATCAGCATCTACTGTATTTTGGCTGTATTTAAGTACTGATTGTAACCTTAAGCAAGATACAATAAATCTCCTATTCTCAGGTTAGTTTTTGTCTTGTCTGGCAAGACATAGGTGTTGCTTTTTTCGGCAATGTCGTCGTTGGTGTTGTCAATAATTTTAAAGTTTTCTGCTTAATTCAGTTTAATAGGAAGTTGCATTACTATCAGTACATATCAATTTGATGACTATTTTGAGGCCCTGCTCCCAAGGTCATGGTTCAGCAACTTTCAATTACCAGTAACAAGCAATTTTCAATGTTAAGTTTTCTGCTTAAATTAGTTTAATAGGAACTACTTGTGATAGATCAATGATATCTATAAAGTTGCATTACTATCAGTACATCTCAGTTTGACAATCATTTTTACATGATGCCCTCTATGCCATGGTCCAGAAACTTTGAATTAATTAGCAATGTTGCTGTCCATCAGATTGTCTTTTTCTGAATTTTCTGCCGACAGGCGAGACATTTATTCTTATAATGTGTAAGTACCTCTGCTGATGAGCTATTAGTCTTCCCAGGTACCGTTCACCTGAAAGCCAAAGAAATGATTAAAAGGATACATTTTCTTTTTGTAAATTTTGTAATTATACTAACTAAACTTAGATTGCAACTCTCTCAGGCAAAGTTATGGACATTATTATTTTACTTTTTTGGTTTTGATGTTCATACAATATCGTGAGCAGATTTGATATTCTTAAATCAATATGTCATATACTTAGTTTTCCACAATATGTCGGTTTCACTGCTGGTGGACTGTTAGACCCCAAGGGTGCCAGCCCCAGAATATAGCCAATGTTTTGGTATTCACATGATTGTGAAATGATACATCTTTTGGGGGTAGATAGTGCATAGAATGCAATCAAAAACCCTTATGTCACTGGTTTCATAGCTACATCATATAATCCTCATCTCCCCTTTTGAAAAAAAATGAAAACAACACATTAAATAATTTCATGTGTCCAAGCGCTTTTCTGGATGTACCTTCTTCGGGAACGCTCAAATTTTAATATTTGAAAGCCGAGGATTGAAATTTCAAAAACATAGTTCAGTGAGGTGAACTTTCCCTAGGTCATATCCATGCCCATTAACAAATAATGTATATTCAGATATTCAAGTTATAAAATGGTATGAATAACCATACTTGTCAAAAAAACTATTTTTAGTAAAAGTTACATATGTTGTGTATGGACTATGGATATAAGAAAATATATGTTTAAAAAAAAATTACAATTATTGACAAAGGAAGAAAACTTCAATTTGAAAAATTGCCTAAATGTGTTTTATTGCAATTCAATTGCAGAATGTTTTTGTTTACAGAAATCTGTTGTTACCAGATGGTGTGTCCTCCGACAGATCACGTGCTAAATATGTGATACGTATACACAAAGCTCAGGGCTTACCTAAGATGAACACAGGAATTGTAGCCAATGTTAAGAAAGCCTTTACTGGTGAAAGTAAAGATCTAGTGGATCCTTATGTTAAAGTGTCCTTTGCTGGTCATGTGGTAAGTCTGATGTTAAACATTGAAATAATGTTTATGACAATAATTCAATTCAAAACACTACATTATTTAGTGTTATAAATAGGTCAAATGGGGTTATTAGTTTTATCTTCTGATTGTTTCACATTTTGCTAACCTAGGGCCTTTTACAGCTTACTATATATTATGGGTCATTGCTCATTGTTGAAGGCAATACAGTTATTGTTAGTTTGTTGTTTGCATCCTTGTCCGTTAGTCCTTTGTGGATAGTTGTCTCATTGGCAATCATACTAAATCTCCTTGGTGGATAGTTGTCTCATTGGCAATCATACTAAATCTCCTTGGTGGATAGTTGTCTCATTGGCAATCATACTAAATCTCCTTGGTGGATAGTTGTCTCATTGGCAATCATACTAAATCTCCTTGGTGGATAGTTGTCTCATTGGCAATCATACGAAATCTCCTTGGTGGATAGTTGTCTCATTGGCAATCATACCAAATCTCCTTGGTGGATAGTTGTCTCATTGGCAATCATACTAAATCTCCTTGGTGGATAGTTGTCTCATTGGCAGTCATACCAAATCTCCTTGGTGGATAGTTGTCTCATTGGCAATCATACCAAATCTCCTTGGTGGATAGTTGTCTGATTGGCAATCAAATCTCCGTGGTAGGTAGTTGTCTCATTGGCAATCATACCAAATCTCCGTGGTAGGTAGTTGTCTCATTGGCAATCATACCAAATCTCCTTGGTGGATAGTTGTCTTATTGGCAATCATACTAAATCTCCTTGGTGGATATTTGTCTATTTGGCAATCATACTAAATCTCCTTTGTGGATAGTTGTCTTATTGGCAATCATACTAAATCTCCTTAATTTTATACAACTATTATGAAAAAAAGAAATTATGAAGTTTTTTTATCCTCAATGAAAAAAAGGAAGATGCCATATTATTTTGAATTCCTTTCATCCCTCTGCCCATTTGTCTGCTAAAGGGGATATAACTTAGCCTACAGTGTTAAAGGTAGAAAGTTTTCATTTTGCAGATGACTATTGTTTAATTTGTGGTACTAGTACCTGAGATTAGTGGTTACTCCGATAACTTTACATGTTATGCTATATTGGTTTGTATTGAATTCAATGTCCAAGTTCAATTGCAGATTCAAAGTGATCTATATTTCAGACTGAAGTTAAATTTCAATTCAAGAATGTTTACCCGTAATTATTATGTAAGGTATATCAATATACAGATAACTCCAGGAGATATGTTTTTGGTTAAGAATATGAAATATCATAAAATAGATAATAATTCTATTTTTATGCATACACAACATTGTGATAGTTGTTCGGTTGTATGAATGAAGTCCCATGCATTTCATTGATAATTGACACGGATGGACATGAAGGTGTGACGTTGCTACACTGTTCTGGACTTCATTGCTTAATATTTTCGAGTATCAGGTCTTGTCAATGATATAGAAATATATTAGGCAGGCAGATCAAAGAGAAAATGTACAAATTGCTTATTAAATCAACTACTGAATGGCCTTTAACAATAATAAAACCTATGCAGTAAAGTAAGCTATTAAGGGCCCCTATCAAGCATATTTGAGAAGGAGGCTAACTTTGTAATTGTTATAGCCTGTGTTTTATATTGCAGGGTAAAACAAATGTACAGAAAGGGTTCTATGAACCTATGTTTTATATTGCAGGGTAAAACAGATGTACAGATTACAGAAAGGGTCCTATGAACCTATGTTTTATATTGCAGGGTAAAACAGATGTACAGAAAGGGTCATATGAACCTATATGGAACCAGCAGATAGTATTCACAGAAATGTTTCCACCATTATGTCGTAGACTCAAAATACAACTACGTGATAAAAATAAAGTCAATGATGATATTATAGGAACCCACTTTTTAGATCTAGCCAAAATATCCAATGAGGGAGACAAAGGTATTACTTATAGATGATATGCATATAATAATATCCATGCAAAATGTGATTTTCTAATGATAAGATAATCAATAAAGCCGTCTTCAGGTTACATGCCTGAAAATATCTTCTGAATGTGTTTGAAAGATTAGCACTGAGAAGTTCAACATTATCTCTCCTTTACTCATTGCATTGAATCTCATGTGACCTAAAAGACCACAGTCAACTGCTCTCATGATTTAGCCCCTGGTTTGTCACCTGTCATCTGTAAACTTTTCATTTTTATGGTTTACCCTTGTACATCTGTACGTCCAGAAATTGGTTTCTGTTCTCTAACTTTAGTTTGCCTCAACCAAATGTTATGAAGTTTATACATAATGCTTATTACCAGCAAACACAGATCAAGATTGAATTTGGTGTCCTTTCTCCAGTTATGTCCCTTTATAAATGGAAAAATTGCTTAATTTGTTGTTTCCACACTCTAACTTACTTTGCCTCTTCCAAATGTTATTAAACTTATACACAATGCTTAACAGAAATTTGTTTTACAGAAAACAGCAGTAAGTGTAATTGGTGTGGCTTATCTCGATAGATTTAACAATATTAATATTTTGTCAGTCTGTTACACAGTTTGAAAATAACACAGTCACTTTTTATACCCCACGCAACGAGTTGCGGAGGGTATAATATTTTTGACCCGTCCGTCTGTCCATCTGTCCGTCCGTCAGTCCGTCAGTCCTATTTCTTGTCATCGCAACTCCTCTCAAACCACACAACAGAATTTCACGAAACCTTTTTAGATAATAAGGACATACTATGTAGTTGTGCATATCAACAGGAAATTACGATTCAATTTTTTTTCTAGGAGTTACGCCCCTTTGAACTTATTTACTTTAATGTACTACTGCAACAGTTTGTCATCGCAACTCCTCTCAAACCACACAACAGAATTTCATGAAACCTTTTCAGATAATAAGGACATAATACGTAGATGTGCATATTGACAGGAAATTACGATTCAATTTTTTTTCCAGGAGTTACGCCCCTTTGAACTTATTTGCCCAATATACTACTGCAACCTTTTGTCATCACAACTCCTCTCAAACCACACAACAGAATTTCATGAAACCTTTTCAGATAATTAGGACATAATACGTAGATGTGCATATTGACAGAAAATTACGATTCAATTTTTTTTCCAGGAGTTACGCCCCTTTGAACTTATTTGCCCAATATACTACTGCAACCTTTTGTCATCGCAACTCCTCTCAAACCACACAACAGAATTTCATGAAACCTTTTCAGATAATAAGGACATACTACGTAGATGTGCATATCGACAGGAAATTACGGTTTAATTTTTTTTCCAGGAGTTAGACCCCTTTGAACTTATTTGCCCAATATACTACTGCAACCTTTTGTCATCGCAACTCCTCTCAAACCACACAACAGAATTGCATGAAACCTTTTCAGATAATAAGGACATACTACGTAGATGTGCATATCGACAGGAACTTATGATTCATTTTTTTTTCCAGGAGTTACGCCCCTTTGAACTTATTTGCTTTAATGAACTACTGCAACAGTTTGTCATCGCAACTCCTCTGAAACCACACAACAGAATTTCATGAAACCTTTTTAGATAATAAGGACATACTATGTAGTTGTGCATATCGACAGGAAATTATGATTCATTTTTGTCGAGCCTGCGACTTTTGTCGCAGAAAGCTCGACATAGGGATAGCGATCCGGCGGCGGCAGCGTTAGCTAACTTCTTAAAAGCTTTATATTTTAGAAGATGGAAGACCTGGATGCTTCATACTTTGTATATGGATGCCTCATGTTACGAAGTTTCCGTCAGTCACATGTCCAATGTCCTTGACCTCATTTTCATGGTTCAGTGACTACTTGAAAAAAAAGTTCAGATTTTTGTAATGTTAAATTCTCTCTTATTATAAGTAATAGGATAACTATATTTGGTATGTGCGTACCTTGCAAGGTCCTCATGCCCATCAGACAGTTTTCACTTGACCTCGACCTCATTTCATGGATCAGTGAACAAGGTTAAGTTTTCGTGGTCAAGTCCATATCTCAGATACTATAAGCAATAGGTCTAGTATATTCGGTGTATGGAAGGACTGTAAGGTGTACATGTCCAACTGGCAGGTGTCATCTGACCTTGACCTCATTTTCATGGTTCAGTGGTTATAGTTAAGTTTTTGTGTTTTGGTCTGTTTTTCTTATACTGTATGCAATAGGTCTACTATATTTGGTGTATGGAATGATTGTAAGGTGTACATGTCTAGCTGGCAGGTGTCATCTGACCTTGACCTCATTTTCATGGTTCAGTGGTCAAAGTTAAGTTTTTGAGTTTTGGTCTTTCTTTCTAATACTGCATGCAATAGGTCAGCTATATTTGGTGTATGGAATGATTGTAAGGTGTACATGTCTAGCTGGCAGGTGTCATCTTACCTTGACCTCATTTTCATGGTTCAGTGGTCAAAGTTAAGTTTTTGAGTTTTGGTCTTTTTTTCTAATACTATATGCAATAGTTCAACTATATTTGGTGTATGGAAATATTTTATGATCTATATGTCAGTCACGCAGGTTTTATTTGACCTTGACCTCATTTTCAAGGTTCATTGCTCAGTGTTAAGTTTTTGTGTTTTCGTCTGTTTTTCTTAAACTATAAGCAATAGGTCAACTATATTTATTGTATGGAAGAATTGTTAGCTGTACATGACTGCTAGAATGGTTCATCTGACCTTGACCTCATTTTCATGGTTCATTGGTCAATCTTTAGTTTACTTGGTTAATGTTAAGTTTATGTGACAGTTGTAATAAAGCTTTATATTTAGGACTATCAACATAATATCAATGATTAGTAAAGAAGGCGAGACATTTCAGCATGTGCACTCTTGTTGTGTTTTAGTCTGTTTTTCTTATACTGTATGCAATAGGTTTACTCTATTTTGTGTATGGAATGATTGTAAGGTGTACATGTCTAGCTGGCAGGTGTCATCTGACCTTGATCTTATTTTCATGGTTCAGTGGTCAAAGTTAAGTTTTTGAGTTTTGGTCTTTTTTTCTAATACTATATGCAATAGTTCAACTATATTTGGTGTATGGAAATATTTTATGATCTATATGTCAGTCACGCAGGTTTTATTTGACCTTGACCTCATTTTCAAGGTTCATTGCTCAGTGTTAAGCTTTTGTGTTTTGGTCTGTTTTTCTTAAACTATAAGCAATAGGTCAACTATATTTGTTGTATGGAAGAATTGTTAGCTGTACATGACTGCTAGCATGGTTCATCTGACCTTGACCTCATTTTCATGGTTCAGTGGTCAAAGTTAAGTTTTTGAGTTTTGGTCTCTTTTTCTAATACTTTATGCAATAGTTCAACTATATTTGGTGTATGGAAATATTTTATGATCTATATGTCAGTCACGCAGGTTTTATTTGACCTTGACCTCATTTTCAAGGTTCATTGCTCAGTGTTAAGTTTTTGTGTTTTGGTCTGTTTTTGTCGAGCCTGCGACTTTTGTCGCAGAAAGCTCGACATATGGATAGTGTTCCAGCGGCGGCGTTAGCTTACTTCTTAAAAGCTTTATATTTTAGAAGGTGGAAGACCTGGATGCTTCATACTTTGTATATGGATGCCTCATGTTATGAAGTTTCCGTCAGTCACATGTCCAATGTCCTTGACCTCATTTTCATGGTTCAGTGACTACTTGAAAAAAAAGTTAACATTTTTTGTAATGTTAAATTCTCTCTTAATATAAGTAGTAGGATAACTATATTTGGTATGTGCGTACCTTGCAAGGTCCTCATGCCCGTCAGACAGTTTTAACTTTACCTCGACCTCATTTCATGGATCAGTGAACAAGGTTAAGTTTTGGTGGTCAAGTCCATATCTCAGATACTATAAGCAATAGGTCTAGTATATTTGGTGTATGGAAGGACTGTAAGGTGTACATGTCCAACTGGCAGGTGTCATCTGACCTTGACCTCATTTTCATGGTTCAGTGGTTATAGTTAAGTTTTTGTGTTTTGGTCTGTTTTTCTTATACTGTATGCAATAGGTCTACTATTTTTGGTGTATGGAATGATTGCAAGGTGTACATTTCTAGCTGGCAGGTGTCATCTGACCTTGACCTCGTTTTCATGGTTCAGTGGTCAAAGTTAAGTTTTTGAGTTTTGGTCCTTTTTTCTAATACTATATGCCATAGGTCAACTATATTTGGTGTAAGGAAATATTTTATGATCTATATGTCAGTCACGCAGGTTTTATATGACCTTGACCTCATTTTCACAGTTCATTGCTCAGTGTTAAGTTTTTGTGTTTTGGTCTGTTTTTCTTAAACTATAAGCAATAGGTCAACTATATTTGTTATATGGAAGAATTGTTAACTGTACATGTCTGCCTGGCACGGTTCATCTGACCTTGACCTCATTTTCATGGTTCATTGGTCAATGATTAGTTTTCTTGGTTAATGTTAAGTTTATGTGACAGTTGTAATAAAGCTTTATACTTAGGACTATCAACATAATATCAATGATTAGTAAAGAAGGCGAGACATTTCAGCGTGTGCACTCTTGTTTTTTCTTAGTGTTACGCCCCTTTGAACTTATTTGCTTCAATGTACTTTTGCAACAGTTTGTCATCACAACTCCTCTGAAACCACACAACAGAATTTCATGAAACTTTATAGATAATAAGGACATACTATGTAGATTTGCATATTGACAGGAAATTATGATTCAATTTTTTTTTCTTATACAATTTTTTTTTCTTACACTTATTTTATTTCTCCAATGACAATGTGGGGACGTGGGGTATGTGAGCGCGCTCACTAAGGTTCTTTAATTTTAAATGATCTTGTACAAAGAAGTTTTAATTACCAAATAGTCAAAACAGAAAAACAAACAATAATGTGCACTTAACTTACTATTTAAAGAAATAAAGGCTTTTCAGTGTTTTATAGTGTATGCGGTTGTGTGTGCTTCTTTTCCATCGTACACTTTATTGATTTAGATAATACATAAACAAATGCTAACTTCTTCTTTCAACTATGCTAATTTTATCTGATGTTTGCAATAACCTACAAACAAGGATCCGATAGCTAAAAATAGGACATCATTTCCTATCATGATAATTTAAGTATATTACATAGATTTTTTAGACCATGTGTCAATAATTTGGTCCAAAGGCAGTCTAATTCCCACACTTAACTTAACTAATTGGATTCTTATGTTGGTAAAAGGGTTCTCTTGTGGTCCCATTTCTTATCCTAGTCTTTTGGTTTCAAATATTGATATAGTCGTCCCCTTTCCAAACCAACCTGTTGGAATTCTAGATCTTGCCTATTTTATCTAAAGTTAACCCATTGTCTATTGTGATCCCATTCCAGATTTAACCTGTTGGATCAAATATGGATGGTCCTGTTTTACTAAATCTGTGAAACGTTATGGGAAGACTTCTGTATAAGGGACTTGTACAAGCTTCTGAAGCTTAAGATTATTAAGTCATAAGTGTATGTAGCAATTATTATAATGTGTAATAATATGTTAAACATTATATTGGATATTATGACAACACAATGTAATTGCATGTGTAATTAAATAGTTCAGATAAAAAACTATTTATGACATTTATGCTTTATTTGTAGGTTTTCTCCCAACTTTTGGGCCTTGTTGGATAAATTTGTATGGGTCAACAAGAGACTACAGTTTATTAGATGAACACACCCACTTGAATGATGGACTTGGTGAAGGAGTGTCTTACAGAGGCAGAATATTGGTTTCCATGAAAACAGAAATTTTAGAGAACTCTGACTCTTCCTGTCCTGCCTCTGTAGAATTAGAAACTGCATTACCTGTACCTGAGGTAGATCACACCTACATATCATAATGCTCCTGTTTTTGGACAAATTTAACAACGTAGCTTGCTTTGAATGTCAAATAGAATAAGTGCTTTATTCTTATCAAAATTTTGGATGTTTAAATATGATTCTAGTTTACCAAATTGTTGTGTCAGTGAAAAAAGCGTCTTTTATTTATTGATGTAAAACATGATCAATACAAATCAGCATGCAGTTACCAGATTCAAGTTCAGTTATTAATGGGAGATAACTGCAATTTATTTAAATATAGTGATAACTTGCAAACGAAAAATATGCTATGTTATTTTTCTGAAAGTACATTAATTTGAATAATTTCATATTTTTTTTTTCCCTTAGCTTTCCTTTTCAACACGAAAGGATACAAAATGATGGAGCGCACAGTTGAAACAAAATTGTTTATTAGATAATTGCTCAAAATTTCTACTAAAAAAAACAACAAGAAGCTTGAGGTTGAAATTACTCTTCATTTAAAACTTGTCAGGTAAATATAGGATCACAAGTTCCATTAATTTTCAATTAACACAAAATAATTTGTTTTTATAGAATGCAGTTGGGAAACCAGAAGAGTTTTTCCTCTTTGGATGTGTTACTGAATCTACCATGATAGACAAGAAATATGCAGATAAACCAGTTCACTTTGAAATCAGTATTGGTAAGTCATTGTTAAAATAATGTAGCTATAAACTGAATTTCTACGAGGAAAATGTATTCCTCAGGTGTATTAGTATTGACTTTAAACTTGAAAATGCCAAAATACCTCATTCACTTTATATCATATGAAAATAAGAAAATGTGGTATGTTTGCCATTGAGACCAAATAACATAAAAGTTAACAACTATAGGTCACTGTATGGCCTTCTACAACAACTATAGGTCACTGTATGGCCTTCTACAATGAGCCAAAAACAATACTGCATAGTAAGCTATAAAAGGCCCTGAAATGACAAATGGAAAACAAAGGAGACAACTAACGGCCTAATTTATGTACATGTAGCTTACTCTGCAGTATGGGTTTTGGCTCATTGTAGAAGGCCATACAGTGACCTATAGATGTTAACTTCTATGTCATTTTCTACATGTATATAGTGACTGACTGGTCTATTTATTGTGGCTGAGAGGTGTAGGTAGCCTACATGTACATTTTGTTACCACAATAAGATTCATCCAATTTACCATCAAATGAGTTCTTTAGTTTCTTGTCAGTGATTTACCAAGGGCATTCCACCAACAAAACTGATTGCTATACACAGATATCATATTAAAAAGTAATGTTATTATGATGTACTTTTCACAGGAAATGCAGGTAATACATTAGATGGTTATAACCCACCAACGAAGAAAAAACGCAGTGACAGTAGTAGTGAGGAAACCGAGTCGGATGAATCAGCTGATGAAGATCAACCATTAGTATCCACCACTGTTTCTTCTGAACAACCAAAATGGCAGAGTACAACGCCACCATTACGGCCAATTTCTAGAGACAAATTTTATTACAATTTGCCATATTATGAGGACAAGCCATGTATTTATGTAAAGCAGGTGTTAGAAGATCATAGGAGGAGAATGTATAACTCTAACATTATAGACAAAATAGCGGAGAAACTGGTGTGTACTAACTGTGTGATTTTAGGACCTAATTAAGATACAATATTAGTTTTACCTGTGAATAAGGGTCACAATCCATTATTAACTTTATTTGATAACACTTATTTATTTTCAAGGAAATTTCATATTTTAAGCTTCAATATATCATACTGTCTCTGTGTGGCCCTTTATTTTGTAAAAATTAATACAGTTTTATATCCTGTCAGAAAAAAATATTATGTTCCATGAATTATTGATCTAAGTTATAATAGACTTTGTAAAAACAATGATTGGTACACATTGTGCTTGTTATAAAAAAATGAAATTAAAAGAGATAACATGTCAATGTGACAGCAACCCAATGACACAAATGGCCAAAAGACATCATTCAGTCCATTGATTTGATCATTCACAGGCAATAATTTCCATGTTTTAGTCAATATACAAACTTTTCATAAATATTTCTTAGAAATTAAAAACAATCTTTTTAAAAAATTGATGAATTTGACTTACTATTGAATTAAGGTTCAGATCTTAGCAGCTAGAAATAAAGGAGGAATACATTTTTCCATTAGATATTGGATAATAACAAAAGTCTATTTATAAACTGAGTAACTTTGAAACTATTCAAAATTAAAAGTATTAACTAAGTGATATGCATAAGGGGATTAGCATTAGCTGTTGTTTGTGACTGTACAATTTCATTACATACATATATTATTGTTTTAATAGGAAGATGGCATTCATGATTTCAACCACATGTTAACTGAGGAACAACCTTTTCCAGAAAAACGATTAAGGGGTGTATTTGAAGAATTAGGATCAGGTTGTTCTAAGTTTGTTTCCATAGTTAGAAGTACTAATGCTGGTTCAGGAGCTGGAAAAACTAAACTCGACAAAGAAAGACAGAAATTATTGTTACGAGAAATGGTATGTGTTATTTATTCTCATCAGTGTTACGAATACAACCATTCACATGTTATTCATATTCCTGCATGGTTAAATGTTAATTTTATCTAAAGCTGGTTAGATAATTTATAGATACAATGTGGTGAGAGTAGTGTTGATTTGACAGCAGAAAATGCATCAAAGTTTTGACTAAAATCCTTGCTCTGGGTCTGATATTGGTTTTTGTCTCAGTTGCAGAAAGCAAGACATAGGGATTGCTTTTCCGGCGACATTTTCTGCGCAAGTTAGTTTGATAGGAACTACTTGCGATAGATCAATGATATTTTCTATAAAGTTGCATTACTATCAATTTGAAGACTATTTTAAGGCCCTGCCCCCTAGGTCATGGTCCAGTGACTTGCAATCAACTAACAATTTTCAATGTTAAGTTTTATGATTAAGTTAGTTTGATAGGAACTACTTACAAAAGACAATATTTTCTATAAAGTTAAATTGCTGTTTGTACATCTCAGTTTGTCCACCATTTTGAGGATCTACCCAGCGACTTTGAATTAATTAGCAATGTTGCTGTCCATCAGATTGTCTTTTTCTGAGTTTTATGCCGACAGGCAAGACATATCTCTGTGTCAACAGTTTATTGTCTTTCCAATTGTAATTTTTTTCTCTTAAGATTTCATTTCTCTCAATCAGAGGGATAAAATAACAGTAATAGAATCAATTCCAGTTTCACTGTGTAAAACATCCATTGTGAGGGATTGGTGTTCTAATGTTGTTTGCTTAAAATTCAGTGGCAAATATTTTATGCATATTCAGGATTAGAACAAATTAACAATAAATCTGATAGGTAGTCTCAACAAAGTGGGTTGACTGAGACTGAGGGTGGAAAAGTAGGACTGCTACTGAAAAATCTGGACACATTGGATAGAGACATTGCTTTTGCCTTTCAACAGGCCACCTCATAAAGTTGTAGAGAGCTTGGCACTTTCCCTACATGATGCATCAGATTTAACATCCTCATTCCAATTATTAAAAGTAGCTGCATATTTGTACATCCTGTAAAGCCAAAAAAAGGAAAGGTATCACTCAGGCAGAGACACAGGGACCTATTTCTTTGCCCTTGGTACCATTGAGGGCAAAAAGATTTAAAGTAAGGTTCAATAACCTATCTTATCAAGTTAGCAGGTGAGACATATCAGTTTGTCTTCTCTTGTTTTCATAACTTCAGATTTGTTCAAAAGGAAAAGAAATACATTGTTTTACCAAAAATATTTTAGATAGACAGTGTCTCAAATTGAAACATTAAAACCACAAAATATTATCAATAAATCAGTACCAAATAGAGTTATTAGATTGAAATTCTGTTTTGTTTCAGGACCAGTTGTCCACTATGGCCAGAACAATGAAAGCTACAACGACAAAAAGTAACATGAAAGATAAACTACGCTATGCAAACCAGTTCTTACAGAAACTGAAAAATATATCTCAGGAGGTTTGTACTCTAGGTTGTATGATAAGTGTGTGAGAGAGAAATGATTGAAGATAGCAAGGTTTTTATAGGAAGAGCTGTGTTGTGGAAGTGTATTAGAGAAATAAATTAAGTATTGAGTATGAATGAACAATGGTAGCAAAAGACTTGATTGCATATTGAATTCCAGTCAAGAATCTGATAACATAGATTCTAACCAGCAACCCCAGATTAATGTACATGTACAGCATTTTCTTACTTCAAATTTTTTTTAAGTTTTAAAAGCCAGGCTTGCTAAGCATTTATAAATTTGAAGTTGTTTTTTTATTCACAAATGCTAACATTTTTATTTTTATAGGTGATCATCATAACAACAATATAGTCAAAAGTTACCAAAGGGAAAATCAAAACTCACTTGATAGCAAAATTTTAAAACAGCAATAAGATTTAATGCAAATAATCATAAATTAAGTTTCAACCAATGAATAGCTGAGAATAAACTAATCACACTTGGTTTATTGGAAAAAATTAAGTAGTTGATCAGAAATTTATAATAGACATGTAAATATATATTTGGTATGCATTTCAGTTAGACAATATCTGTTATTTATTTCAGCCCCAACATGCCCTCCCTGATGTATTTATATGGATGATCAGTGGAAACAAAAGATTGGCTTATCAACGGTTACATGCTAAAGATCTTATTTACTCCATTGTTGATGAAGAGAGGGGAAAAGATTGTTCCAAAGTTCAGACATTATTCTTACGGGTATGGCAGAATATGGTTTACACTACACAATTGTTTTTAAGAAAGGAATGTCTTTCAAAATATATAGACAAACAGAAATGTCCAAATTCAGTTTCATAAATACAGGCAGTAATGGCTTTATACAAGGCTTTCCAAAATGAAAAGAAATAAAGATGTATGTCAAAAAAGCAGCAACCTAACAACCAACAACAAAAAAATCATCTATGCAATAAATCATTCTCTTAATTGCAAATGGTATTATAAATTCACCAAACATGTTGGTGACCTGCTGTTGTCTGTTCTATGGTCGGGTTGTTGTCTCTTTGACACATTCCCCATTTCCATTCTCAATTTTATGTACCGTCATCACCAAAATTCTTTTATGGACAAAAGAACATTAGGAATTGATTAAAGACAACTGACTTTAGACAAAATAGTCATTGTAAGAGTACCAAAAAATGAAATAAGAGTGAGAACTGCCAGCAAACTTGATAAATTGTGACAACTGCAAACAGATGGAAAAAAATTATAAGATTGGGAATGTAGGATTTGTAACAAAATTGGAACCTTTTTTTAATTAATAAGACAGAGGCCTCAAAAGCAAAGTGGTCAAAGTAGTCCAACTACTGTATCCCTAGCCTGTCAACACTGAGGTTGTGAGTTTGAATCCTTCATGTGGCAAGTGCGCTTGACTCCAATCCTAATTGACTAGGATTATCAGTTTTCTTCCTGCTGGTTTCCATAAGCAACTGCTCTGTTTCAATGATGTTTTCCCGTGTTTTGCAAAGCATTTTCACCTCAATTATGAAAATCTGCCCCCTATTTAATATGGCTGCAATAACCGTGAATGAGCCTATTAGACAGTAGCTTTCCACGAGTTTCCAAACCAACCTTGTAACTCTGAGTCATAATTATCAAAACATCATTTGGGATACAAGTGTTCTACTTACTCCTCAACATTCTGGTGGTTCCTTCTATAGAGGTCTGTAAGTTACCAATAAATAAACTGATTTTAAATTTTGTCAATTTTCAGTTACCAGGAAAGAAGGCTACCAGTGTAGCAGGTTGGGTAATACAGGCCAAAGTACAAGTGTATTTATGGTTAGGACTGACAAAACATAAAAAGGACTTTCTTACTGGTCTTCCTGGTGGATATGATCAAAACTCACTTATGCAAATAGCTAATAAACCTCATGGTGTTCCCCCTCCATTTATACACTTTACAGGTGAGATATTAATTACTGATAAGGTGTTCCCTGTCATATTTTTATTTAATTTCTTGAAAAAGAATATCCAACATGAGTGAAGATATCAAACAATCATTGATGTATGAAAATTTATCAGAGTGAAATTACCTCAAGGTAAAGCAATTTAATATTCCTTAAAAAAAATCATTTTCTACAGCATATCTCTAGGTGATCCTATATAAATGGACATCAGCATGTTTTTTTTTTGGTTAACTTATACACTCACAATGGAGATTTAAAATAGATATCACTGTGTTTCCCATCATTCATGTTCATAAATGAATAACAGCATCATCAGTAAAACCTAAGCTATCTTATACTTTGTAGAGAGACAAACATTCCAAGTTAGAGCCCACATGTACCAGGCTAGAAGTCTGATAGGTTCTGATGCCTCAGGACTGTCAGATCCATTTGCTAGAGTTGTCTTTAACAACCAGAGTGTGGCTACACAAGTGATTGAGGAGACACTGAGTCCAACCTGGGATGAAATGTTAATTATAAATGAGGTGGAGATATATGGATTGATGCAGGAAATAGCTAAATATCCACCAACCATTATAATAGAACTGTTTGATCAAGATAAAGTGGTGAGTATTGAATGTAGTAAGACCTTGATATCAAGGACTTTCAACATATTTTCTGTTATAGACAAGAAATCTCAACATATTTATTTAAACATTAAAACTCAATTTTGAAATAAGAAATTCAAAATGATTTGAAAACAGTAAAATGTTTAGCTTCAAAGTTTTGTTAGAGCTTTATGCTTTTCTAAAAATCTGAAGATTTGCTTTGACATGTAGGTCCCATAAATATAGGAAAATTTAACTCCCTGGGTCATCACATATTTTAGTTATGACCAAGTATTCTATTGTTTTTTTTTCTTTAACAGTGGTCAGAGAGGCGACTATCAAATTAGTGTGCCTTTAGCATAAAGAAAAAGCTTAATTTATCAATTTCTTCAAATCAGATTTAAATTTCCTTGTAAAAAAAGTGAATTCATTGCATACTTCCTTCTTGTCAGTCTTTTACAGTTGCAATAAACTGGTAGTGACAGAAATGGTATATTTCTTGGTATATCAGTAGTCCATGTAAGCAAGTTTTCAAGGGTTCTTATAACATTAATCATTACATTTATAGTATAAACATGCCATGAAACAATTATGAAAACATTTGGTCTGTTCTTACTTCAGACTTACAATTTGTGTTGCAGGGGAAATCAGAATTTATTGGCCGAGCAGTGGCCAGACCAATTGTTAAGATGAGCTCTGAAAGTTATGATGGACCTAAATTCCCTCCACGCTTAGAATGGTGGGATATCTATAGAGGACCCGACAAAGCAGGAGAACTTTTAGCTGCTTTTGAAATACTCCAGGTATTTTTGTTATTCATATACAGAAAGGATGTTTTTCTACAAACTCGAGTATTTTTCATATTAACAGGATTGGATACTGTAAATTTAGAAATTAATGTGAGGTTTTTATTAATGCGAATAATGCGACTGGGCGAGTATTGCAATTATAAGTACTCGCATTCTGATATCTGATGCATATATCTGTATGCAGCCTTTCTTGAAATCGCAAAAAATTTATCTCGCATTTATGTCCATTCTTAAAAAATCGCAATAATAAATTCACGCAATAATTTCAGAATTTACTATAATACACTGATTTCACAGAATGGCATGAATAAATTCCAGTTTGTCAAGTAAATTGAATTGGATGTGTTTAGAACTTAATTTTTAGTTGAATTGACTGGAAGAAACCAGACTTCCACTGTTGTGGTACGTGTCTAATCCCAAGTTGATGTTGTTCTTCTGCATTAGAAAGTAGAGAATGCTTGAATCTGGAGTGATAATTTTTTAACTGTGTTATTAAAACATACAAAATTATTCCAATTCTCATTTTTATCAATTTAAGCAATCAAAATAAAACATCGATTTAAATCTTAATAATATTGCATTTTACTTAGAATTTATTTAAAGAAAAGAAAGAAATATTGTTTTCTACACTTTTTGTGTAACTTAAATATTATTATAATATATGTGAGTTTCACTTTGGACCACAAACATATTCAGATAAGATATAAAACAAATCTTAATATATTTGTATTTCCCTGTGCATGATGCACTGTGAATGGATAAGTTATCAATAATGCATGTTTTGTAAAATAGTTTTGGTTTCTGCTCACATACACCATGACCAATATGTTAATTGATAAAAGTATTTCATTAATGACTTAAATGGAAATACCAATGATAATTTATTTATTCATACCTTAAAATTTTAATACATTGTGTAATGTGATATCCTTACTGTGTATATTCAAAAGGTTTTGTCCTTTCCCAATGCTAACAATTTCAATCACCTAAAATGTTTTACCAGTTGGTCAGTTTGTAGAGGTCAATTCAAACTGCAATTTGGTAAAACATTTTAGCAATTGGTATTGTGAAAGGACAAAGCCTTTTGAATATGTGTTTTAAATGAATTTAAAATTTTACTGTAGGTTTCTTTGATTTTATAAAGTAATTTTTAATAAATCTTTTCATTTTCTATTTTGTTTTTAAAATTTCATGTTGATGACTTTGACCCAGAGGAGGGGCGACAGCCTAAGGTGCTGTGTGCAAATTTTTGTATGTCACATGGTACGATTTTAGCGTCCCTCGAAAATTTTGAATCTGGAAAAGATCCATTTGTTCATGTTTTTAATATCAAATATACTCTCTTGCACTTGCAGAAAATATAGAAAGTTTTGAAATAAAAAGATTAATCAATGATAGAAGATGACTTTATATGAAATATTTTCTTTATGTTTTTTATCTTTAAAGTAAATTCTATCAATAAAGAAATGTACTGTAATGGCGGGAAATTTTATTCGATCTCTGCCAAATCATGAGGCACAGATTTTTGTAAATTTTACAAATGTCAGCTCGTGAAAATCATTCAAATTTATGTCAATCAAAGAACACTATTTGAACATTCTAAATCTTCTTAAGTCTCCAGCCGTTGCTTCGTAATAAGTCACTAAAATATGATTTCCGGTAAGTAAAATATCCAAAATATCGTCAAATCCGCTATAATATGTTATTTTAGGCATATAAACTCTTATGTATTTTAAATATTTTGAAAACAAAATTAAAATTTAGTCTTATGAATAACCATCATGAAAAAATATAGTTTTTTCATAATTGAATCGTGCATTATTTGTGTATTGGATTGCTTAATAGCCTTCTCTCTAGTGTTATCTCTGTTTTGTTTACTGACAAATGACGAAATAATGCAATATTTAAAATTTAGTATTTTACAAAACTTTGTCCTGATTAAAAACTTAAAATCGACTGAATAAATTGAGAATTCACTGATTATCGATGTTGAAAATAGCCCTTAGTAATAAACAGTCAGTTTGTGTATAAATATGTTTATTGCCAAGAAATAACTAACAAATTTGTTTATTATGTATGTTCAAAGTATATGTATATTGCATAATCAGCCCTTCTGTATATTACTTTTTTTATTAATTGATTCAACAAATTTCGCTTGTCCAGGTATCATTAACGGTGATGTCCACACCATGAGTAGTTTATTAAAAATGACACAATACCACCGCGACCGATCGATAATATAAGACAAATCTGCGTGCCATATGCAGAGTTTCGTCCCTCCTCTAACTTTGACCTTTGATTTGAGAATTTGAATTTATTTAAATAGTCCATTGTAAATATTTTATTGACATTTACTATTTAAGCAATTTTTCAACATGCTATAAGTATTGTATATTGTTTCTGTCTTCCAATTTAATGCCTATTTATCCTGATGTTGTATAGTTCCCATTTGACGAGAAAGAGTTGACGAGAGCCTGTCATACACCACTCTACGCCAGAAAAGTAGTATCGCTGGTATAATTTCAAATGCTTTCTATGTTGTTGATTTTAGATTTTCCTTTCTCAAGTAATTTGTTCTAGTCATTTTGAAATCCTTTGTCTTTTTCATAGACTTATTATGATGATTTGTTTGTAAGAATGACATGCCATATCTTCACGATTATATAACAGTTTGACAAAAAAAAGACTACAGGAACATTCAGCAATACAATGTATTACAAAAAAAAGCTTCAAGACCTACTGATTTGGTTTGAATGGGTTACACTGTAATTATATTTTGAATAAGGTCTATACCAACATATTATTGTTCAATACTGCAATGAGTGGGACTAGAAAAATTATGTATTTTTCACTTTCTAAACACTTATGGTATTTTAGTAATATTTAAGTTTGTGTAGTCTTTACACACTGGCATTTTGCTCACCTGAGGAATGTAGACTGTAAACATTGGTATTTGTTAATCTGAAGCTGTTTTAAACAATATTTTAAATCATTCTTTTTCTTCCAACCTGGTTCTTTGAGACCAGTATGATTTGATTGGTCTTATTTATAATATTGAAATATAATTGGAATATTAAGTTTGCCACAATTTTTCTTCTCATTGTCTTATAATTAGAAATTTGTTTAATGTTAAAAATCTAAATATAGTAACCATGATGCATAATATTTGTACCAGCTTTTGATACATTTGCACAAATTCATTTTATAGATAAACACAGGTAAATTTACTCCAAAACTCGTAAATTATACTTATTTATTTAAGTATTTACAAGTAACCCTTCAGTTAATCCCCTGTTCAGCAACAAGGAGATAGAAATTGGGTTTCGAGCTGGATAAGTCTATTTCATTATTCAGATACACTAAATCCTGGAAATATATACAGATTAAAATCTAAACACGTAGCAAATTTGAAGAGTAAAAGTACTGGTTTTACATGTTGGTACATGCTGAATATTTGCAGCCCACTGCTTTGAGAAAATGAATTCTGTCAATTTCTTCATTCTGGTATTTTCAGAATTGTTTCATCAAATACTCTCTTTCTCACTTCTACATACAACTGCTGATGTACAAGCTGTCATAGTTTAGTTCCAAATTGATAACTATCGACATATTTAGTATGAATTATCTTTAAAATGAATGCATGCAATTGTAATAAAAAGGCTGAGCGCAAATGTAAAATTTATTCCCCAAATGCGTGCAAATATGATACGCCCAGTAACCAAACCTATTGTTTTACATTGTTAATTGTGTATTTACCAATGAATTTATTATACCCTACATGATTAAGTTATTATGAGAGTATATTGTTTTTGCCCTACTATTTTCACTTTCTTGTCACAAGGATAGCTCTTTTATTTTTTATCAGATCCTCTTTAAATTTGTATGAAGGTTTCCCTTTATCAAAACTTCAGATGAATTTGATAATCTGAAAAATCTGCAATGGGGAGACATAATTCTAATTGTCACTTTTTATCAGATTTTCTTTAAAGGAGGAGGTATTATATGGTCAAATTTTAGGCTTATGATTTCTAAAATTGAATGGATCATAAATCCATCAGATGTTCACAAGACATAAGATATTCAGTTATCAGTATTCATATTTTTTTTTTGTCTGACCTGTATACTGTAGGGCTCTTTCTGCAAAACTACAAAATCTGCCAAAATACACTCATTTTGGGGCCTTGTCAGTAATATTTAGATTTTGGTGAAGGCTTTATCCAAATAAGATATTTTGCTTCAAAATATAGCTTTTATTGTCTCGCCTTGACGGAGTCAAAAAGCGAGATATAGGTATGCTGTTTTGGGGTCGGCGTCAACAATGTATTAGTTTGTGATTAGGTCTAGTTCATGGTGAACCACTAGTGGTAGGTCAATGAAATTTGGTATGCAGTTGTATTAGCATTGGCACATCTCGTTACCATGGAGATTATTTGGCTCCACCCCCTCAGTCATGGTTTATAGACTTTGAAAATTTTGGTAAGTTAACATGTATTAGTTTGTGATTAGGTCAATTTATGGGGAACCACTAGTGGTAGGTCAATGATATTTGGTATGCAGTTGTATAAGCATTGGCATATCTCATTTCAATGGAGATTATTTGGCTCCACCCCCTTAGTCATGGTTTATAGACTTTGAAAATTTTGGTAAGTTAACATGTATTAGTTTGTGATTAGGTCAGTTCAAGGGGAACCATTAGTGGTAGGCCAATGTTAATTGGTGTTCAGTTGTAAAAGCATTAGCACATCTCATTTCCATGGAGAATATTTGGCCCTGCCCCCTTAGTCATGGTCTATTTACTTTGAAACTTTTGCTTAGTTTACATGTATTAGTTTGTGATCAGATCAGTTTAAGATGAACTGCTAATGTTAAGCTAATGAATTTGGTATGCAAATTTATTGGCATTTGCACGTATCTTTTCCATGGAGATTATTTAGCCCCACCCCTGATCATGGTTCATTGACTTTGAAACTTTTACATAGTTTACAAGTTAATGTTTGTGTTTAGGTTTGTTTAAAGAGAACGACTTATAATTAGTCAATGGTATTTGGTATGCAGTTGTATTAGCATTAGCACATCTCATTCCATGGAGATTGTTTAGCCATGTACCTTAAGTCATGGTTCATCGACTTTGAATATTTGCGTAACTTACATGTTAAAGTATTGCTATTTTAATTTCAACATTTGCATTATCTAAATTACAAAAAAGGCGAGACATATCTCTGTGATAACAGTTTATAGCTTACTAAATGGTTTGGGTTTTGCTGATTGTGGAGTGTCATATTGTCACCTACAGTTGTTTTGATCTTTGTCTCTTGGTCTCTGGTGGATAGTTTTCTCATTTAGAGTATCATATTGTCACCTATAGTTGTTTTTATCTTTGTCTTTTGGTCTCTGGTGGATAGATGTCTCATTGTGGAGTATCATATTGTCACCTACAGTTGTTTTTATGTCTTTTGGTCTCTGGTGGATAGTTGTCTCATTGTGGAGTATCATATTGTCACCTACAGTTGTTTTTATCTTTGTCTTTTGGTCTCTGGTGGATAGTTTTCTCATTTAGAGTATCATATTGTCACCTATAGTTGTTTTTATCTTTGTCTTTTGGTCTCTGGTAGATAGTTGTCTCATTGTGGAGTATCATATTGTCACCTATAGTTGTTTTTATGTCTTTTTTGGTCTCTGGTGGATATCTGTCTCATTGGCAATCATACCAAATCCCCTTATTTTTATATAATATGGAAAAGATAGAAGAATAATAATGGCTCATATCATACCTCCTCATTTGAATGAAGATTTCCTTTCTACTCAATAAAACGTTTGATGAGTTGATGATGAAAATTAATCTGAGAAGGTAGCCATTTTTTTTGGAGAGGGACTTGTAAAAATATGAAGTCTTGTTGCCAGGAAATGACCTAAAATATAGAGTATTTTAGATTTAAAGGTATTGCAATGATGTGTTAATTTTTTTTTTTGGAAACTTTTGACTGAATGTAAACTTAGTTTCTCCATTGTGTTTTTCCTTTTTTATATGTGTTTATTCAGGTCACTGTTATGGATAGAAATGCATGCCACAAAAATTTGTCTTGAACACTTTTTTGTAAAAGTTAAAAAACACCTTATTTATGTTTAACATTTAGATTTTCAAATTTTCAAAGAATGTTAGAAAAAAATATTTCTTTGCATAAAGAAATTATTGAACCATTAGGAAATAATTTAAATGTAACAAAAATAATTATCTTTAGGATGGGAAAATATTTATCTAACACAGGTTTTTCATCACAGGATGTTATACTATGGACATTTGATTTACCCATGGAAGTAATATTACTTCCATGATTTACCAATAGATAAAAATGTATAATTTATTGATGAATTGTGTGTGTTTACAGTTATCTCCCTTTGGTGATATGAAAGGTGGAGAAGATTTACCTCCCTTAGAAATGCCAGAACTAGGAGATAAAGATCGTGGCCCTGTTATGCCTGTACCTAAAGGCATACGACCAATACTTAGTAAACACAGAATCGAGGTAAAAAAAATTGCTATAGATGATACATATAAGTTTTTTGATAAAATTTAATTAAAACTGTACTGAGGGGGTGGACAGCTAAAAAGGGAGGTGGGAGAAAGGGGGTTGAAGGTGGGAGAAGAGGTGTTGGGAGGTGGGAGGCAAGGGGTTGGAAGGTGGGAGAAAGGGGGCGGGAGATGGGAAAAAAGAATGTTGGAGAAAAAAAAATTTCTATGTAAAATTAATCTAGAGCCAAATTTTATATCATTTAAAGTGATCATAAATGATTTACACAGCATTTAAGATCAGGATATAATTTCATAGAAATTGATCCAATATCCACCCATTTTGGTGTGAATCATATCTCTGGCAAGTTATTTCATAGACATTGGTCCAATATCCACCATTTTGGTGCGAATCATATCTCTGGCCTAAACATAGAAGACTTAATAAAAACAAGAAAAAGACTAAAAACATTGAAGAGTTCAAAGCAGTCAAAAATAAAATAAAATTACATTAACAACAAATCAAGCTCAAAACAGCAAAACAATTTGTAGTGAATCTTTCATCTATAAAACATTATCACAACCAGAAACACTATTTCTTACTAAAGGACTAAACTTTGTTCCAACTACAAAAATATCCATAAAACAAATAATGAAAGATTTCAAAAGAACTGAAAGGAATTTGAGAGACTCATTCTTTTTCCTTAAAAATCCAAATATACAGAGTAAATTTCATCCCTTCAAGGAGAAATCAAACTTTTCGGTGCAGGCGTTTGCTGATAACCCTATTGAAAAAGAAATTTTTTATACGAAAATGGAATTATCTAGATATATACCGTAAACAATTTAACCTTTCACTACAAGAAAGAAACTGCCTCAAGAATCTAAAACACGATGAAAATATCATCATTCACAAAGCGGATAAAAGCAATGTAACACTGTCATTCAAAATCTTTCTGACTATCTCAAAGAAGGTGAAAAACAATTGAATGATAATGTACATTATGAACAAATACAAGAGATAAATCTGAGAAACACTCAGAAAAAAGTAGATGAAGTAATTTACAAAATGAAGAAGAAAACTGTATTGATGAAATATCTTTCAAATACATTAAAATTGAACAAAATTATTTAAAAACACCTTTTGCATACTTCCTCCCTAAAATTCACAAACTGGACAGTGAAGTTTTACAAAACATGGAAAACGAATACAATTAAATAACAACTATAAATGTCCCAGGTAGACCAATTATATCACAGTGTAATAGACCCATTGAAAGAATGGGAAGATATTTAGATTATTTCTTACTTCCCTTAGTAAAAACACAAAACATGTACATTTCTGACACAGGTGACTTAGTCAGAAATATTGAAAACTGTACATTTGATAATAATGTACTACTTGTTACATATGATATAACATCACTATATACCAATCTCAGATTCGAGGAAATCACACAAGCTTTACAAAAAGTGCTTGATAAACATGAAGAAATTGAATATCCTATAACAAATCCTAACAATAAATTTCTAGTTGAAATAACAAAACTCATCCTTTCCAATAATGAATTTACCTTTCACCATGTTCATGGAAATTCATATTGACAAATTATTGGAGCATCAATGGGAGCAACAGCTTCCCCTAAAATATGTGACATTACTATTTAAATCACATAAACTCAATCCTTGAAAACTCTCTAATTTCTGAAAAAAATATTTTTCATAAAAGAATTAGAGATGACGGACTACTGGTTGTAAAAGCAAAAGTGTCTGAAATTTATTTCCTGTTTGAAAATGCAAATAAACAACACGACCTGCTAAAGTTCACTTATGAATGCAATAATCATTCCATAAAATTGAATACCGAAAAATTCCAATATCTTCATAAAAACTCAAACCACCCCCTTTCAAACTTTAACTGCTTTATTAAAGGCGAAGGTATTCGTATACTTAGAAACACAAACACTGAAAGTGAATTTCAAACCAGAAAAAAAAAACTATTTATTGAAAAACTATTAATTAGAGGATATAAACTGAAATTGGTAAAACAAATTCTATCAAAAATCAAATTCCAAGACAGACAAGATAAATTAAGAAAAAGAACAAAGTTGAAAATAGATGTAATTATGTATCATTCATTACATATTATCATCCTCAAGCAGACAAACTTCAAAATGTATTCAGGAAATACTGTCATCTTATTAAAACAGACTCTACAATAGGTGTCAGATTCCATAAAAACCTATCAATAGGATTCAAAAGAAATAACATTGGTGAATTAGTGAAACCAGCTATAAAATAATTTGTATAAACCTCACAGTTCCTGCAGAACTAATTAATGACCATCATGTAAACCACACATGTAAACTAATATTCTTATGACAAAACTTTCTTACCATCATTCACCAGGGAACACTTAATTCAACATATTGAAATAGGTTGAAATAATCAAAATTCATATGCAAATTAACAAATTAAAAAAGAAATAAATGGAAAAGAAAAACAAAAGGGGTGGTCTCTGATGAAGGTTTCCCAGGAATAAAACACTATTCTGAAAAAAACCCAAAACATTGCATACAGAACACAGTATCAATGTAAGGCCAGAGATATGATTCACACCAAAATGGATGGATATTGGATCAATTTCTATGAAATTAAGCACAGTATCAATGTAAGGCCAGAGATATGATTCCCACTAAAATGGGTGGATATTGGATTTATTTCTATGAAGTATATTTAATAGGTACAAAAAATTGATGTTACAGGATGGGAGGTGGGAGACAGTACCCCCCTGTCCACCCCCTCTTTACTCTTTACTCTATAGAGGGTTTTAATAATTAATTCTGTTTGATGGTTGATTTAACAAGTACTTGTAAACTATCCCAGCATGTTTTTCAGGTGTAGTAATATTGTGGAATACTAAAAGTGAAAGAATGCTCCTCATAAAATAATTGACACGCTTTCTATCTTTAGTTTATATGTGTCATTGGGTCTCATTAATGTGCACCCAACCTTTATTCAATAATGATTATTATCTACAACACATCATTTGGTAGTCTTTACATGTAGATTGAAACAAAGCCCCACAAACACCAAAAAAGAACATTCTGTATAATTTTTTTTATAGTTGAATTAAACTACAAAAGTATACAGAAATAAAGAGCATAATAAGATCTGTTAAATTATAGTCAAAAATATATGAGAATATCAATCCTTTGAATTCAGGTTTTATTCTGGGGAGTAAGAGATCTTAAGAGAGTCCAATTATCAACAGTGGATAGACCAAGAATAGACATCGAGTGTGCTGGGTCCATTAAACAATCATCTGTTATACAACATACCAAGAAAAATCCAAACTTCAGTGTGCTGGTTAAATCATTTGATGTGGTATGTCTAGTTTGTATATGCAGAGAACCTTTCAGTGTACTGGTTAAATCATTTGATGTGGTTAGTCTAGTTTGTATGTGCAGAGAACCTTTCAGTGTACTGGTTATATCATTTGATGTGGTAAGTCTGGTTTGTATGTGTAGAGAACCTTTCAGTGTACTGGTTAAATCATTTGATGTGGTAAGTCTGGTTTGTATGTGCAGAGAACCTTTCAGTGTACTGGTGAAATAATTTGATGTGGTTAGTCTAGTTTGTATGTGCAGAGAACCTTTCAGTGTACTGGTTAATCATTTGATGTGGTTAGTCTAGTTTGTATGTGCAGAGAACCTTTCAGTGTACTGGTTAAATCATTTGATGTGGTTAGTCTAGTTTGTATGTGCAGAGAACCTTTCAGTGAACTGGTTAAATCATTTGATGTGGTAAGTCTGGTTTGTATGTGCAGAGAACCTTTCAGTGTACTGGTGAAATCATTTGATGTGGTTAGTCTAGTTTGTATGTGCAGAGAACCTTTCAGTGTACTGGTTAAATCATTATGTGGTAAGTCTGGTTTGTATGTGCAGAGAACCTTTCAGTGTACTGGTTAAATCATATGATGTGGTAAGTCTGGTTTGTATGTGCAGAGAACCTTTCAGTGTACTGGTTAAATCATTTGATGTGGTTAGTCTAGTTAATATGTGCAGAGAACTTTTCAGTGTACTGGTTAAATCATTTGAGGTGGTAAGTCTGGTTTGTATGTGCAGAGAACCTTTCAGTGTACTGGTTAAATCATTTGATATGGTAAGTCTAGTTTGTATGTGTAGAGAACCTTTCAGTGTACTGGTTAAATCATTTGATGTGGTAAGTCTGGTTTGTATGTGTAGAGAACCTTTCAGTGTACTGGTTATATCATTTGATGTGGTAAGTCTAGTTTGTATGTGCAGAGAACCTTTCAGTGTACTAGTTATATCATTTGATGTGGTAAGTCTAGTTTGTATGTGCAGAAAACCTTTCAGTGTACTGGTTAAATCATTTGATGTGGTAAGTCTGGTTTGTATGTGCAGAGAACCTTTCAGTGTACTGGTTAAATAATTTGATGTGGTAAGTCAATTTGTATGTGTAGAGAACCTTTCAGTGTACTGGTTAAATCATTTGATGTGGTAAGTCTGGTTTGTATGTGCAGAGAACCTTTCAGTGTACTGGTTAAATAATTTGATGTGGTAAGTCTAGTTTGTATGTGCAGAGAACCTTTCAGTGTACTGGTTAAATCATTATGTGGTAAGTCTGGTTTGTATGTGCAGAGAACCTTTCAGTGTACTGGTTAAATCATATGATGTGGTAAGTCTGGTTTGTATGTGCAGAGAACCTTTCAGTGTACTGGTTAAATCATTTGATGTGGTTAGTCTAGTTTGTATGTGCAGAGAACTTTTCAGTGTACTGGTTAAATCATTTGAGGTGGCAAGTCTGGTTTGTATGCGCAGAGAACCTTTCAGTGTACTGGTTAAATCATTTGATGTGGTAAGTCTAGTTTGTATGTGTAGAGAACCTTTCAGTGTACTGGTTAAATCATTTGATGTGGTAAGTCTGGTTTGTATGTGTAGAGAACCTTTCAGTGTACTGGTTATATCATTTGATGTGGTAAGTCTAGTTTGTATGTGCAGAGAACCTTTCAGTGTACTAGTTATATCATTTGATGTGGTAAGTCTAGTTTGTATGTGCAGAGAACCTTTCAGTGTACTGGTTAAATCATTTGATGTGGTAAGTCTGGTTTGTATGTGCAGAGAACCTTTCAGTGTACTGGTTAAATAATTTGATGTGGTAAGTCTAGTTTGTATGTGTAGAGAACCTTTCAGTGTACTGGTTAAATCATTTGATGTGGTAAGTCTGGTTTGTATGTGCAGAGAACCTTTCAGTGTACTGGTTAAATAATTTGATGTGGTAAGTCTAGTTTGTATGTGCAGAGAACCTTTCAGTGTACTGGTTAAATCATTTGATGTGGTAAGTCTGGTTTGTATGTGCAGAGAACCTTTCAGTGTACTGGTTAAATAATTTGATGTGAAAAGTCTAGTTTGTATGTGCAGAGAACCTTTCAGTGTACTGGTTAAATCATTTGATGTGGTAAGTCTGGTTTGTATGTGCAGAGAACCTTTCAGTGTACTGGTTAAATAATTTGATGTGGTAAGTCTAGTTTGTATGTGCAGAGAACCTTTCAGTGTACTGGTGAAATCATTTGATGTGGTTAGTCTAGTTTGTATGTGCAGAGAACCTTTCAGTGTACTGGTGAAATCATTTGATGTGGTTAGTCTAGTTTGTATGTGCAGAGAACCTTTCAGTGTACTGGTGAAATCATTTGATGTGGTTAGTCTAGTTTGTATGTGCAGAGAACCTTTCAGTGTACTGGTGAAATCATTTGATGTGGTAAGTCTGGTTTGTATGTGCAGAGAACCCTTCAGTGTACTGGTGAAATCATTTGACGTGGTAAGTCTAGTTTGTATGTGCTGAGAACCTTTCAGTGTACTGGTGAAATCATTTGACGTGGTTAGTCTAGTTTGTATGTGCAGAGAACCTTTCAGTGTACTGGTGAAATCATTTGATGTGGTAAGTCTGGTTTGTATGTGCAGAGAACCTTTCAGTGTACTGGTTAAATCATTTGATGTGGTAAGTCTGGTTTGTATGTGCAGAGAACCTTTCAGTGTACTGGTGAAATCATTTGATGTGGTTAGTCTAGTTTGTATGTGCAGAGAACCTTTCAGTGTACTGGTTAAATCATTATGTGGTAAGTCTGGTTTGTATGTGCAGAGAACCTTTCAGTGTACTGGTTAAATCATTTGATGTAGTAAGTCTGGTTTGTATGTGCAGAGAACCTTTCAGTGTACTGGTTAAATCATTTGATGTGGTTAGTCTAGTTTGTATGTGCAGAGAACCTTTCAGTGTACTGGTTAAATCATTTGATGTGGTAAGTCTGGTTTGTATGTACAGAGAACCTTTCAGTGTACTGGTTAAATCATTTGATGTGGTAAGTCTGGTTTGTATGTGCAGAGAACCTTTCAGTGTACTGGTTAAATCATTATGTGGTTAGTCTAGTTTGTATGTGCAGAGAACCTTTCAGTGTACTGGTTAAATCATTATGTGGTTAGTCTAGTTTGTTGCATATGCTTAAGAGTGGATAGACCAAGAACACAGAGAGGGGTCTTGCGTAAGTTTAAGAGTGGACAGATCAAGAACACAGAGAGGGGTCTTGCATACACTTAAGAGTGGAGAGACCAAGAACCATAGAAAGAGGGGCTTACATAAACTCAGCTTTGTGCATTATTTAGTATAATTATTTGAATACAATATTGTTGAATCTAAACAATGTTGCATTAGCAGGTAAGATAATGGTAAAGCAACAGCCCTGAACAATTCAGTACAAGAAGTTCAGTTCCAAGATATTATGTGAAATCTGTTAGAAATAAGCAATGCTTCGTATGGAATTTCATTTACTGTGAAGCCATTATATGGTATTTAAATAATCAATAAATTTTATTTCAGGAGTTGCCAGAAAATGAAAATTACTGTCCACCAATTACAATTAGATGTATAGACTGCCGTAACTTTGGACGATATGTTCTGGTTGGAACACATGTAATTAACTCTATACACAAGTTCATGTACGTTCCTACTACAAAGAAAGCAAAGGCAGCACTACAAAAGTTATTCCCTGGTGAGTAGAGATAGTTGTTGACTTCATTGATAGATGGCTTATATTGTAAACATTCTATCTGTCTGGCATATATATATGACCTTATTCTCTTGGTTAGTGACTGACTTAAGTCAACATGACATCCACTTCATAGTGATTAAGATAAAACACAATGTTGACTGCTGTACCCCAATTTTTGACACTTTTACCTATAATTATGTCTGTTGGTTTTGCTCACACATTGTTGTCAATATAATGGAATTATATGTGACTGTCATACAAGTGAGAGGTTAAGCTAATTATAAAACCAGGTTTAATCCACCATTTTCTACATAAGGTAATGCCTGTACCAAGTCAGGAATATGACACTTGTTTTCCATTCATTTGCTATGTTTAAGCTTTTGATTTTGCCATTTGATAAAGGACTTTCCGTTTTGAATTTTTTTTGGAGTTCGGTACTTTTGTTATTTTACAATAACTTGTGACAAAAGTCACCAGATCTTAACCTCTTTTTATGGTTCAATGATCAACATTAAGGTTTCATGCTTAAATCAATGATTAACATTAAGTTTTCATGAATGAATCAGTTTATCAGACACTATGAGAAATACCTGAATTTAATTAGGTCATTTTACAGTGTACATTTCCACCAGACAGTGTTCACCTGACCTTGAACTTATTTTCAATGTTCACAATGGCCAATTGATATTTCTTGATACATACAATAATATTTTGATATAACAAGACTTCAACATATTATTCTGTCATTTCAGGAGAAACATTTCAGAGTGTCCACTCTTGTTCCTATCTGATGAAAATTACTTTTTGGTTTATTTACAGGAAAAGACCCTGATGCTCCAAAAATTATTGGACCTCAAGTTTCAGTAAAGGTTGATGATGTAGCCATTACTATGCCAGATGAAAGATTCCCTCTTATCAACAAAAACAGACCACTTGCAATTGATGTGGTAAAAAACTTCTTCAGTGTTCAATAATTTTTTTTTATTTAACTGTAATAAACATGTATCATGAGTTTTGTATTTACAAAAAATAAAATCAGGACAAAATTGTTTGTCTACTTGTGTAGAGTTGATTCTTAATGACTTAACTCTTTTTTCAAAATAAATGACTTTGATGTCTTATTCGTTATTTAAGAAATAATTCATGGAAGCCATAGATTTGTTGGAAATTTACACATGGCCTGGGCCGTGATATTCAAATTTTATCCTGAGCGTTAGCGAGTGATAAAATTAACGAATATCACGGCCAAGGCCATGTGTAAATTTACAACAAATCTATGGCTTCCATGAATTATTTCGATTCTAATAGGACAAATACGGTCATTAAAAAACTGAAGCGGGGTTGGGTTTGCCAAGTGTGTGGCTGTTCCTTTTTACTCCCTGTTAGATAAAGCTATAACATTCTATTAAATCTGTAGCTTGCATGAATTATTTCGTAAATAACCACCAGAAAAAATGTGTTTAGTTCTTTTAATCATCAAATCCTACATTTGCCATTTTTAATTAACTTGTTTTTCTCGTAAGTTACCGTCAAATCCAAAGTTGACATTTCGTAACTAAGGAGCTGCCATGTTGACTTACTGAAATTCGTAAATATGCAAATAATGCAATAGGATAGAAAATAAAACAAACAGTACCTCAAAAATCCATTTTAATGCAATTTTATACGATCTTCGATGGTTCACGTAACGGAAAACCTTCAGCTTTAGCGTTTTCATTTGTATGACGTCATGTTTTGAAATGACTTAAATGCGCCAAAAGCATTAATGGACTTTCGCAGAATTTTATTTTATTTTTATTGTATAGATTTCTCTGAGCTCTAGTGCATTAATTCTTTTTGTTATGCATCCGAATAAGAATAGAAGTTCTGTGGTCTTTTTTCTATTGCAATTTTTAAAACAATAAAATCGGAATAGCGCTTGCAAATAGGTTCCGATACATGTGGATTTACGTAGGAGGTATTTTGTAACATCCATTATTATGTATATCTCTGAGTCTGCGCTAAGTATAGATATATCGAGTATTTCATCACGGTGTTGTTTACAAAGCGAAAGCAGCACGTCATATTAGAATTGGTTTTAGATACTTTTGTTGAATTGAAATGTTCACATCAATAATTACAGAAATGAAATGCAATGTTCTGGAATATTTAAATTTTACAATTCTTCATAGAAACTGCATGTTACACATGTTTAGGTATTTAGCCCATTAGAATCCATTGGATAATGTTGCTGTCTGATAGCTGATGTAAAATGAATTCTGAAATCATTTATTGGATTTGTAAATACTTACAGGCAGACAAGAAGAAACAAAAAACAGCTGAAAATAAACGAAAGAAGAAATCTCTGCCCGAGGATGAGGATGACCTTGACCTTGATAATTTAGATTGGTGGAGTAAATACTTTGCTTCTGTTGATACATTGATACAGGTAATATTTTATCTCTCAGCTTATTCTGACAATGACCTTGACCATGTGATTTTGACTTTATAACTTTAATATCAAGGAATAGAATTTTAAATGTAAAAAGATGATTATTTAGCATTGATTTATAAAACAAACAAATAAATATTGTCAGAAGGAAATATTTTTGATGGTTAGTGTGAAATGATACAGAAAAATAATAGATATATAAAGATGCACATTATTTAATTTATAGTTACATTACATAGTTATAGCCCCTGTTAGCACAGTATAGTTATCTCCCCTGGCTGTAGTTTGCTATGTGTAGTATTATCAGTATCTCCAAACCTTTGGATGGCCATTGTTCAGTATGCTTTTAGTTCTAGAAATTCAAAATATTTTCAAATGAACCATGGTCATTCTTTTCTAATATAAGTGAAAAATAGTATGTAAAAGAAAATGTCCCTTATCTCTTATCACAGGTTTAGTGAAAAAAGGACTATAAAAATGTAAAAGTAACTGACATTCTACATCATGCTTTTTTGCATATTTTGTCAAATTATATGACCAGAAGTTAGGTCTCAGATCTTTGAAAACATTTTCTGAATTAGTATCCTTGTTTCACTTTTGTATCCATCCATATAGTTTCCTTCATTCAGGGTTTGGAGATGTGTATTGTCAGGTCACAACTACCTGTTTAATGAACAGGGAACCAGGTGATCATTGATTACAGACAGCTTTAGTGTGTTCTGTTGCTGATTACCAAAACATCACAAACCATTGAGTAACTTATAATCATTCCATTAACAGCATGTTAGGATACATTGTAGCTAGAGCTTTGTGACTTCCCTTTATGTTAATTCACAGGATCCCAATTTGACACCTGATGAGGTAAATTATCATTGCACCATGGTATCTCACATTCTTTCTCTTATCAATATCATTGAGTCCAGTTACTTCAAAGTAATCAACAGGTACTTGATCCCAATTGACCTAAAGGCCACTGTGGGCTCTTACCTTCACTAAGCATCTTGCATATGCCACTTCATCCATTCTTTAGCTTTAAATAAATGATCTCCTCCTCTGTAACCACTAGAGCAATTGTAATCAAGTTTTATCACAATTATTCATAACTTTTATATATAAGTCTGATGTTCCCACAAATAAGTCAACATGGCCACCTTAAAAAACAATATAAAAGTGTAAATCAACAAAAATTTGAATTTAAAGGTCCAGAAAAATTGTTTTTAAAGATTAATAGATACTAAATGTTGGGACATTATACAGATAAATCCCTTTTTAAGAATAATACTTGATGCCTTTAAACTGCCATTTGATGAATACAAATGTACATAAAATAACTAGAACTATTAAAACATGAACTCTCTATTTCTAAAGTAAAAATGTGATATAAAAAACAGAAGGATCATGCAAAAGATAGATTGCCACCAAACTTGTTATTCATTTTTATCATTTAGAAGAATTATTGATTTTTATGTCAACTGCTATCAAGAATGTCCACTTTCAATTCTATAAATTTTGACAAAAAAAATAACTGGAACCTTTTTTTTTTGAGGCAAAATGGGACCCTTAGCACACCTCCCCAATTAGAAACCTTGTAAAGTATTTTTATGGCACACCGCTTTTTAAAAAAAAAATTGTAACATTAAAGATAAAGATGTATATGCATGGTCTTTTGTTTTGTTTTACAATGTATCAGAAACTGGACTCATTGAGGACTAATGGATCAGTCTTTTTTTACAGCCTGAAGCTTTTCATGTACACAAATTTTATTTGCGTAGCATTGCTTATGTTGTAAATCTGTGTGAAATTAGGTAAACATATTCTTAGTTGCATGAGAAAAATTGCATGCATTGTATGGGTCAGAGAACCATTTATTTAAACCTGATTTCTACCTATTGTTTATTTGAAAGTTCTCTCAAAACTAAAATCTGCAAATATAGAAAATACAAATTATTTTTATTCTTTGATGTGTATAAACATTTCTTCCTTCAATTTTCTTAAATATATGTTATAAAATAACTAAAATATGGTACATTTGTACCATTGATTCAATTATTTAGGTTAGATGATATGAAACAAAATATTGTTCCAGATCATTATAAAGTTTAGTGTAAACATGGTTTCAACCATAAAACTTTAATATGAACAATGATTTAAAACTACCCATATTCATTTTGTTTTTACCTTTAAGGTCAAGTTACAGTAAATGGACTATGTCACATTTTGGTAAAATTTTGCATACATCTTTGGCTCGTTGAACTATGACTGAAAATCAAAAAAATAGTTGATAATGGTGTCACTGACTTCGTTTTTACTGTACAAATCATTCAAAGAAGGGTTCTAGGTGAAAAAATACCACAAAAAGTTGAAATAAGCGTAACATCGTAGCATTGTAAGCCGTAAAACATTGATTTTTGATGTTTTTCCACTACCAACTAGATAACGGATTGGTTAATACTCTAAAAACGAAGTTGGTGACCCTTTTATTATCTTACATCATTAAAACTGAAATTTATGTATCAACAACATGTAGTTTTTTAAGAAAAATCTATGTACTTAAAATTGGAGATTTGATGATTTTAAGACAAAGGAGTAGGCCCAGTAAGACCCCTTTTTGACCCCAAAATATAGTATTTTTACAAATTTGTTTAAATGTAAACTTTTAGCTATTTATTGGAAATTAGAATACTTCTGTTCCATAAATATGGGCTGTTTTTGTAATACAATGCACATGCATCAGGTAATAGCATCATAAATTCATGCAATATTACTGAAATCTTCTGCGACTTCATACAAGTGAGAGGTTTAGCACTATAAAACCAGGTTCAATCCACCATTTTCTACATTTGAAAATGCCTGTACCAAGTCAGGAATGTGACAGTTGTTGTCCATTCGTTTGATGAGTTTTATCATTTGATTTTGCCATTTGATTAGGGACTTTCCGTTTTGAATTTTCCTCGGAGTTCAGTATTTTTGTGATTTTACTCTTCACAATTTTAGCATTTGTACTAATTTTAAGACGGTTTTTGTCTAAGATGGAAGTGGCCACATTTGTGTTCAGTCTGAATATGTAAATATATGTTGTATTTGATGATAATACATAACATATATAAAGGTTGAGTCTGAACACAAAAAAAAGTGATTTTTTATGGCATATTTAATTGATTTTTCATATTTAAGCTTGAATTTGAGTTTCTTTAATAACCAAATCAGTTCAAATCTTTTACATAAACTAATTGAATCGACTGAAGTAGACACTTAAGTGCTTAAAAAATGTCTTTTATTAGATGTACTTTGAATATTTGCCAAAACTAGCCCTTACCGGACCTTTTCCTTTAAGAATGTATTTTCACTTATTTTATTTGCTTTCAATACAACTGTTCACCTATTTTGAAGTATTCAAACAGTTATATTTCAGACAATAACAGAGACAATTATATTTCAACGAGACAAAGTTGTACTCAAAGTTTTAACAAATTCTGTGACAAAGCCTGTTTACTGTTCGTTGACCTTAAGCAAACTTTTTATTCAGTATATTTCAGTACCAGTATATTGTTTTTAGTATTGTGTCCCTGTCTCCCTCAAATCTTTCTTGAAATGTCTTTTCTTTTCATACTTCTTCAAAAAGACTCCAGTCTGGTATATATGGCTGATTGCTTTCTTATGTCCCTTTTTTCAACTTTCTATTTGAATAGCATGCAATGTTTTACTTCAAATAAAGAGTATAAGAAAAAGACATGTAATTAATTTAAATCTAACAGTTAGTATCCTTCTCATGACCAAAATATTTTAATTATACAAATGTACTAAATTATTTTTCAGAAATCTTGTATCTGTGGCTCTATATATACAATATTTGAAACTAAAACGTGGACCGCTTTGAGGGCCACAGATTGAACTGTTATGTAACAGTAATTTGAACATAACCATTTGCTCACAACAGAAGCAAGATACCAGGAGACTATAATCGTACACTATACATTTATCGCTTCATATTATCTGTCAACCTGTATTTGTACAGTAGAAGGTCGATTGCAGGATAATTTTTAATTTCTGAATTTATCCTATATCTGTGTTAACAATATTATTAGCTCAGCTGGCCCAAAGGGCCAAAAAGACCCTCTGAAACTGCAATTTTTGTCTATTTTCTTGCTAAAATTGCTATAGATGAACTCTGACTTGGACAGAAATGTTCAAAATGTTGAGATGAACCTACTGTCCATTTACATCAAAACTGTCAGATGACTTCTATAAGTTATTGCAATTAAATGAAAAATTTCACTAATTTTTGTCATTCATTTTTAGCTATTATCTTCTAAAACTATCATAGAAAGAGAAAAAAATTTAAATTACAAAAATGATCAGTAAGACAAGATCTACAAATGAGATGAAATTGTTAGTCAACTCCTTATAGGAGTTATTGCCCTTTACAGATGATTTTTATCATTTTGTTCTGCATTTGCCTATTATCTTGAAAACTGTTATAGATAGATAGAAACTTAAAAAATTAAAAATGATCCCAGACAAGACAAGATCTGCAAATAGGTCAGCATAGATGAAATTGTCAGTTGCCATCCTATAGGAGTTATTGCCCATAAATGACGGTGTTTACCCTTTTTGTGTTTTGGGCAAAAACTATTGAAGATAGAGGGAAAAAATTATCAGCAAAAAAAAAAAGAAAAAAGAGAATATTTTCATGAAATTGATGCTAGTCTACAATAATGGAGACTGTCCATTGTTGAACATGCACATTAACCTAGATTAGGGACACAGGCTCTTTAAAGCCTCTAAGATACAATAACTTATAAAGAGCTTCTACCTTCTAGTTTCTCCATTATGATTTAGTACCATATTTTTATTCGAAGCTTCATTGGGCCATGGAAGTAATATAATACATCCATGATTGGGCATAACAGGTTTGTTGGTCACTGACTAGTAGAGTTATAAAATAGTCAAATATTAAAATATTCTGCTAAGATCATGTACAATTAGTATTGTCAACATTTAAGAAGATGCAGCAACCAATTATCTTGCTAATTGCTAATCTTAGAAAAACTTACATTTATACTTTTTTCTTATGTGTGAGCTACATATAGTCAAAATAATAATATAGCTTACTTTTAGCATCCACTGCACTTGCTTTACAGTAGATACATTTTTAGATAAAAAGTAAACTTCTCAATTTTGACATTTGCTGTTTTTATTATACCTTCGATCAACAGAGTATATAGGAACAATAAAATCGCTGGTCACATTGTTCATTGTATGCTCATGAACATTTGTCTTACTCAAAACATTGTATCACTATTTAATTTATTTTGTGTCCTGTTCTTTTATTATGTATTTTACAACATTGGGAAAACAAATGTTTGAATAGCATTTATGATTAAAAATATTGTCACATGACCTACATATTATGATTTAGCTCTTTGATACTACGTGACCTTCAATGAGGTAACTTGGAAACTTTAAACACAAGTAAGTCACCTTGACCTACATTTCATGTTTCTTTGAGTCTTATTTGTCTAATGCTATATGACCTGCAACCATCTAACTAGGTATATGTATATATCTATTGGTAAGAGACAATTTTGAATAAATGTACCATCAAATGTAATCATTATCAACTAAGTTTTCCTTTTCTAAATATAGTGAAACCTATGATTATGAATTAAATTAATAGATTTTATTAACAGGAAGTGATAAAAGCAAAATTATACCTTGACAACTGGGAATGAATAAAGGTAGCTCGGTTTTATAAAGACAAAAATATTTTGAATATATTATCTGAACTTGAAAATATGTATACTATGATTGGTTGCAGTTAATGAAAAAAAAAGGTATTTCTTCAGTTAAATTAGCAATAGTAACAAAAATACAGTTTCAGACATTGATCTGTCTTGTGAATTATTTTTTTTTATGCAAGAGATGAATTTGAGATAACATGTAATTACAGGAACATGATAAAAACAAAAGGAATGATATCATTGACCCAGTTGACCTTGACAATCAGACAGATATACCAATGAACAATAATCAGGGAACAACTCCATATGGCTCTATACCTAATGGTGACAGTAAAAATGAAGGTTTGTATCTATTTGAGGTCAAGGATAGGTAAAACGGGGAACAACTCCATATGGCTCTATACCTAATGGTGACAGTAAAAATGAAGGTTTGTATCCATTTGAGGTCAAGGATAAGTAAAACAGGAAAGAACTCCATATGGCTCTATACCTAATGGTGACAGTAAACATGGAGGTTTGTATCCATTTGAGGTCAAAGATATGTAAAACAAGGAAGAACTCCATATGGCACTATACCTAATGGTGACAGTAAACATGGAGGTTTGTATCCATTTGAGGTCAAGGATAAGTAAAACAGGGAAGAACTCCATATGGCTCTATACCTAATGGTGACAGTAAAAATGAAGGTTTGTTTCCATTTGAGGTCAAGGATATGTAAAACAGGGAACACTCAGCAGTTTCATATTGAGATATGAGTTATATCTTAGATACAACAAGGTTGAAAGTTAAAGGAATGCTTATGGACAGCAGCTTTAGCATTTTATACCAAGCTGTATATATAAAAAAGGTAGAAGACCTGGATACTTTTATAATATCTTATATACAGATGCATTATGTTCTGAAATTTCCATCTTGCATATGTCAATTGTCCTTGATGGCATTATCATGGTTCATTTTTGTTTATCACATAATTTTTTTCGGTTGTTATGAAAAAATAGGACAACTTATATTTAATATATAGAATCATTGCACCATAACGGTAAGCATTGCCTGGTATATTCTAAACAGGCTCACAAAGAATGGGGTTAACTAAACATGCATGTGAGCCCTCAACCCTGCCCTTACTGGGACAGTGGTACAAGAGCAAAGCTTAAACTGTTAAAATAAGTTTAAAAGGCTTGACTCATCAAATCAATCAGCATAAAGTACAAAAAAAGCTAACAACTGGCTTTTGTCCCTGGCCCTAATCTCTTTGTGTTGGTAAGGCCAAGCAAGGAATAATTCATATGGCCCCCTTTCAGAGCTGAATAGGACTGAATGTTACTGTGAAAGTGTATGTTACATAAACTATTCAAAAATCAATTGAGTTGTAAATGAACAGTTGATTAATGTTTATAACTTTTGTCAAAAATATTACATATGCACAAGATCTAGTTATTGCAATATGTTTTAAATTGTAATTTTACTTCCATTCTTAATCTGAAAGGGTCTATTCATGATCTTTTAGATGATCCAGATTATAACCCAAAAGAAGCAAAGAAGATGGAAGCCACCTTAAAAAAGATGGAGAAACAGGATGAGAAAAGAACATTAAAAGGCACAGCGAAAGCAGTCACTCTTGCCTCAAAAATGTCTCCTAAAGCTCAACGCAAAAAAGATAAAGCCAAAAACACAACATCTCAGTTAAAGGTATTTTTCCAGCACCTTTTGGTACCAAAGGTTTTGCTTTTTTGACTTTACATGATCTACCTATTGACCAGAACAAAACTATCTGTGTCAGAATGTTGTTGTGCTTACTCACTTCTACTCATAAGATTCATTATGAGTGTTGATGTTGTAAATTTATATAGATGTTTTTAACTTTTACTTCAATGATAAGTCTTTTAGAGCTATTTTCCTAATGCTTGTAGTTTAACGGTTTGGTTGTCTTGCTTGCTTTGTTTGTATAAATGTTTGCTCAAGCATTGTAATTAAGATTGACATCTGCAATCAATAGATAGGCAGGGCTTTAGCTTGTATACATTAATTATACTTAAATGTTATTGGATGATAAGTATAATGCAGAGTATAATGTATACAAGCTGAAGCACTGTCTGTCTATTGATTACAGATGTCAATTCAATTACAATGCTTGAGCAAAAATTTATACAAACAAAGCAAACAAGCCAACCAAACCTTGCATTAGGAAAATAGCACTAAAGAACATAGCTTTTTACATGAGCATTGGCCATTTAATAAATTATCTGACCAGATTATAAAGTTTTTGTCTCGCCTTGACGGAGTCATAAAGTGAGACATAGATATGCTGTTTCCGGCTTCGTCGGTGTCAACAATGTATTAGTTTGTGATTAGGTCTAGTTTATGGTGAACAACTAGTGGTAAGTTAATGATATTTGGTATGCAGTTGTATTAGCATTGGCACATCTCATTACCATGGAGATTATTTGGCCCTGCCCCCTCAGTTATGGTCTATTGACTTTGAAACTTTGCTTAGTTTACATGTATTAGTTTATGATTAGGTCAGTTTATGGGGAACCACTAGTGGTAAGTTAATGATATTTGGTATGCAGTTGTATAAGCATTGGCATATCTCATTTCCATGTAGATTATTTGGCTCCGCCCTCTCAGTCATGGTCTATTGACTTTAAAACTTTTGCTTAGTTTTCATGTATTAGTTTGTGATTAGGTCAGTTTATGGGGAACTACTAGTGGTAGGTCAATGATAATTGGTATGCAGTTGTATAAGCATTGGCATATCTCATTTCCACGGAGATTATTTGGCTCGGCCCCCTCAGTCATGGTCTATTGACTTTGAATCTTTTGCTTAGTTTACATGTATTAGTTTGTGATTAGGTCAGTTCAAGGGGAACCATTAGTGGTAGGCCAATGTTAGTTGGTATGCAGTTGTATAAGCATTGGCATATCTCATTTCCAAAGAGATTATTTGGCTCGGCCCCCTCAGTCATGGTGTATTGACTTTGAAACTTTTGCTTAGTTTACATATATTAGTTTGTGATTAGATCAGTTTAAGACTAACTGCTAATGTTAAGTCAATGATATTTGGTATGCAAATTTATTGGCATTTGCAAGTCTGGTTTCCATTATAATTTTATAGCTCCACCCACTCATCATGGTTCATTGACTTTGAAACTTTTACATAGTTTACAAGTTAATGTTTGTGTTTAGGTTTGTTTAAAGGGAACAACTTATGATAAGTCAATGGTATTTGGTATGCAGTTGTATTAGCATTGGCACGTCTGATTTCCATGGAGATTGTTTAGCCATGTACCTTCAGTCATGGTTCATTGACTTTGAATATTTGCATAGCTTGCATGTTAAAGTATTGCTATTTTAATTTCAACATTTGCATTATCAAAATTACAAAAAGACGAGACATATCTCTGTGTTAACAGTTTATTTATATCTTGAGTACTTGTGGACACTGATATACCTGTCATATTTTGATGTTATTTGTATGACTAGTGTGCCAAGTATTATTTTGTATGCACTTGCTAGAGAAAATAATTTTCTGTGTGTAAATTTTTTTGTTGTAGATTGTTTTTATTGTGCATTCTAAAAATGTCATAAGAACATATTTGTTAAAAATGGCCATTTTTGGTTAAATTAAATGTGATCAAAAGCCTTACTTAAAATGATATTTATTTGATTTACATCTACAGCCTGGTATACACTGTATTGCAAAACATTTTTGAGTAAGGCTGTTACCGGTAGTCATATCTTAATATAAAAAGAAATACCTGAATTCCTGAAAGTAGAGTAATGCTAATTGTTTCCCTCAATATGAGTTGTTTGATGGTCTAAAGAAAATATGTCAAAAAAACACAGCATTACATATGTCAGAAAACACAGCATTACATATGTCAGAAATTACTAATATCAATCAGACTTAGGACTTTTTCACATTCCGGGGGGTATGAAAGATATTTGGATATTTGAATTCAACTTTACAAAATTTGCCTGATCATACCTTCTTCTTTTTTTGTATTTTATCTGTTGTAATTTCTAGTTTTATTTAGTGATTGTTTGGTCAGTGTTGTACATAGATGTTGTAATTTTTTGTGTTTTAGTCTATATCATCTAATGTTGGCATGTTTATCAACAAAGCATTTGATATGGGTGAACAAGATGCTGAGGAAGAGATACCACTTACACGAGACAAGGAAATATTTAAGGTAAACAGGTGACAGAGAATATACTTTGGTTAGAGATAACAAAATTAAGTTTGAACCTTAAGAGATGAGTAGTCAAGGGAGTGTATACATACCTATATGTGTCAACATGTCAAAAATTTGCAGGAATCTACAAGAATTTGGAAGTCTTTATCTGTAACCAGTCTCTTGACAGTGGGATCACATCTCTAACTGTAGAAAACTTGTACCTTGCATTTTCCTATATTTGTTTTTTTGTCCTGTAAAACTTTTTATGTCCTCTGCCACTAGCGAAGGGGCCATTAAGTGTTACTCTTGATCTTCCGTCATTCCTTCCGTTCCATTTTCATTTCCGCACTCTAACCTAAGTATTCCTACTCTAACCTAAGTATTCCTAATCCAAATTTTAAGAATCTCATACACAATGCTAAGAACCACAACACGCTAACAGAGATCGTATTTGAGTAATGAGTCATTTACCGTTCTAGAGTTATGCCCCTTTATAACTTGGAAAATTGCAAATTCTTCCATTTCCACACTCTCACTTAAGAATGCCTCATGCAAATTTTATGAAACTCATACACAATGCTGAGGACCACAATACCCAGACAGAGTTTAAATTTTGACAGTGTCATTAACCTTCTAGAGTTATGCTCTTTATAACTTGGAAAATTGCATAGTATGAGCGAGGATTTGTGTCCTCAGACACATTCTTCTCTTATTATGCCCCCGTGGTGGCGGAGGGGGCATTAGGTGTTACCCTTGACCATTCCTCTGTCCTTCTGTCCGTCCCATTTTTGTTTCAGCACTCAAACTTAGTTTTCCTCATCTAAAATTTATGAAACTCACACACTTTTCTAAGAACCAAAACTCGCAGACAGAGTTCTAATTTGGGCAATGAGTCACTTACCGTTCTAGAGTTTATGCCTTACAACTTGGAAAATTGCAAATTTTTTGTTTCCCCACTCTTACTTAAATTTTCAGAAACTCTATACACACTTCTAAGAACCACAAATCGCAGACAGACTTCAAATTTGGGCAGTGAGTCACTTACCATTCTAGACTAATGCCCCTTTATAACTTGGAAAATTGCAATTTTTTTCTTTTCTGCACTCTTACTTAAGTTTGCCTCATGCAAATTTTATGGAACTCATGCACAATGCTAAGAATCACAGCACACAGACATAGTTTGAATTTGGACAGTGAGTCATTTGCTGTTGTAGAGTTATGCCCCTTTATAACTTGGAAAAAAAACAATTTTTTTGTTTCCACACTCTCACTTAAGTTTGCCTCTTGCAAATTTTATAAAAACTCATACACAATGCTGAATACCACAACACGCAGAGTTTAAATGTTGACAGTGTGTCATTAACAGTTCTAGAGTTATGCCCTTTATAACTTGGAAAATTGCAAAGTATGAGCGAGGGCATTTGTGTCCTCAGACACATTCTTCTTTCATTAAGCCCCTGCCATGGTGGAGAGGGCATTAAGTGTTACCCTTGACCGTCCTTCTGTCCTCTTGTCCTTCCATCCTTCTGTTCGTCCCATTTTTGCAATCTAACTTTAGTTTTCCTCATCTAAACTTAATGAATCTCATACACAATGCTAAGAACCAAAACTCTTCTAACTATAGTAACATTGGGATGTAGTTTATCACTTCACACTTTTGTACTTCAGCATGATTTTCTGTATAATGTTTTTATCCTGATGATGATGCCCTAGTCACTGAAACTTTTCAATTTCATTTACTGCAGCAATCTCTAAAGTGTTGTTCTTATATCAGTCTTCACATTAATTATAAATGTTGCTTTGCAGTTAAATAGTTTTAAATCAGAAGTTTTAGCTTGTTCGGCTATGAGAGATGTAATTTGGACTGAAAGAAATAAAATTCGTAAGGGTTCCGCGGAACCCAGTGTCTCGCCTACTTTTGCTGTTAATCGCAGGCTCAACAAAAATGAGGAAAAAAATTAATAAAAATATTCCTCTCTATACTATCTTTTGATTGTAAGTAGCTTCTGTCCAAGTTTGGTAAAAATCCAGGATAGTTTATCAATCTAATAAATTTTTTAAAAACTTAAAGTGCAGACTGTATGTAATGTTAACTGGAAGAAAAACTAAGTCCATTTACAAGTAAAATACGGAAAAAATGGAATTTATTTTTTACTTTTTTACAAAATTTACTTCTGGATACTATCTTTTGATCATAAACAAGGTTCTTTCCAAGTTTGGTAGAAATCCAGGATAGTTTAAGAAAGTTATTAAAATTTCAAAAACTTTAACCACAGAGTGAATGTAATGTTTCATGGCAGAAAAACTAAGTCCATTTATAAGTAAAATACGGAAAAAATGGAATTTTTTTTTTACAAAATTTACTTCTGGATACTATCTTTTGATCATAAACAAGCTTCTTTCCAAGTTTGGTAGAAATCCAGGATAGTTTAAGAAAGTTATTAAAATTTCAAAAACTTTAACCACAAAGTGAATGTAATGTTTCTTGGCAGAAAAACTAAGTCCATTTATAAGTAAAATACGGAAAAAATGGAATTTTTTTTTTTACAAAATTTACTTTTGAATATTATCTTATGATCATAAACAAGCTTCTGTCCAAGTTTGGTAGAAATCCAGGATAGTTTAAGAAAGTTATTAAAATTTCAAAAACTTTAACCACAGAGTGAATGTTATGTTTCTTGGCAGAAAAACTAAGTCCATTTATAAGTAAAATACGGAAAAATTGGAATTTTTTTTTTACAAAATTTACTTTTGAATATTATCTTATGATCATAAACAAGCTTCTGTCCAAGTTTAGTAGAAATCCAGTATAGTTTAAGAAAGTTATTAAAATTTCAAAAACTTTAACCACAGAGTGAATATTTGTGGACGCCGCCGCCGACGACGACGCCGACGGAATGTAGGATCGCTATGTCTCGCTTTTTCAACAAAAGTCGAAGGCTCGACAAAAATGAAAAGTAAAGGTTTTTGTAGACTATTGTCTATACAGAATCTTAAGTACTTAAGATGATTTCAAGGCTCGTACACAAGAATGAAAATGTTATCATATCCTTGGTTGAATTTCCATTGTTCAGGTCCTTTTTAACCAGTCACAACATTTTAAAGTGGGACAAAATTTTGTATGACTTTACTTAATATCCCTTTTACTTATAAACATTGGTCAATGTGAAACACTTTTCGAATAAATGATCCTTTCCTAAAACATCTATTTATAGAATGATACCAGTAGATTTGTAAAAGATCTTTTTGTTTGAAACTAATTGTCTAGTTGCAGAAAAACCATGGATGTGGTCCATTAACTATTTAGATTGTGACAGAATGCTTTTTTTAACCATTCAGTTGATTGATTGGTGTTTAATGCCAATTCAGCACTATTGTGCTATTTCGTGGTGTTTAATTTTTGTTGTTGGAGGACACCAGAATGCCCGGAGAGAAACACGGTAGGAAAAATGACAATTCTAGTCAATTAAGATTGAAGTCGAGCACACCTGCCTCATGAGGGATTTGAACGCACAACCTCAGTGTTGACAGGCTAGTGAACCTCAGTGTTGACAGGCTAGTGAACCTCAGTGTTGACAGGCTAGTGAACCTCAGTGTTGACAGGCTAGTGATACAGTAGTTTGACTACTTAGACAACAAGACCTCCAAGGCCCCTTTAACTATTCAATATTACCTAATAGCTGTGTTAAATTTCCAGGCAATTAAACAAATTCTCTTGTTTAAGTTAATGATATAAATGAAAGTAATATATGTAAAATTGAGAATGGAAATGGGGAATGTGTCAAAGAGACAACAACCCGACCACAGAACAGACAACAGCAGAAGGCCACCAACAGGTCTTCAATGCAGCGAGAAATTCCCGCACCCGGAGGCGTCCTTCAGCTGGCCCCTAAACAAATATATATACTAGTTCAGTGATAATGAACGTCATACTAAACTCCAAATTGTACACAAGAAACTAAAATTAAAAATAATACAAGACTAACAAAGGCTAGAGGCTCCTGACTTGGGACAGGCGCAAAAATGCGGCGGGGTTAAACATGTTTATGAGATCTCAACCCTCCCCCTATACCTCTAGCCAATGTAGAAAAGTAAACGCATAACAATACGCACATTAAAATTCAGTTCAAGAGAAGTCCGAGTCTGATGTCAGAAGATGTAACCAAAGAAAATAAACAAAATGACAATAATACATAAATAACAACAGACTACTAGCAGTTAACTGACATGCCAGCTCCAGACTTCAATTAAACTGATTGAAAGATTATGTCTTCATCATATGAATATCAGGCACAATCCTTCCCGTTAGGGGTTTAGTATCATACCATCATAACATATATGAGAAGAACATAACCCGTGTCATGCCAACAACTGGTTTTTAAATAAATGTGTTTAGTGCAGATGCAAAGACCTTATAAGTGAATCAATATCAACGCCAAAATATGCAATCTTTAATGACCTGACAACAGTATCGTAACTATATCCCTTCTTAATAAGTCTATTTAAAGGTTTTGTTAGTTTCAGAGGTGAATACTGACATTTTTGTGCTTTATAAAGAATATTTCCATAAAAAATTGGATGTGAAATACCTGAACGTATAAGAAGTCTGCATGTTGAGCTATATTTACGAATGATGTCCTTATACCGTGCCTGATTTATAATGTTTTATATATTCAGGTTTATCCATTTGAACTAGAAAGTGTGCCGGAATTCAATGGCTTCACAGATTGGCTGCATACTTTTGATTTATATCGTGGTAAAAGTACAGGATCAGCAGAAGATGATGAAAGTCGAGTTGTTGGTAAATTTAAGGTAAATCCATGATTACCATATTCCAGGTTTTTCTGGGATCTTGACAAAGTTTTTATATGAAAATTGATAGAAATAAACTGAGCATAAGTTCCTCTTTTATTTTTGTAATTATTGTAGAAATCTTAGATTTTGTCTTCTATTCTGGATAATTAGTGTATAAAAGAACAATTATACAAAAAATAATAAAAAAATGTATTGTTCATTATACTGACATTATTATTTTTTTTTCCTCCTTAGGGATCACTTAAGATTTACAAGATACCACTGCCAGATGATATAGAGGACACTGCAATAGGGGGAGGTAACCCACAACTTGGTTTGTTCCAGGGATTACCTGGTAATGAACCCATCAAAGTTTTAGTGCGAGTTTATGTTGTAAAGGTAAGCTACTTCTCTTTGTTTATGTCTTTTCAGTAAATACCTTGTACGTTTGCCTACGATGAGTGTTATTAAGAGAATTTACATAACAGGTCACATGTCATGAATTATAAAATACTGCAGATTTGAAATTTAACCATTTAAAAGATATATGCCCTTATCATCTGAAATATTTTGATTAAATAGGTTCTCTGGGATAATTAAAATTTTCCTATGAAAAATGTGAAATTATTGAACAGTATTATAAACCATAATATACAGAATAACCATGCAACATATTAATGTGCTTGTCTCCTTAGAAACCTTTTTTATTTTTATACATGTTCCGGACCATATGAGTATTTGGACCATACGGGTATGGTCATGACCATATGTGTATACTCATATGGTCCAACCATATTATATGTTATTCAGGTCTCAAATAGGGTATATGATGTGACATTCCTGGCTTAGAGTTTATATTCCTTGAGCCGTAGGGGAAGGGGATATAAACCCTAAGGCGGGAATGTCACATTATATACCCTGTCTGAGACCTGAATTACACATATATTACGGATTACTTGGCCTTAATGTTTTTTTCCAGTACCAGGTATTTGTTCACAATGCAGTATATATATTCATTACATGTTTTTTGTTTCTTAATGTTTTGAGTAATTCATATAAATGCACTTTTTTTCATCTTGACAAACATTTTTTTGTGTTAAGAATATTTTTTCAACAAAGTTTTTAGATTTCATGTTTACTCTTTGTATTTCTGTTTGACTATTTTTTACAACAAATATAGGGAAAAACCCAACCTGATATTTTCCGCATACATGAAGGATTTTGTAATTTGCTGTGAAAATAATTGTATCGTGTATGTAATTATTTATAATAACACTTTTATAACATTAGTTTTAAGAATTTGGAGTGTAAATTGCGTGATTTTAAATTAAAAAGGTATTATTGACGGATGCACGTCATTATTTTCCCTCTGTGAGCCTCTGACATTCTTTAAGTGTTCTGTATAGCTTTAGACTACGTCACATAGTAACAGGTGTTATGATGACGTTGTTGAGGTTCCAATTGGGGTAAAAATGTTGTATATACCCCGGCAGTTTCCTGAATATATACTGACATCTCTGTGTTGTTATCCAATCACAAAACTCGACACATATTTAATCCATAATATAGGTATATACTTGTTTGGTTAATAACAGGCCAGACCATATGAATATTTAGGCCATTAAGGTAATTTTTTCGAAATAAGTTCTAGCTGCCTTCGCAGGAACACAAAGCTCATTCTCCGAACCAAAGTCGGCACAAGTTACTATCTGAAATCTTTTATATTTGACATATTGTCTGAATCTTGGTGTACATCTTATCTTGCCTTTGCTTGAGTCCATTTAAAGTATTTTAAGTGTCTTTATTCCATTGACAATTTGGTCCGTAAGTGAAATCATAAGCGTTTGGGGCATGGGCCTTTTATCTTTCCCCCACAGTGTTTAGATTAGTTTTCTTTATTTCTTCTAATTGTCCCCCGCACAATGCATTGCCTTGTGAGCGCTCTCATGTGTACAATTCTTTACAGATTTTTATGAAATTTATATTATAGGTTCATATCATCAATGTCTCGGACAATTTTGAAAATCAGTGCCGATCAATTATTTTCAAAAGAGTTATGCCCTTGGAAATACTGATTATATGGAAAATTGCATTGTTAGCGCTCTCATGTGTACAATTCTTGCCAGATTTTTATGAAATTTATATTATGGGTTTGTATCATCAATGTCTCCGACAAATTAAATAATCAGTGCCGATCAATTATTTTTAAAAGAGATATGCCCCTTGGAAACATTAATTATATGGAAAATTGCATTGTTAACACTCCCATGTGTACAATTCTTGCCAGAATTTTATGAAACTTATATCATAGGTTTATATCAGCAATGTCTTTGACACTTTTAAAAATATGTGCTGATCAAATATTTTTAATGAGTTATGTCCCTTGGAAATGTTAATTATAACGGAAATCACTTTGCATTTGCTCTAAAGCTTTCATTTCTCTAAGATATTTATAAGTATTTTTTTTTAAGTTGTACCTTGGATAGATTAAACATGTCAACGCCGGGAATATTGGAACTCTGTTCTTTTATTTCTATTTATTTTCACTTAATTTGTGTGTTCTTGCTCCTTTTCATACAATTTTACAATAACAGTAGTTTATATGTGCTGCCCCTGTAATCTTATTCTCTAAACGAATAAAGGGCAGTATGTACGTATAAACTACTGTAATTGTAAAATCTTATAAATAGGAGCATGGACTAAAAATAATTTGAAATAGTTAAAAAAAATAATTTACTAAAAACTGAAGCACCAAAAATAAAATGAAAAAGAGAGTTTAATGCCACAAGTGACTGTGAGTAAAACAGTTGACTTCTTGAAGTTATATTTTCATAAGGAAAAATCGATAATGACAATGCCAAATATGCATTTATTATCATTTTAACTTGTAACTAATATTCACATTTAATTGTTTAACAATAAGCAGCAAATGATTAAATACTTTAAAAAATCATTCTTAATTTACTCCTTGAAGTAGTTGTTTATATTCTTCTTATTTTAAAATAACCTGGACCATACATGTATGGTCATGACCATACACATATGGTCCAAATACTCATATTTTGTCGTTTAAAGACTTTGTTATTCATAACAGACCTTTGGTAGACCCCATTTAATTTATTCACATTTTATCCATACCTCAGGATGTTTTAGAGCTTGACCCTGGTCTATTGTTTAAGACCCTATTTTCAGTGGTATCCGTTTAATTTATTCACATTTTATCTATACCTCAGGATGTTTTAGAGGTTGAGCCTGGTCTATTGTTTAAGACCCTATTTTCAGTGGTATCCGTTTAATTTATTCACATTTTATCTATACCTCAGGATGTTTTAGAGCTTGACCCTGGTCTATTGTTTAAGACCCTATTTTCAGTGGTATCTCCATTTAATTTATTCACATTTTATCCATACCTCAGGATGTTTTAGAGCTTGACCCTGGTCTATTGTTTAAGACCCTATTTTCAGTGGTATCCGTTTAATTTATTCACATTTTATCTACACCTCAGGATGTTTTAGAGGTTGAGCCTGGTCTATTGTTTAAGACCCTATTTTCAGTGGTATCCGTTTAATTTATTCACATTTTATCTATACCTCAGGATGTTTTAGAGCTTGACCCTGGTCTATTGTTTAAGACCCTATTTTCAGTGGTATCCGTTTAATTTATTCACATTTTATCTATACCTCAGGATGTTTTAGAGCTTGACCCTGGTCTATTGTTCAAGACCCTTTTTTCAGTGGTATCCGTTTAATTTATTCAAATTTTATCTATACCTCAGGATGTTTTAGAGCTTAACCCTGGTCTATTGTTTAAGAACCTATTTTCAGTGGTTAATAGTGTAGACATGTCAACTTCTGCTAGGTGAAAATAATAGGAGATAATAAACCTGCTCCGATTCTTGATCTAACACTGATTTGTAATAGGTCGAGCAGCAATTCATTGGAGAAGCATCATTAGGAAGCCAATTTGCTGCAATGAGAACATCTAAATGGTCAATAAGTTGCACATAAGGATATTATTGTTGCAAAATGTTGAAGGAAATCATTTAAGTACCATTAAAAAGGAGTAGTTGTAGAGTGTCATTAGTTTACATAGGTCGGCAAGAAAATTATATTTTTCAATTATTGCATAATACAGCCTAAACCCTTATAAACCATTCAATTTTATATCAAGATATATGAAAAAATAACAAGTAATACCTGTATAGGTTTTGTTCACATAAAAGAAACAGACCTGTCTGATGAGTATTATTTTCAGACCTGTCTGATGAGTATTATTTTCAGACCTGTCTGATGAGTATTATTTTCAGACCTGTCTGATGAGTATTATTTTCAAAATCACAAAATGTACTTCCCTTTCTGGCTTTAAATTCATATTGTATTGAGAAATTTAAGTCATCCTCAAAACCCGATAACTAACTAAAACATTTTTTACAATATGTAACTTTTAAGAGTAAGTAAAATATATTAAAATGCATTGTAAAACTTATTGTATAACTATAAGTTGGCCAAGGACAACTGGATTAAAAAAAAATTAATTTTGATGTCATGAGTTGTTGGAATTTCATTTTGAGTTAATTCCCCTTGTCCATGGTGTGAATTTCTAAAGTTTAATTGAACACAATGAATATAGAGTTATCTTTCTTGGTATATAATTTGCTTGAATTTGTCTGATTAAAGTACACATTGTTGTTTTGTTACTTTATATCTGACATATATATAGACTTTCACTTAACATACTATTTATTGTTTTGTTTTTTTTAAAGATTTACATCACTGTAAACTATCGTATTGACATTCTATAAAGCTTTCATTGAAATATGACTTAACTTTTTTAAGATACACTCAAAGTTTCTCTGTGGATATTTTTTTCAAACATTGTTTTTCTTTATATAGCTAGTTATTGTCTGATTATTATCAACCTTGCAACTTAAATTTAGGTATGAAATTTCAGAAGAAATGATAAAATTCTTATATAAACAAGGAATTATTTGGACCTGGAATAATTTTGAATTCTGGAAAATTGATGAGTAATTTATGATGAAAACTAAACCAACTAAATAGGGATAGCCATGCGCGCATGGCTAAGGGGGGTTAGTTAGTTCATACTGAAATGATAGTGAAATTAAAATTAACCTTAGCCATGCGCGCATGGCTAACCCTATTTAGTTGGGTTAGTTTTCATCATACATTTCTAATTAATTTTCCAGAATTCATAATTATTCCAGATTCAAATAATTCCTTGTTTATATATGATCTTTTTTCTTATTCTTTTTACAAATATCAGTGCTGATACATGTATGCATTTATGGCCCAAGCATATGTTCCAAAAATATATGTAGTATTTATGGATGAATATAAGTTAATGCTTTGGTACTAGCAACTGTCTTGATTGTCCTATCAAATGTACTTTTTTTAGACCAAAGTTAAAAACCTTCCAGAAACTTTAAAGATGTAGAGCAGCAGCAAAAGTATTATTCCTTCAATAAATTATTGTTTTGGTAGTATTGTAGAATGGAAATTTCTGAATCCTCCAACACAAACAAATCAGAGCATTTTAATGAATTATAACAGTACTAAAAATGTCAGACTGAGATTATGTAACAATCTGTGGTAAAGTGGTAGCATGCTTACCTCAAGTGTGGGAGGTCATCCCTGGCCAGATCAAACCACAGACTTAAAAAATCACAAAATTTGTTTTGGCTGTTTCTCTGCTTAAAATGCTGCATTTAGGAGTAAAAGCCAGGACTGGTTAATTCAGAGTCAGAATAATGTGTCCAGGTAGGGTGACATGTCTTCCTGCAGACTGAACAAGCACATTAAAAAATCTGGCTCAGCTTGTTGGTCTAGAAAAGAGCAGGAGTCATATTCGTTTCACATAAACATGTTCCTGATATGCATGTAATGTTTGTCACTGGATGTTAAACACCAATCCATCATCATTAAAATGAAAGTTTTTTGATAAAGATTGTTTGTCATTAAAATGAAAGCTATTTGATGAAGATTATGTGTCATTAAAATGAAAGCTATTTGATGAAGATTGTTTGTCATTAAAATGAAAGCTATTTGATGAAGATTGTTTGTCATTAAAATGAAAGCTATTTGATGAAGATTGTTTGTCATTGAAATGAAAGCATGAAGATTGTTTGTCATTAAAATGAAAGCTATTTGATGAAGATTGTGTGTCATTAAAATGAAAGCTATTTGATGAAGATTGTGTGTCATTAAAATGAAAGCTATTTGATGAAGATTGTTTGTCAGTTTTGTCAATTGAGTATTTTGGTACAAGGAAAATTTAGATATTTTAATAAACTTATTTTGTTAAACTTTCACTCTTTCTTTATTTCTTATTTTTTAGTATAAATAAGGGCAGGTCTTTGACAGTCTCTGTTAAATATATTCATGACTCTTGGGTCCATTTAGAGTTGTACATATTATATTGACTCTTGTTTATTGTTGAAGACCATATGTTATGGTATATGATTGGACTGCTGTCTCATTGACATGTACCCATGGCAATAACCTGTTGTGCTCACTGGATAAACCAATAGAATTGAACATAGATTGAGAGAGAAAAAATTGTATTGGTCTTAAATTTTTGTTTTACTAAATATTCTTATTACTCCTTATAGTCATATGTTTAATACTTTTTAAATTTTATTTTTAAATTTAAACTATAAATTAAGATTTTCCTGATCTTTCTCCTGTTTCGGTGGATTTGATGTCTTCAGACCATATGTTTATGATGATAATAAAGATTTAGTTTCTTTGTCTTTGAGTATAAAATAAAGGATTTGGTTGTACAGATGTACATACAGCTGTATACAACACGGATTTATAATAAATCTCATATTATAGTATCATTTTCTCTTCTACAGCTGTAAACTAACATATTAAATTGACAATTTCCCTACTATTTGTTTAAAGATCTGTCAAATTAAATACTCTATTTAACTATATCAGGTTTTAATTGGCATCATATGAGAAGTTTTAAAAAATATTTACATTGGGTACTGTTATTTATATGGTTATAAAAAGACGATTATACGTGTGTTTTGAGGATTAATATATTGTTTTATGTATTATATTTTTGTGTATTAGGTCTAATGTATTTGATAACATTGACTTATAAACAGAAAATTTAAACTTATGATATTTAAAAAAAATATATCAAATGATGAAGTATTGAAGAATATTTTATATAATGTGACGGAGAGGAATGGAGAAATTCGTGTGAATATTAAACTTTACTTACCGGTATTATGTGGTCATTGCTAAAAATATTTTTAATGACGGAGGACCAGATCAAATTTGAATGCTGTGTAGAATGTTTTTTGTTTATCAGGATTGTTTTTAATTTTTAGGCAACAGAACTACATCCAGCCGATATAAATGGAAAAGCTGATCCGTATCTTGTTATCCGACTTGGAAATAATACTGTCAATGATAAGGAAAACTATATCTCCAAACAACTTAATCCTGTGTTTGGCAAGTAAGTACACTCCAAACTTATTCAAGTCGGTGTTTGGCATAAATGTTTATTTCTGTTGTTAATGGTAGCTTGTACTACATGCTAAATATGTTTTTTCAGAAACTTTTGGGAAAGGAATTTGGAGATTTTTTGTTTCAGTAATCTAGAAACTCTATTTTTCCAAAAAATATTTGACTATATTGTTTTTTTAATTGATGTTATTTATGATCTTTTGTGTGTAAGGTCTAAGTGTAAGTATTCAAATAGCATATATTTCTGCAGTTAATGGTAGCTAATGTACTACATACTGAACCTGCTTTTTATAGACTTTGGGAAATGAATTCAGAGATTTTTTGTTAAAGTTATCTAGAAACCATATTTAAAAAAAAAAAACTTTCACTATAGTATGTATTTTTTTTTTTACAAATGATGCAAATTTTTTTGTGTTTATGTCTCGGTGCAGAATAAAACCTGCAGATACTTTTTAAGAGTTTTTTTCACGAACAAAAATGAATAAGTATATCCACTCTAACTTATCTAAACTTGATGTGAAAAAGTTAGAAAAGTTAAAAAGTGTTTTTCAACTCATGAACAATTTGGTAGTAAAGAAACCATTATTTTGGTCAAAAAGTAAAATCACAAAAATACTGAACTCCGAGGAAAATTCAAAACGGAAAGTCCCTAATCAAATGGCAAAATCAAATGATAAAACACATCAAACGAATGGACAACAACTGTCATATTCCTGACTTGGTACAGGCATTTTCAAATGTAGAAAATGGTGGATTGAACCTGGTTTTATTGCTTTTTTTTTCATTTTTGCAAAAATACTTTGTTTTATTTTATTGTTATCTTGTTATTTATTTTCATTTGAACATATTGCATTTAAAATTGAAAGAAACCTAGCTACATTGGTTCTTCTACTTACTTAGTAATTTTAATTTAATTAATTACATTTACACTATAAAGAACTTTAAACCTATCAAACAATTTCCCATGACTACAAAATTCTGTCCATATGGAAATAATAAATGAACACTTCAACTTGTAAAGTGGGACCTGTTGTGCTCTGATGTGCCTCGTTTCTCATAATTAATTTATAAATTAATTTGTAGTGGACACTGAATATAAGAATGACTATGTATAATTTTAATGAGGCATTTGATTGACAGGTCTCTTTGAAGATAAATATTTTCTTAAGAATTGTTGATTGTCAAAGGTATTTTTATGTTCAACCCACTTTTGCACTGTTACAGATTTCTGCACAAATGTTATAAATACATGAAAACCAAAAAAAAAATTAAGGCTTTCCATAACCTGTTTGATTTCATTTTTATGTTTTTTTTTTTTATTTTTGCATTTCCTTTTTTGAAAATACTTATTTAGCTTCTATAAATTGATTAAGAACTAGCTTAAAGGAGAGAAAGTAATAATTCCGGTATTTTTTCAAATTACTGTATAAATCTAGGTGGTATAACGTAACCAATATGAAAAAAACTATGCATGGTCATTTTCAAAATTCTATATACACTACTTGGAAATTTTATGTAGGACTAAAGCAGCAAAAAAGTAGAAAACATTTAGAAAATTTTACATCATCTGCCATACAGCATATGTTAAAAATTAGCACAAAAAATAAAAAAATGTCCAAGTTGTTTTAACAATAATTAATCTACCAGTACAATGTAAAAAGTACCATTATATTCATCTGTAAAGCCATATTTTATTCCTTATTTCCTTTTTATTTTAGATAATTACATATTATCTTTACCTATGATTTACTAAACATAAAAGCTTTCATGAATTTTTCAACTAAAACATGCAAAATTTGTATATTTAATGTAAAAGATAATCAGTAAGTATTTTACATTTGGCTTCGTCTAATATATATGTGAATAAATAGAAAAAAAGTTCACCAATGGATGTTTTTACTCATAAATCTTTTACTTATTTACAAGAAAGGAAGAATAAGCTTGATATTTCACAAAAATATTAGAATCACTCATAAATAATGACCATTTTAGTATTTCTAAATATACATTTAGTCATATGATTTTATTTATGCAGTGCAGACCAGGGTCCTATACAACTGATGCAAATGTACTGGGAAATTTTGAAATATAAAGTAAATGTCTAGATTTTTTCCAAAATTGTATAATTTTTTGCCTTTTCTCTGATCAAAGAACAACATGATGGTGACTTTCAAAGGGTACTAACAACATACAACAGATGCTGGGAAATTTTCATAATAAATGAGAAAACTTTAACAATGTTGTTTTAAGAGTTAAATAAATATTGATGTACAGATAGTAAGATGGAGTGGTACAAGTGGTGGTACCCACAGGTGGCGCTTTGTTTATTTCTAGATTCTTTGGTAAATGACTTCATCAGAAAACATACTGTTGGAATGTTCACTATTTTTTTTCACCCTGTTGTATTTTTTTAGACAGTTAGATGTAAAATAAGATTTCTTATTTTTGTTTTCAAAACTTTACATAGGAATTTTCATATAATGAAAATTAGAACAACTAGCCTTTTTTTTTTCATTTTCAGATTTGCACAAAAATGTCACTAGCATCATTTTTTCGTTATTGTTAGAATTATGCAAATTTTCCAGTTATCATCTTAACCAAAGCAGGACATTTAATTTCTACAGTATAAATTTGCATTTTTTAATTTAATTCTTTTAAGTTTGTTTCTCATCTATTTTTTAATATGAGAATGTAATTTATCAGTTACATATTAGATAAACTTCTATATTGCCTAATATTTGAAAAAAAAAATCAAATATAAATAAAAATATACCGGTATATGAATATGAATACGTAATTTAGGGAAATAAAAATACATCAAATCATATATCATTTTAATTATGGAATATGGATATATTCTGACGTCAATTACAAAAAATAATAAATAAAAGAAAAGATAATTGAACTGTTTTGTAAATAAAGAAAATTTTGCTTGATTTACATGTTCGTTTGTAATTACGTCATAGTTTGTATGACTATGATAATGAATTAATTTATTTGATATGGTAATATCCTGTATTTCATATTATTTACAATTTGTCTTAGGCTTATTTGTTATCAGTTTTCTCAAATGACGGAAATTAAGCATATACGATAGCATTTACATATAAATCCACACTTATTGTTTAAAAATAGAATAAAAATTACTAATTGAAATGAATACTTTTGTCATGAAAATCAGTTTAGTCGCTAGATTTTGATATTGTCATAATTCTTTTTAATATTTAAATATTTTTTTTATTTTTCATTTTAGTCATTATAAGATTATACTATCACTGGCATTTTTACGAGATTGGTAAACTAATACCTATCTATTGTACTTTTACGAAAATTAATGGATTTTGGTCGCAACAATAGGTCTATTTATCACAATGTTTTATCTTAAATGCACATGAATTAGCATTATTCTAATGCATGTTAATAAAACACAATGAAGAGACAGTTTAATTATTTTCATGTCTATAAACCATGTTGTAAAAAACAATACCAAATTCTTCTGCTTATTCTAAATGTGAACTCAACAATGAAAAAACAACTCCGATAGCAAAATATAACAAAACCACATAACTTTCCGTAAAAGTCGGGGTTCTTCTGTCTTCTCAACTGTAATATTAAATTTAACCTTTTGAAAAAGGTTATGTCTACCATAAGCTCTGCCTTTTATGGTTAACGAAATTTAAAACGGTTATTTAATATTCAAATTTTCAAACTTCTTGGCCAAAAAATGACGGTAGTGACAATGGCGGCAGCGAAGTATAAAACGAGTAATGATCTATGCTGTGTAGATATCAGAGGTCAATATAAAATAAGGATTATATTCTACTAAATCCTGGAGTACACCTGGTAATATCACGCTATATTACGCTCAATTTAACCTAATCTTTATCTTTTCTATCTCCATCATTTAGAAATTAAACTGAATTAAACACAATACTTGAAACTTAAGTATCCTCATATTATTCCATTCTCATATAAATATTTATTTTGGAATTTACATCCTTTTATAGAATTATTTACAATTATACCATTATCATTCTGATAGTAGATTTTAAATCTAAATCAATTAAGTTTGAATTATTAGCAAATTCATTATTGTATATTTAGTATTTTTCGGATTTCTATTAAAACATATCTTGGTGTTTCCGTTTTATTTGACCTGTTTTAAAATTTATCAATATATGAATACTTGCATCTCACACCTTTGGAATTCCTTTCAATTTTTTCTTCCAAGATTTGAAAAAAAAATGCAGGATTGACCAAAACATTAATTTTCCATGCTTTTACGATTTTCAAAGTAGTAATCTCAAATAACAGTTGGTGAAAAATTAAACGATTAAAATAGTTTAGATTTTTTTGCTCCTCTAAATAATTTAAGACAGCAAAAAGAAATATTTCAGATATTTTTGAACATATTCACTATAGAAATGTAAGGTAGATTTTTAACTTTCCTTTTTTTCATGACTTCAACGTAGTAAAATGTTACCTAAATGTAAGAATTGAACTGAAGCCTTAATTTGATCTGGTAGCTTGATATAACTTGATGTAAGATTATTAGCTCCCAACAATTAAGTACTAATATTCTATATTCTTACAAAGTGGTTTAAAAATCATCTTATCCCTTCAACACTTTGGCTTTGTAGTGTATACTCTATCAAAAAGGATTAAGAATCATCCTTGTATATAACATGATACACGATAATCCACCGAGGTTACATATATCAGTATCATAGAAATATTTTTTAGGTATATGTTTGAACAAATAATTTTGGTCATGTATGTACCTCATCTGAAATAAAAGTATCAAATCCTATAAACACATTCAATTGATATACATCATGGATAGTTTTTATATGACATAGTTGTAGAGGGTTAAATGTTTGTTTTCCCTTTGTCATTCAGTCAGTGATGTTTGTCATTTTATCTTTCATCATATTTTTAACACTTGGAAACTACCATCATTTCTTAGTGAATATCTTGCAAATTTAAATTAATTTCTTCTCTTATTGAATCTTGGATGATTTCAGCTAGAAAAAAAATTAAAATTGGGAACCATATTTGGGGAAGGGACTTGTACAAATTCTGCATATTGGTTCCCTCTGGTTATCATCAGATCCTACTGAATTTACACTTTTCAAAACAACAATCAGTCAAAGTTCATGGATAACAAACTTTTTTTTTGGCAGAAGGAAACCCAAACAAATACCACCTTATTATTATACACCCACTCATAGAGTAGGTGGTATACTGGAGTTACCTTATAGAGTAGGCAGTATACTGGAGTTACCTTGTAGAGTAGGTGGTATACTGGAGTTACCTTATACAGTAGGTGGTATACTGGAGTTACCTTATAGAGTAGGCAGTATACTGCAGTTACCTTATAGAGTAGGCAGTATACTGGAGTTACCTTATAGAGTAGGGTGTATACTGGAGTTACCTTATAGAGTAGGTGGTATACTGGACTTACCTTATAGAGTAGGCAGTATACTGGAGTTACCTTATAGAGTAGGTGGTATACTGGAGTTACCTCATAGAGTAGGTGGTATACTGCAGTTACCTTATAGAGTAGGCAGTATACTGGAGTTACCTTATAGAGTAGGGTGTATACTGGAGTTACCTTATAGAGTAGGTGGTATACTGGAGTTACCTTATAGAGTAGGCAGTATACTGGAGTTACCTTATAGAGTAGGCAGTATACTGGAGTTACCTTATAGAGTAGGTGGTATACTGGAGTTACCTTATAGAGTAGGTGGTATACTGCAGTTACCTTATAGAGTAGGCAGTATACTGGAGTTACCTTATAGAGTAGGTGGTATACTGGAGTTACCTTGTAGAGTAGGCAGTATACTGGACTTACCTTATAGAGTAGGTGGTATACTGGAGTTACCTTATAGAGTAGGTTGTATACTGGAGTTACCTTATAGAGTAGGCAGTATACTGGAGTTACCTTATAGAGTAGGTGGTATACTGCAGTTACCTTATAGAGTAGGCAGTATACTGGAGTTACCTTATAGAGTAGGTGGTATACTGGAGTTACCTTGTAGAGTAGGCAGTATACTGGAGTTACCTTATAGAGTAGGTGGTATACTGGAGTTACCTTATAGAGTAGGTGGTATACTGCAGTTACCTTATAGAGTAGGCAGTATACTGGAGTTACCTTATAGAGTAGGCAGTATACTGCAGTTACCTTATAGAGTAGGTGGTATACTGGAGTTACCTTATAGAGTAGGCAGTATACAGGAGTTACCTTATAGAGTAGGTGGTATACTGGAGTTACCTTATAGAGTAGGTGGTATACTGGAGTTACCTTGTCAGTCTGTCTATTTGTTTATCTAATAGAAAAGAAAGGATAAGGTGTATCCATCCATGACACAAAATCAGTATATACACTGCAAAAAACACAAAAAGCAAAGGAACAGCCCAATTAATTCTGTTCTTCATCTCACAGTCACAGTGAGTCCAAATCAACCTCTCACCTCACTGCAAGTTTAAGACGGCTCCTAGCACTGGTTTGAGCAGAATTCTTTGCAAAAACTTGAAGTGAATTGAAGAATTAAGCAATGGAGTATTACCAATAAAATAAATTTGGCAAAGAAATCAAACATGTACTGTCATAATTTAGCCTGACAATCACACTGAAGCATGTAAAAAACAGTACAAACATTTAGTTTGTGTGTCTATCTGTCAATATCTTTAAGTTACATGTTACTCAGTTTCTTCATAAAGGATTGATTTGATATTTATGGTCTTAAACTATATAATGTTCAGTTGTACTGTGTGAGGGATTTTCAAGAGGAACCGAGCAGTCATTTCCTGTTTGATGATAATTTGAGTTTTTACAATACCAACTGAGATTGGTTTCCTTTTAATATCTAACAATAAGTAGGGGTATAGTTTGTACTACATTGCATGCAATTTATTGTAAGTGTTGTCTTCTGTGCAGCATAACATTACTTGTCATATCCTTTTTAACTTGAAAGAGAATTTGTGTAAAATGTATTTTGTTTAACTACATTTCAGCAATACTCGTGGAAAAGAAGAGAAGCTTATAATTCAGATATCTGAAAATAAACAACCTTGAATATAATTTATTTCCCTTTGACAGTCTTACTATACAAATGATGTTTTTCAGATGTTTTGAGATGGAATCAACTTTTCCTATGGAATCCTTCCTTACTGTCCAAGTGTACGATTGGGATTTGGTTGGCATGGATGACTTGATTGGTGAAACCAAAATTGACCTTGAAAACAGATATTACAGTCGACATAGGGCCACTTGTGGCATTTCGAATAAATTTGAACTGTAAGTTTCACCTAAGTTTCTTTAATACATTTAATGATCATTTATGTTTTTTATTTATTGTTTGCAAGATTGTACTTAGTTTGATATGAGATATAAGAAAGACAAAAACAAAAATTTAAATATTTTTCAATCTATTTTACTATCAAATTAAATGACTCCTGTAACAAATCTACATTATATAAACAAGTTGCATGTAAACACTATATATGGTTATATGTTCAATGACAGTGAATCTCCCAAGGGTTGACCTGTGTATATATAAATATTGTCATCCCTGGACTTCATCTGTCCAGCATTTAGCCTTTTCTAAAGTGTAAGGTCTTTTTGGCTGTGTAATATGTATAAATATGCAGCAAAGTCTGGTTTGAAAAGGGATGTTTAAATCTCGGGTCACACCCGCAGGATCCGGGTCAGTTGACAGGTATGGTTTAATCTGATGCCCCATATGGGTAGAGTGCCAAACTCTTTCCTCATTCAGGAACCCTTGCATCAACTTTCTGAAGGGTTGGTAAGTGGTTTGTTTCAAGACAAAATGTCAGCATTCCTCCAACAAACCGTGATTCTAATACAATTCTTTTAGAACGACAAATTTCATTGGACATTGACAATATTTTGAAGAGTTAGATTCCATGTTCTAGCAGCTCGTAACTAAGGAAAGCTACCATTTTAAATTCAGATTTTTTTTTATATGCAATTTCTCAAAAAATAAACAAAAAAGTGCCATTTTGTGCCTCAAAATCTTCTTTTTATCAATATTTAAACCATTCAGAAGTGTACAAAAAGTATAAATACGTCTAGTGTTTATCTTTGACATCTTTTTCATTTATGGCATTTTAAGCAAAATGTTTACTAAAATGGAATTTATTTTAATATGTGGCATTAGAATGGAGATAACTGTCTTGTATTTTAAACTTGGTCTTTGTAAAACTTGATTTTACTGTCGCAAAAACTGCTACGTGTCTCTAGGTAAACTCAATTTGCAACAGTAACCTTGCAGAACCTTACTGTATTAATTGTTAATTTGTTCTCATCATGAATATGCATTAAATATTTGCCATTTGATGTAATTAATCAACAATTAATCAATCAATTAATTGGTAAAAAAGTTGGTTGTGTCTGCCATTTCCCAGACTGCTTTATTTGAATGCCCATTAATCTAGTTTACATTCATAAATTTTAATCTTGAAACTTGTTATTTTGTTCTTTAAGTTCATGTGCTTAAATTTTGGGAGTTTACTTAAGGATGTTCTCTCCTCTGTTTCAAAATAACAGGCTTTTTAAAAGACTGTTATAAATTGATAGTATATAAATAAAGGAACTTAAAAAGCAGAAAACAGTGGAAAGGCCCTTGTCCTTATTTAGCTCACCTGGCCCGAATGGCCAAGTGAGCTTTTCTCATCACTTGGCGTCCGTCGTCCGTCGTCGTCGTCGTCGTCGATAGCTTTTTACAAAAATCTTCTCCTCTGAAACCACTGGGCCAAATTTAACCAAACTTGGCCACAACCATCATTAGGGTATCTAGTTTAAAAAATGTGTCCGATGACCCCGCCAACCAACCAAGATGGCTGCCATGGCTAAAAATAGAACATAGGGGTAAAATGTAGATTTTGGCTTATATCTCTGAAACCAAAGCATTTAGAGTAAATCTGACATAGGGTAAAACTGATTATCAGGTCAAGATCTATCTGCCCTGAAATTTTCAGACAAATCTGACAACCTGTTGTTGGGTTGCTGCCCCTGAATTGGTAATTTTAAGGAAATTTTGCAGTTTTTGGTTATTATCTTGAATATTATTGTAGATAGAGATAAACTGTAAACAGCAATAATGTTCAGCAAAGTAAGATCTACAAATAAGTTGTCATGACCAAAATTGTCAGTCGACCCCTTTAGGAGTTGTTGCCCTTAATAGTCAATTTTTAACAATTTTTTGTAAATTTTTGTAATCTTTTACAAAAATCTTCTTCTCTGAAACTACTGAGACAAATTTAACCATACTTGGCCATAATCATTATTAGGGTATCTAGTTTAAAAAATTTGTCCGATGACCCCACCTTCCAACCATCATGGCCGACTTGGTTAAAAATAGAACATAGGGGTAAAATGCAGTTTTTGGTTTATATCTCTGAAACTAAAGCATTTAGAGCAAATCTGACAGGTGGCAAAAATGTTCATCAGATTTAGATTTATCTGCCCTGAAATTTTCAGACGAATCCGACAACCCGTTGTTGGGTTGCTGCCCCTGAGTTAGTAATTTTACAAAAAAAATTTCGGTTTTTTGTTATTATCTTAGATATCATTATAATATCTAATATCTAATACTGTTAATTATGATTTTAACCTTATTTTACATGATTTCCAAAGCATCAGTAAATACAGGTGAGCGACACAGGCTCTTGAGAGCCTCTAGTTTTGAGATATAAGCAATTAAGTTTGGTGGGAAATGATTCTCTCTAGATTTTTCATAGATTTAACATTGACACCTTTTTCTTTCAAAAACTATGAAAAAATAACAAGGATTTTAGAAGATTTTCAAAAATGGTTTTTAACTATATGTAATAAAATTATGAAAAGAAAAGTAGGGGTAAGCTTGGGAAATTTTTAAAGGCACTACAAGTATTAAACTAGAGGATTCTGAATATCTGACAAAAAGTCATAAACAAGAGTAAAGAACATCCTTAAGCATATCTGTCTTTAAAAATGGGGTGGATATAGATATTATCAATCATGTAAACTGTGAGTTCTGAGTTTGCCTGTTAGACATACGTAAATAAGAACTAATGAGTTCTAAATCATATTTTAACACTGAACGTAAAAACCGAAAGACTGGAGGGATGGTGATATCATGGTCCTGTATTAATTCTATGATTTTGGTAACAATTTCAGATTGATTGATTGATTGTTGGTGTTTAAACGCTACTTTTAAGCACCACATTTGGGCTATTTCGTGGTGGCCAGTTTTATTGGCGGAGGAAGCCAGAGTGCCCGGAGAAAACCACCGACCTTCGATAGGAAAACTGATAATCCTAGTCAATTAAGATTGGAGTCGAGTGCACCTGCACGAGCGGGGTTCGAAATCACAACCTCAGTGTTGACTGGCTAGTGATTACAGTAGTAACTACTTAGACCACTCGGCCACCGAGGCCCCCTAATTTTCAGATTGAAGATGGTTATTGCAGTGTAACATAGTGTACGGAAATCTATGATAAAGTGTTCATTAAACTGCATATAGCTTACTTTTAATTATTAATTTTGAATAGATAAACTTTAATATTCCATTAATTGTGAATATTGATTTAGGTTAGAGAGATAAAAAGTGACAGACCAATATCATAAATCTCTATTGACTTTTTTTAATCCATATTGTATAAGGGTGTGGTTAATTGATTCTCTAATGACGCTTCGAGGTATGCCACTATTATCTATAAGTACATTTTATAGAATTTTACATAAATAAGTGACATTTTAACATTTCCCATTGTTGTTTTTTTTATTAATTGATGAAGATATTGTTATTGACTTTCAGACAAACAATTCCTGTGACAAATTATTTATCTTTCCTCCTCAGTCAGTACCCAGCACAAATTGTACAAGAAAATGTGTTTGAATAATTTGGAAGTCGGGATAATCTGAAAAGGCTATTTATTATATAACAGAAATGATAGTAATTTTTTATTGTGTATAGATGTATTGTCTAAGCTTTGATTGTTTTAGTGATTAATGCATTACAAGGATAGCTAACAATGCGGGACAATGCCGCTGGGACAACATGGGGTTTTAGATTGCAGGAGATTTAATTAACTAAATCCATCACCAAGCAATTGTAGTGATTAATATTTTAAAATTTTCAGGAAATAATATTTTCTATAAAATAATAATTGATGGGTCACTATAGGAAACTGTCTGAGCCTGGCTCTGTTTCTATTTACTTAATAATGCTTACATTAGGATATTCCTTTGAAGTGGATTTTTTACAAAGATTTCACCTTATTGATGTCAGGAGTTTGTATGGAATTTGTGTAAATACTCACAAATGTTCATCCCTTTTTTGTTTGTTCACACAGTTACAGCTATTTGTTGTAGTTACAAAAGATCCCCCACAAACTTCTATAAGTTTCCTGTTGGTATGAAGTTAAACATCATATATAAAGTCTCTAAAGTATTAATAAAAACTCCAATAGTTCTGGAGGTTTCAGCCTCATGGCTTTCCTTAGCAGAATCTTTTGTAATGATAACTGTAACAAAAAAATACATTGCTTTACAAAAGCCAATGTTTTAAACTATATAGTCAATAATGTGAAGTGGTGGCAATATGTAAAGTTATAAGAAACATGTGTTTGTATGCTAGAACTGTTAGTGTTTAGATTCTTTATTTCTTCTCCCCTTTTCTTTTCTCTAACTTTGGCTATTCCTTATGGTCCCTTTTGGTTATATTGCTCTTCAGTTGTTTAGGTCCCTTTTGGTTATATTGCCCTTCAGTTGTTTAGGTCCCTTTTGGTTATATTGCTCTTCAGTTGTTTAGGTCCCTTTTGGTTATTTTGCCCTTCAGTTGTTTAGGTCCCTTTTGGTTATATTGCTCTTCAGTTGTTTAGGTCCCTTTCGGTTATTTGCTCTTCAGTTCTTTAGGTCCCTTTTGGTTATATTGCTCTTCAGTTGTTTAGGTCCCTTTCGGTTATTTGCTCTTCAGTTCTTTAGGTCCCTTTTGGTTATATTGCTCTTCAACTGTTTAGGTCCCTTTTGGTTATATTGCCCTTCAGTTGTTTAGGTCCCTTTTGGTTATATTGCTCTTCAACTGTTTAGGTCCCTTTTGGTTATATTGCTCTTCAGTTGTTTAGGTCCCTTTTGGTGATATTGCTCTTCAGTTGTTTAGGTCCCTTTTGGTTATTTTGCCCTTCAGTTGTTTAGGTCCCTTTTGGTTATATTGCTCATCAATTGTTTAGGTCCCTTTTGGTTATTTTGCCCTTCAGTTGTTTAGGTCCCTTTTGGTTATATTGCTCTTCAATTGTTTAGGTCCCTTTTGGTTATTTTGCCCTTCAGTTGATTAGGTCCCTTTTGGTTATATTGCTCTTCAACTGTTTAGGTCCCTTTTGGTTATTTGCTCTTCAGTTGTTTAGGTCCCTTTTGGTTATATTGCTCTTCAATTGTTTAGGTCCCTTTTGATTATATTGCTCTTCAGTTGTTTAGGTCCCTTTTGGTTATATTGCTCTTCAGTTGTTTAGGTCCCTTTTGGTTATATTGCTCTTCAGTTGTTTAGGTCCCTTTTGGTTATATTGCTCTTCAGTTGTTTAGGTCCCTTTTGGTTATATTGCTCTTCAGTTGTTGAGGTCCCTTTTGGTTATTTTGCCCTTCAGTTGTTTATGTCACTTTTGGTTATATTGATCATCAATTGTTTAGGTCCCTTTTGGTTATTTTGCCCTTCAGTTGTTTAGGTCTCTTTTGGTTATATTGATCATCAATTGTTTAGGTCCCTTTTGGTTATTTTGCCCTTCAGTTGTTTAGGTCCCTTTTGGTTATATTGCTCTTCAATTGTTTAGGTCCCTTTTGGTTATATTGCTCTTCAATTGTTTAGGTCCCTTTTGGTTATTTGCTCTTCAGTTGTTTAGGTCCATTTTGGTTATATTGCCCTTCAGTTGTTTAGGTCCCTTTTGGTTATATTGCTCTTCAATTGTTTAGGTCCCTTTTGGTTATATTGGTCTTCAGTTGTTTAGGTCCATTTTGGTTATATTGGTCTTCAGTTGTTAAGGTCCATTTTGGTTATATTGCCCTTCAGTTGTTTAGGTCCCTTTTGGTTATATTGCTCTTCAGTTGTTTAGGTCCCTTTTGGTTATATTGCTCTTCAGTTGTTTAGGTCCCTTTTGGTTATATTGCTCTTCAGTTGTTTAGGTCCCTTTTGGTTATTTTGCTCTTCAGTTGTTTAGTCCCTTTTGGTTATATTGCTCATCAATTGTTTATGTCCCTTTTGGTTATTTTGCCCTTCAGTTGTTTAGGTCCCTTTTGGTTATTTGCTCTTCAGTTGTTTAGGTCCCTTTTGGTTATATTGCTCTTCAGTTGTTTAGGTCCCTTTTGGTTATATTGCTCTTCAATTGTTTAGGTCCCTTTTGGTTATATTGCTCTTCAATTGTTTAGGTCCCTTTTGGTTATATTGCTCATCAATTGTTTATGTCCCTTTTGGTTATTTGCTCTTCAGTTGTTTAGGTCCCTTTTGGTTATATTGCTCTTCAGTTGTTTAGGTCCCTTTTGGTTATTTTGCCCTTCAGTTGTTTAGGTCCCTTTTGGTTATATTGCCCTTCAGTTGTTTAGGTCCCTTTTGGTTATATTGCTCATCAATTGTTTAGGTCCTTTTTGGTTATATTACTCAATAACTGTTTAGGTCCTTTATATCCTACTAGGCTAAATGTTTGGGTCTGAGCCTTTCTGATGAAGGTAATTTCAGAAAAGCACTGCAGAAGCATGAAATTATTATAGTGTTATTTTCATTTACACTGATAACGTCTTTATTGTGGCAATTGTTGTTACATCATTTACACTGATAACGTCTATATTGTGGCAATTGTTGTTACATCATTTACACTGATAACGTCTTTATTGTGGCAATTGTTGTTACATTATTTACACTGATAATGTCTATATTGTGGCAATTGTTGTTACATTATTTACACTGATAACGTCTATATTGTGGCAATCGTTGTTACATTATTTACACTGATAACGTCTATATTGTGGCAATTGTTGTTACATTGTTGTTACATCATTTACACTGATAACGTCTATATTGTTGCAATTGTTGTTACATCATTTACACTGATAACGTCTATATTGTGGCAATTGTTGTTACATCATTTACACTGATAACGTCTATATTGTGGCAATTGTTGTTACATCATTTACACTGATAACGTCTATATTGTGGCAATTGTTCTTACATCATTTACACTGATAACGTCTATATTGTGGCAATTGTTGTTACATCATTTACACTGATAACGTCTATATTGTGGCAACTGTTGTTACATCATTTCATTAAACTTCAATGTCCAATAAAAAAGGCAATAATGATGAAACTTCTACAAATATTAGTATATAGTCTGATAGCCTAAAAGAGTACCACAACACCAAAAGTTAATGAAAAAAGAATAATTAATAATAGTATTTTTGATTATTCGTTTTATTATTTTTTTCACAATTTATTGTCCTGGGGCCTTTTAGAACTTTAATATACTATATAGTATAGGTTTTGCTCATTGTTAAAGTTTGAACAGTGACCTGAATTGTTTAGATCCTTGTCCTTTGTTCTTTGGTGGATAGTTGTTTCTCCACAGCTTCATATTTCTATGTAAGACGTAGTGAAATAAAGAGATAGCAAACCCAAAACCTGATAATAAAAAATAGAAATAACTTCTAGAGTAGTAATAATAAGAATTCCTGTCCACCATGCCCTCTTACACTATCATATTTCCATGTTCAGTGAACTGTGAACTCTAAACCCTAAGTTGGGATATATTTTAAACAGTTCACCTTATATTGAACATGTTTACTATTTGAGTTGATGGATGTGGCCTAAAATTACCTTAAACATAACTTTAACATACCCTAAACAAAACTTTGAATTGATACAAGGATGCACAGACCAGAAAAAATAAAGCCCCTAGGGTATTGTAATCAAGGCATAAAAAAGTGTCACTGAGCACAACTAACAATAACATCCACTAGTAAAGCTACATAAGTATAATTGTTGTATGTAAATGAGTTACATCCGAAATAAAACTTGCACTTTTTTGCCAGTTATGGATATCAATTATAAAGGAAACAGTATTTTTGTTTTTGTGTGCCGGAAATGATTTTTCTCCATTCATTTTAGAAGAGAACATTACAATGTCTATACCCTCAGCTAATTTCCTGTAGCATATTGCCGTACAGTGCTTGCTATCTATGACTCCTGACAACCGTTTGATAGAAAAAATCCATACATCATGTACAACAGGAAGTTCTGCTCGTCTTAATGTGCAATATCTGGAAATAAAAAGATAAATATTGGAATGGTCCTAAACATTCAGCCGTGATTGAAAGGTGCAACATGAAATACGGAAAAAGACAAATATTGGATGTGTATTCATGCAAACTAACTAACCGAAAGGAAATGAATTGTTGTTAATTTAAGATTAATGCCGTTTGACTGTTCTTTCATAGATTTGTTTTGTAATTATCAAGAAAGCCAAGTAAATCACGAAGATGGATTTATCAGTTTCTGATGCTTTTAACTCACCTGAATTAAATTGTTTTATCATCCAGATTAAATACAACAATGTACATGTAAACCATTTTAACTTTTACTGACTGTCTTAATAAGTTATTGTTTTCTCTACGTTGGTCTCTCGTTTGTCATATTTCATGGTGAAAGAGATACAGGATTTATATGGGGATGTAGGCATTTTGTTAGGATTAAGTGCATCAGAATCATTTGGCACTGAATTGAAGAAAATTATATGTGATTAATTCGGTTTTCAACAACTAGAATATTAGCTGTGCATTTCTGAATGAGCTATAGGCCATATATCTTTGCTTGATCATCTTTTTACAAACGTGTTTCCTTTGAGAATTTCAACTTAGTTGCTTACATCCATGTCATTTGGACTGTGGTGCATAGTTTTCTCATTATCTCCTTATTTTTATGCCCCACCTATGATAGTAGAGGGGCATTATGTTTTTCGGTCTGTGCGTCCGTTCGTCGGTCCATCCATCTGTTTGTCTGTCTGTCCCGCTTCAGGTTAAAGTTTTTGGTCAAGGTAGTTTTTGATGAAGTTGAAGTTAATCAACTTGAAACTTAGTATACATGTTGATCTTTCTAATTTTAATGCCAAATTAGAGTTTTGACCCCAATTTCACAGTCCACTGAACATAGAAAAGGATAGTGCGAGTGGGGCATCCGTGTACTATGGACACATTCTTGGTTGTCTCCCTGTCTCATAACCTGATAGGGGCCACTGTGGCCGAGTGGTCTAAGTAGTTCATCTATAGTGATCTCTGGCCTGTCAACACCAAGGTTGTGAGATTAATTCCAACAAGTGGCATTGTGTACTTGAGTTTGCCTGCCAAGGTTGTTGTTCTCTCAGTGTACTCAGCTTCCTCCACCAAATCCTGCCAAGGTTGTTGTTTTTTCAGTGTACTCAGCTTCCTCCGTCAATGCCTGCCAAGGTTGTTGTTCTCTCAGTGTACTCAGCTTCCTCCACCAATGCCTGCCAAGGTTGTTGTTCTCTCAGTGAACTCAACTTCCTCTACCAATGCCTGCCAATGTTGTTGTTCTCTCAGTGTACTCAGCTTCCTCCACCAATGCCTGCCAAGGTTGTTGTTCTCTCATTGTACTCAGCTTCCTCCACCAATGCCTGCCAATGTTGTTGTTCTCTCAGTGTACTCAGCTTCCTCCACCAATGCCTGCCAAGGTTGTTGTTCTCTCATTGTACTCAGCTTCCTCCACCAATGCCTGCCAAGGTTGTTGTTCTCTCAGTGTACTCAGCTTCCTCCACCAATGCCTGCCAAGGTTGTTGTTCTCTCAGTGTACTCAGCTTCCTCCACCAATGCCTGCCAAAGTTGTTGTTCCCTCATTGTACTCGCCTTCCTCCACCAATGCCTGCCTAGGTTGTTGTTCTCTCAGTGTACTCAGCTTCCTCCACCAATGCCTGCCAAGGTTGTTGTTCTCTCAGTGTACTCAGCTTCCTCCAACAACAAACACTGGCCAACATGATATAGCCAAGAGGGCTGAAAATGGTTATAAACATCAAAAATCAATTAATAAATATATTAATAACCTCATAGCCTGATCAATATTCCCATTTTTATGAAATTTGTATCAAATGTATATATCAACAATGTTTTGACGCAATTGGAAAAATTAGTGCTAACCAACTATTAAAGGAGTTATGGTCCTTGGAAATAATATTTCTGTCACTCTTTTCTACTTTTAAGATCTTTTCCATTTCTTTTTGTTTTACAGGACTGGATACAATGCATGGAGAGATCCTTTGAAGCCTACCCAGGCATTAGCCAAGCTATGTAAGGATGGTAAAATAGATGGTCCCCATTACCAGCCAGGGAAAGTCCGAGTGGCTAATCGTATCTTTACACAGCCTATCCTGGCAAATGATGAGGAGGATGGTAAGGGTTTTATTATTATAAAAAAAAAATAATTTAGTCATAGGTACTACACCAGTATTGTTGGACAGAATTTTTACATTTAGAGGCTAACAAAGTACAATAAACTTTAACCAACATTTGTTTGAGTGAATGATGTTTTTACATCATGAAACACTGAAACATGTCTGTACTCTTATTGTAAAACATGAAGTCATTATAACAGAGTATTATGGCTTTTTCTATTAGATTATCTTGACCCAAATGAGTTTCTGATTAATGAACTGGTGCCCTGATTAATGACAGAACTGGTACCAATATGTTTTTAGTCAGGAAATATCCACTGACTGCTGAGGTTTGATTTTTCATACTGTTAATTAGATCAGCATTTTGGAATTAGTTTTTTTTTCAATTGTGGTTTTATCAGGTTAAATGTTTGTCAGATCTTACAGGATCATATGTAGTTTTAACATGATCAGCAGTTGTTTGGAAAATCAATTGTTAATCAAATGTTAAAGATATTTAAAATTGCCAATAAAAAAATTTAAACTCCCATTTCTTTATCTCTCTGCAGCTTACAAATCTTAAATAGCTCTTTTAGATCAAAATACATCCAAATATATATAAGTTGAACGAAAAATATGCATAAGAACGGAACATATCTGCTCTAATTCATCTAGGTTTTTTTTATCTATATATATATATATATAAATCTTAGGATGTTACAACAACATCTCTTTAAAAAAAAACTATTTAAGCTGCAATGTAAAGGGGAGATTCTTTTCTGGTATTACAGGAGTTTTCAGCAGTGTTTTAAGGTTTACTTAAACATCTTTCTTTGTTATAAATGTTACTAATATTTTGATGTGTCTAGGTTTTGTCATCTGAAATGTCTGATATTTGTGTATAACATTGTTTGATAGCAATGATAGCATAAAAATATATGTAGTATAAACTATAGGTTCAGACAATGAATACTGCACCCCATTGTGAAGGGAAGGATTGTCCAAGTACTTTTTTGTCTCGCCTGCAACTAAATTTGCGGAAAGCGAGACATAGGGATTTCTTTCCCGGCAACGACAATTGCTCCGTCTCAAGCGTCAACAATTGTTAAGTTTTCTGCTTAAGTTAGTTTGATAGGAACTACTTGTGATAGATCATTGATATTTACTATGAAGTTGCATTACTATCAGTACATATCAGTTTGATGACTATTTCGAGGCCCTGCCCCCCTAAGTCATGGTCCAGTGACTTTGAATTAATAAGCAATTTTCAATGTTAAGTTTTCTGCTTGTGTTAGTTTAATAGGATCTACTTGTGATAGATCAATGATATTTTGTATGAAGTTGCATTACTATCAGTACATATCAGTTTGACGACTATTTTGAGTCCCTGCCCCCTAGGACATGGTCCAGTGACTTTGAATTAATTAGCAATTTTCAATGTTAAGTTTTCTGCTTAAGTTAGTTTGATAAGAACTACTTGTGATAGATCAATGATATTTTGTATAAAGTTGCATTACTATCAGTACATATCAGTTTGTGGACTATTTTGAGGCCCTGCCCCCTAGGACATGGTCCAGTGACTTTGAATTTATTTCCAATTTTCAATGTTAAGTTTTTCTGCTTAAGTTATATTGATAGGAACTACTTACAATAAACAACAATATTTTTCTATAAAGCTACATTACTGTCAGTAAATCCCAGTTTGTGGACCATTTTCAGGCCCTGCCCACTAGATCATAGTCCAGTGACTGAATTAATAAGCAATGTTGCTGTCCATCAGATTGTTTTTTTCTGAATTTTATGCCGATAGGCAAGACATATCTCTGTGTCAACAGTACTTTTAAAAGAATGGCTAAGTTTGACTAGAGTTTAGGAGAAGGGTCTGAGCTGACATATTTAAAATTCATAGTCCAACATTTGTTATAATAAGTATGATTTAGGATGTAAAATTTAAAATAATGATACCAATGAATAAATCATGATTTACAAGATAACTATGACACAGCAGAATTTAAAAATGACACGAGGAAGAAATAAATTGTCAGAAGACGAAGTGTTGTATCTTCCTTGTTCATCTTCTTTTCCTTGTTTCTTAAAAAATATAAAGACAAGTTTTAATGACTTGCATGATGCTATTATTATTGACAAATATCCTACTGTGGAACAATAAAGATACTCCAATTTCATTTCCAGGAATTAAAAAAAAAATTATATTTAGATTATTATAATAGCTAGGAAGTATTGTGAAATTTCAGTTTCTATTTCATTCAGAAATGCCATTAAAGAGTCCAAAAAAGGACTTATAACTATAAGAGGAAGTAACAAAAAGCACAAAATAAACTACTTTTTGTCTAGTCTGTGAGGAGAGTCGCGGAAACAAGACAAACACGATCCTACAGGTTTAGTCTGTGGTTAAAGTTTTTTTTTATAACACCTATAACTGTATCAAGTCTTCATGGAATTTTATGAAATTTTGACATAATCTTCTTCATGATCAAAAATTAAAGAGAGTATTTTGAAACTATTTTTGTTCTTTTCATTTTTCTGTATTTTACTAATCAGTGGAATTAACTTTGCAGTTACTACTAACGACATCAATCACTTTATCAAATCTTGAACAAATGTTATGAAACTTGACCAGAAACTTTTTCATCATCAAGAAATAGCAATTGATAAAAAAAGTTTACTTTACTGGTAAATTTGCGGTCAATACTACACTTTTAAACTGACAGTAGCAATCACAGGTGACACAAGGTTCCTTTTAACCCTTTAATTTTTTTTCTTCATATAAGTGATAAGTCACTAGTCATACACTACTATGTGATAAGTCACTAGCCATTAATTGCTGAGTGATGGACAAGCAGTTACAGACTGAAAGGGAATCATCCACTAGTCATACACTGCTAGGTGATCATCCACTAGTCATACACTGCTAGGTGATCATCCACTAGTTATAAACTGTTAGGTGATCATCCACTAGTCATACACTGCTAGGTGATCATCCACTAGCCATGCACTGTAAGGTGATCATCCACTAGTCATGCACTGTTAGGTGATCATCCACTTGTCATGCACTGTTAGGTGATCATCTACTAGTCATGCATTGTAATGTGATCATCCACAAGTCATACACTGTAAGGTGATCATCCACTAGTCATGCACTGTTAGGTGATCATCTACTAGTCATGCACTGTTAGGTGATCATCCACTAGTTATACACTGTTAGGTGATCATCCACTAGTCATGCACTGTTAGGTGATCATCTACTAGTCATGCACTGTTAGGTGATCATCCACTAGTCATACACTGCTAGGTGATCATCCACTAGCCATGCACTGTTAGGTGATCATCCACTTGTCATGCACTGTAAGGTGATCATCTACTAGTCATGCACTGTAAGGTGATCATCCACAAGTCATACACTGTAAGGTGATCATCCACTAGTCATGCACTGTTAGGTGATCATCTACTAGTCATGCACTGTTAGGTGATCACCCACTAGTCATGCACTGTTAGGTGATCATCTACTAGTCATACACTGTTAGGTGATCATCCACTAGTCATGCACTGTTAGGTGATCATCCACTAGTCATGCACTGTAAGGTGATCATCCCCTAGTCATACCCTGCTAGGTGATCATCCACTAGTCATACACTGCTAGATGATCATCCACTAGTCATGCACTGTTGGGTGATCATCCACAAGTCATGCACTGTAACATGATCATCCAATAGTAATACATTGTTAGGTAAAGTTCACTAGTCATACACTGCTAGGTGATCATCCCCTAGTCATACACTGCTATTTGATCATCCACTAGTCATACACTGCTAGGTGATCATCCACTAGTCATACACTGCTAGGTGATCATCCACTAGTCATGCACTGTAAGGTGATCATCCACTAGTCATGCACTGTAAGGTGATCATCTACTAGTCATACACTGCTAGGTAAAATTCACTAGTCATACACTACTAAGTGATCATCCAATAGTCATACACTGCTAGGTGATCATCCACTAGTCATACACTGCTATGTGATCATCCACTAGTCATGCACTGTTAAGTGATCATTCACAAGTCATGCACTGTAACATGATCATCCACTAGTAATACACTGTTAGGTAAAATTCACTAATCATACACTGCTAGGTGATCATCCACTAGTCATGCACTGTTAGGTGATCATCCACTAGCCATACACTGCTAGGTGATCATCTACTAGTCATACACTGCTAGATAAATTTCACTAGTCATACACTACTAAGTCATCATCCACTAGTCATACACTGCTAGGTGATCATCCACTAGCCATACACTGCTAGGTGATCATCCACTAGTCATGCACTGCTAGGTGATCATCCACTAGTCATACACTGCTAGGTGATAAGTCACAACAGACTGTTGGAATTCCAATGGGAACCAATTGTGCCCCTCTTCTTGCCGACTTGTTTTTTTATTATTAAGAGGCTGACTTCATACAGGAACTTCTTAGGAAGAAAGATAAGAAGTTAGCAATATCCTTAAACTCTACGTTCCGCTTTATAGATGATGTTCTCTCACTTAATAATACAAAATTTGGTGACTATGTTGAACGAATCTATCCCATCGAACTAGAGATAAAGGATACTACAGATACAGTTAAGTCTGCCTCATATCTTGACTTACATCCAGAAATTGACAATGAGGGTCGGTTGAAAACAAAACTTTACGACAAAAGAGATGATTTCAGCTTCCCAATTGTGAACTTTCCATTTCTATGTAGCAACAGACCAGCAGCACCTGCATACGGAGTATATATCTCCCAATTGATACGATATTCCCATGCTTGTGTTTCCTGTCATGATTTCCTTGATAGAGGATTGCTGCTCACAAGGCAGCTATTAAACCAAGAGTTCCAAATGGTGAAGTTGAAATCATCCCTTCGTAAATTTTACGGACGCCATCACGAGTTGGTTGACCGTTATGGAATAACCGTTTCACAGATGATATCGGATATGTTCCTTATGTCGTAACTACAATACCCCTCCCTTTTCACAAATGTGACTTACCGAATTTGACTATTTACCGGATTTGTAATAACATAAGCAATACGACGGGTGCCACATGTGGAGCAGGATCTGCTTACCCTTCCGGAGCACCTGAGATCACCCCCAGTTTTTGGTGGGGTTCGTGTTGCTTAGTCTTTAGTTTTCTATCTTGTGTCATCTGTACTATTATTTGTCTGTTTGTCTTTTTATTTTTGGCCATGGCGTTGTCAGTTTGTTTTCGATCTATGAGTTTGACTGTCCCTCTGGTATCTTTCGTCCCTCTTTCACTAGCCATACACATCTTGGTGATAAGCAACTAGCCATACACTGGTTAGGTGATAAGCCACTAGTCATACACTGCTTAGTGATAAGTCACTAGACATACACTGCTAGGGGATATATCACTAGCCATACACATCTGGGTGATAAGACATTAGCCATACACTGCTTAGTGATAAGTCACTAGCTATACACTGCTGGGTGATAAGTCACTTGCCATACACTGCTGGGTGATAAGTCACTAGCCATACACTGCTGGGTAATGTCACTAGTCATACACTTGCTAGGTGATAAGTCACTAGCCATACACTTCTGGGTGATAAGTCACTAGCCATACACTTCTGGGTGATAAGTCACTAGTCATACCCTGCTAGGTGATAAGTCACAGGCCATACACTGTTAAGTGATAAGTCACAAGTCATACACTGCTTGATGATGAATTAAGTCACTAGCCATACACTGCTAGGTAATGGGCTAACAATTATACATTGCTAGGTGATAAGCCACCATTTGTACACTACTTGATGATCATCCACTTGTCATATACTACTTAGTGATCAACCAGAAGTCATAAACAATTTGGTTGCTAGGTAATAGGCCAACAGATATACACTGGCTGGTGCCAGGACAATTTATATACATTGTTGGATAATAAGCCAACAGCCATACTCAGATGAAAAGCCTTCACTTACATTCTGCTAGGTGATAAGCCAACAGCCATACTCAGATGAAAAGCTTTCACTTACATTCTGCTAGGTGCTAAGCCAACAGCCATACTCAGATGAAAAGCCTTCACTTACATTTTGTTAGGTGATAAGCCAAAAGCCATACTCAGATGAAAAGCCTTCACTTACATTTTGTTAGGTGATAAGCCAAAAGCCATACTCAGATGAAAAGCCTTCACTTACATTTTGTTAGGTGATAAGCCAAAAGCCATACTCAGATGAAAAGCCTTCACTTACATTTTGCTAGGTGATAAGCCAAAAGCCATACTCAGATGAAAAGCCTTCACTTACATTTTGCTAGGTGATAAGCCAAAAGCCATACTCAGATGAAAAGCCTTCACTTACATTTTGTTAGGTGATAAGTCAAAAGCCATACTCAGATGAAAAGCCTTCACTTACATTTTATTAGGTGATAAGCCAAAAGCCATACTCAGATGAAAAGCCTTCACTTACATTTTGTTAGGTGATAAGCCAAAAGCCATACTCAGATGAAAAGCCTTCACTTACATTTTGTTAGGTGATAAGCCAAAAGCCATACTCAGATGAAAAGCCTTCACTTACATTTTGCTAGGTGATAAGCCAAAAGCCATTACTCAATATTTGATTTCTTGGATTATTATTCTGTAATTACATTGTCATGATTATTCTAAAATAGTTATCAATAAACTGTCAGTTGTTAAATATTATATTTTATTGAATGTTTTTGTTACAGGGGCAACAAGTCAGGAAGAAAACCTTGCTTTATCAGTATTAAAGCATTGGGAAGAAATACCAAAAGTTGGTTGTAAATTGGTTCCAGAACACATAGAAACACGGCCACTTTATAACCCTGACAAACCAGGCATTGAACAGGTATTGTGTTGACCAAATAGAATCAACACCTCATTATACATTTAAATTTTACTCCACGCAACAGTTTTGCAAAAGGAATAATGTTCTCGACCTATCGATCCATCTGTCAGTCATCAATTTGTTGACATCTCGCTAGTTCTTTTTTTTTTGTCTTGTTGGACCCTTCAAATTTGGGTGAAGGTTTCCCCTCATCAAAACTGCAGATGCATTTGATAATCAGGAAAATAAAAATCTGAAAAGGAGGAAACAGGGGCGAGGTTTGTACTCCTATAGGGCATTACAGAGGATAAAATGGTTACTTTTTTCTGGCAAAATGAATTCAAATTGTGGGAGGATAATGCAGTAATTTCCATGTTAACATTATAACTGTTGAATGTGAGTAAAAATAATGTGAATTTTATTTGTCACATTGAAGTTATGTTTTTGTCTTGAATGTTGTACATTTTATTATTTATCTAGCTATTTTCTTCATATTAAATAGAATAGAGATGTTGGTAGATATATTAACCATAAATGTACATTCATAAGGACCTACTGTTGATTTCATTGACTACAATTTTTCAGGGTAAAATTGAGATGTTTGTTGATATGTTTCCCATGGATATGCCCCCACCTGGACCCCCTGTTGATATTAGTCCCAGGAAACCAAAAAGGTAATGCTTTCAAATTGCTTAATGTTTTATTTTGATCTGTAAAGGAAATTTTAGATAAAATTATGACTACACTTTTAATGAAATTTAATATAATGAAGCAAAGATACTGTTTCTGGCACTCCAAAAGGAAGGTTCTTCTTGATTGAAAAAATCTGAATATTTCTTTCCATACAAAGTTATTAAGTTATAGTGATATTAGATTCAGAAAAAAGAAATGCAAACATTTATTTTGAGTTTTGAGCTGAGATATGTTATATTGAACACAGACGATGTTGTATAAGGATGAATGATGCATTAAGGATATGTTTATTTTCAGTTTTGAGCTGAGATGTATTATATGGAATACTGATGATGTTGTATTGGAGGATGATGCATTTTTTACTGGGGAGAAAATGAGTGATATTTATGTGAAGGGTTGGATTAAAGGCCAGGAAGATATGCAGAGTACAGATATTCATTATAGGTTGGTAAAATATAGAAGGACCTAAATGGTCTTGGTGACTTTATCATATCTTCCTACAAATGGATCATGGTAGTCTATACTTAACCATATCTACCTACACATGGATAATGGTAGTCTATACATAATCATATCTACCTACCCATGGATCATGGTAGTCTATACTTAATCATATCTACCTACCCATGGATCATGGTAGTCTATACTTAATCATATCTACCTACCCATGGATCATGGTAGTCTATACTTAATCATATCTACCAACCCATGGATCATGGTAGTCTATACTTAATCATATCTACCTACCCATGGATCATGGTAGTCTATACTTTAATCATATCTACCTACACATGGATCATGGTAGTCTATACTTAATCATATCTACCTACCCATGGATCATGGTAGTCTATACTTATTCATATCTACCTACCCATGGATCATGGTAGTCTATACATAATCATATCTACCTACCCATGGATCATGGAAGTCTATACTTAATCATATCTACCAACCCATGGATCATGGTAGTCTATACTTAATCATATCTACCTACCCATGGATCATGGTAGTCTATACTTTATCATATCTACCAACCCATGGATCATGGTAGTCTATACTTAATCATATCTACCAACCCATGGATCATGGTAGTCTATACTTAATCATATCTACCTACCCATGGATCATGGTAGTCTATACTTATTCATATCTACCTACACATGGATCATGGTAGTCTATACTTAATCATATCTACCTACACATGGATCATGGTAGTCTATACTTAATCATATCTACCAACCCATAGATCATGGTAGTCTATACTTTATCATATCTACCTACCCATGGATCATGGTAGTCTATACTTAATCATATCTACCTACCCATGGATCATGGTAGTCTATTCTTAATCATATCTACCTACACATGGATCATGGTAGTCTATACTTAATCATATCTACCTACACATGGATCATGGTAGTCTATACTTAATCATATCTACCTACACATGGATCATGTTAGTCTATACTTAATCATATCTACCTACACATGGATCATGGTAGTCTATACTTAATCATATCTACCTACCCATGGATCATGGTAGTCTATACTTCTTATCATATGATTTGTAGCAATTACTTCTGTCATGTTACTGACTAAGTACTTGTGATTATCCAGGCTGCTGTATTTATGACAATACTTCAGGAATTTAATAAATAGTGCAATCTCAAAATTCATGAATATACAGAAGGCAGTAAGTGTTCAGTTAGTATGAGGGTATAAACAAAAAATGATAAAATGTCTGTTATCATTTGCAAAACTGTATTTTATATTGTGATATTACAAGAAATACAGTTAAATGTCTCCCACCTTGTTTTTAAGCTACAGGTTGTGCAACATTCTCAACTTTTGTATGTTTGCAATAAAAGCTAGAAAGAAAACTAAATGATAGGATATTAAAGTAAAATATGAAAAAATGCTTTGAGGATAAAACAAAAATTGGTAGTAACTGACTCACTGTACTTTTATTCTTGTATCATGACAATATAGATTTTACTGTACATTCTTTAATCAAACTTCATCTCCTTAATTATCTCCCTTTTGATTGTTTGATTGTTGGTTGCTTTACGTTCAGTGTTGTCACCCTTCTGAATCAAAGTTTTTAAATTTTTAAATCAATCAACAAAAATTTTTATTTGTAAAAAAATTTAAAAATTTAAAAAATTAAACGTACAGCATATGATTTGTATTTAACTTTGAGAGGCTGTATTGATTTGTTAACTAGAATCCTTTTCTATTGTTAAATACTGGCACAGATTTCACTGACCATTACAACTCCCATGTCTGACCTACCCTGATAAAAAACATATTCATATCTGTAATAGGCTGAATATTCTAAAAAGGTCAAATTTAAGAAGTAAAAGCAAGCTCAATGGTAAGGACGTTTTATTTGCTTCCTGACATGACCTTATTTTACCCTTTCTGTATGATTGTAAATGAACATTAAAACTCAGAACTGTCATTGTTAACATATAAAAACATTGGAAAAATGTCATTAAATTGTCAGCCAGGTAAAAAATTCTCTTTAGCACAAAATCACCTGGATTAACTTTTGTTGTCCTTAAGTTTTTGATTGTGCCCATGTTATTATTGAACAATAAAATTTATTCTGTCTCAAAGCCTGATACAAAAAATACTTTAAATGTTTGTTAATTTGTAGCAAATGCTGTTTATTATTGATAATGTTGTTAATTGATGGAAACTATAATTGTTGGGAATTATGCAAATTATGAGTACTAAATTCTAAATTATAGAGGTGAAATACTAATCAAATATTAACTCTACAAAATAATGGATTTTTGTTCAGATATGGTATTAAAAACATGGTCTTTTTCTCAATTATTCCTTTTAAATTTAAAGTTTTGAAATATATTTCTATAACCAGTACATTGCTTTTTTATTGAGACACACATCAATATGTTATTTCAAATTGGTGGTCAATATAAAAACAAGGAGATGTGTTTGATTGCCAATGAGACAACTATCTACCAAAATTCAAATAAAGTGAATGTAAGCAGATATAGGCAACCGTACGACGTTCAACAATGAGAAAAACCTATACCGTATAGTCTGGTATAAACAGCCCTGACATGAAAGATATGAAACAATTCAATTGAGAAAACTGAGGGCCTAATTCATAACTAAACAATTTACAAAAAACAAATATGACAGACATGAACCAACAACAACAACTGAACTACAGGCTCCTGACTTGGGATAGGCACATAAAGAATGTGGCTGGGTTAAACATGTTTGTGAGCGCTCACACCCTCCCCCACCTCTCCCAAATCTGGGACAGTAGGGTTACACCACAACATAATAACAAACAATAAAAATCAGTTGAAAAGAGTTTAACTCATCAGATCTATACAAAGTCAGTCTGTTTATGCATGTTCACTTTGTCTGTACATCCATTACTAATGGTATCAACTCAGTACCTTGAGTAATTATTGGAGTAAAAAGACGATGTTATATTGGTTTCTTTCCCCTGTCACTTGAAGGTGTTTAATGAACAAGGTTGGAATCTCTAGTAAAAGACAAGGTCAAAAACATGGTATAAAATTGCAGGACCCAAGATTCAAGTTTATGAAGGGTTTCTGTTCTATATCAAGAATACTTTTAGAATACTTTGCATGAATGTTTACCACAAATAGAAATGTGTGTTAGAAATATGGTTGGCAGTTTTAGCTTGAAGGTGAAGGTCACATTTCTGTTTTTGCTTCAGGTACAGAAATGTTTTTTTAATCATGTATCTTGATTAGCAATGCCCATTTATATGATTGTTCACCACAATAGAAATATCTGTCACACATGAAATAAGAATCTGTACCTAAAGGTCAAGTTGAACCCACTTTATGATTTGTGTGTCCTTTTAATCTCACCTTGTCCAAAGAGCCAAGTGAGCTTTTCTCATCACTTGGCATCTGTTGTCTTCTGTCGTCGTCGTTGACGTCTGTCCTCGTCCATTGTCGTTGTCAGTTAACTTTTACAAAAATCTCCTTTGAAACTATTGGGCCAAATTTAACCAAACTTGGCCACAATCATCATTTGGGTATCTAGTTAAAAAAATGTGTCTGATGGCCCCGTCTGCCAACCAAGATGGCCGACATGGCTAAAAATAGAACATAAGGGTAAAGTGCAAGTTTTCTGTATTATTTTGAAAACCACTTTAAATAATGAAAATCTGACAGGGGCAGAAATGTTCAGAATTTTGAGCTCTACCTATTGTGCATCTCTGTCAAAACTGTCAGATGACTTCTTATAGGAGTTATAGCCCTTAAAATAGAAATTTTACCATTTTTTTTTCATTTTTGCCTATTATCTCGAAAATCATAATAGATAGACAGACACTTCAAATAGCAAAAATGATCAGCAAGACAAGATCCTCAAATAAGTCAAACATGACTAAAATTGTTTGACAACTTCTTATTAGAGTTATTGCCCTTTAATGATGATTTTTACCAATTTTTTGTGTTCTTGCCAAATATCTTATTAACTATAATAGATAGATGGAAATTTTAGATAGCAAAAATTATCAGCAAGACAAGATCTACAAATAAGTCAACATGACCGAAATCCTTAGTCTACTCGTTTTTGGTCCTTTATTGCCCTTTAATGATAATTTTAACATTTTTTTGCATTTTTTGCCTATTATCTTGAAAACTATAATAGATAAAAAGAAACTTTTAAAAGGCAAACATATCAGAAGGATTAGATCTACAAATATGTCAACATGACAGAAATTGTCAGTTTACTCTTTATACAGTTATTCCCCTTTAATTTATTGATGATTTTTTTTCCCTTAAAAGTGGCCATATTTGAAGATGCAGGTGAGTGACACAGGCTCTTTAGACCCTTCTAGTTTAATTTTGTGTACATGTTTGTTAAATAAATTACTTGTCAAAGAGAACAAAAACTCCCATTAGAAAGCTAAAAATTATATCCAATGAAGTCAGTCTCCATAACATTATCACAGCACAAACTTTACAGAAATAATCATAATATATTAAAAGTATATATCACTTTTATTATGATTATTTCTGTAAAGTTTGATATTTTTAAGTGTGGTCAGAAATAATTTCCATATGGAGCTATAAGTTCATGAGGCTACCACAAATTGTATAAATATAATGTGTTTGTTACCAAATGAAAGCTTGGCAATTGGTGTTTAGCACTTGACTTCAATATTTACAGACTTCTGAAGTAATTAGTAAAGTGACAGTACAATTTACCACAGAGTGAACATTCTTGTTTATTTTTGTTTTATGGTTGGATGAACATGTCAGAACAATTATTACTTTTGCAGCTTTGTCTGCAAGTACATTATAATCAATCAATACTAATCTTGACTGTCCGTTTGTTTTGTATAATGGAGGAGGTTTGAATGAATATGTACTTACATTATAAGTCTTTTTGTAATAGTTGTATTCATCAGTTGAATTCCTAATATCTTTTGGACTATGATTATAACTATAGTATATAACCGTTCATACTCTTTATTTTTTTTTTATTGCATAATAATTTTCCGTTTGTTTATTTTAATATGTTTGTAAATATTGCATACAAGGGAAGAATTCAAAGGGGAACTTGTGACAATTTTACCAAACTGCTATGTCAATTATTGCAAGTGAATGAGGAAAGCATACTTAAAAATCTACTTCTTTAAATGAATCTGACGCAGTTCAGTTTATATACAAATACCAATTGTAAAGTCAAATTAAAGTTCAGGTAGCGTTAGTCATTTTTTAATAAACTTTCATTATTATTTTGTACTGCTTATACAAAAACTTAACTTTGTTCAAACTAAAATCCAAACTTTTCCCATAAAATTTACTTTTATAAAACAATATGTTTTAATTGAGCTTCAGAGGACATTACTCTCTTTATTTCTCAGTCAAACAGGGAATAGATTGTAAAGGATTATCTCCAATTAAATTTGATGAAAAAGATGATAATTTCTGACTAGTTGAGTAGATTGTTTAAATGGAATACACTGCAATAAGGTCCGTTTTTTAATGGACTTCAAAAGGAGGACTTACAGTCAAGTCACAGTCATTTAAATTTAAATGTGAGAGGAAATCCTGTAAAGTTAGTTAATAGAATTAGATAATAAATGATATATGCAAATTTAAAGTTTTTTGATCCTATTTTATCATCAATAAATAACCGAATAAAACATCTAATCAAATTTCTTGTATCGAACAGCTGTATAGAACCTCCTAACAGATGAGACACGGTACACTATAAAACCTTGTAATCCGTAAGCATTTCCTTGTTTCAAGTTACCCACTACACAATTGAACTTTTTTACAAAACTGAGTGAATTATGACTTTAGTCTTTTGATCGGTATTGAAGAGTGTGTTGTAATTAATGCAGATGAATGAATGAAGGTAGCTACAAATATTGCTTCATTAGTTTGAATCGTGTTTATATTTAAGCAGTGTTAAAACATATGTTTTCTTCTGTTAGACAGATGGTATGGCTACTCTCAGGTAGTTTTGCCTTTCTTTCAAGTAATGAAAAAACATACAAACTTGTAAAAATAACAGAATAAAAATGTCTTCTTCCTGTTAGATTGATTAGTTATTATAATCCTGCTCCAAAAGAGGGGGTATTCTGGTCTACCTCTGTTAATATTGGTTTATATCAAATAAGAACTGAAGTATAAGTATCCATATGTTGACAGCAAGGAACCCTATTGTTATAACAAAAACATTCAACTTGTGTTTCTTCCTTGAGCATAGAGTTTGATAATGTCAGATCTCATTTTTATAGACCACTTTTGAATTCGTGCACTTTCTTGTACATTTCCTACGTCACAATGTTTATGTTATTAGGACACAGTAAGAAGAAGTACAGAATTGATTGTTCAATGATGTAATTTACGCCGATTGACATCAGGTCAACCAGTGTAACTCATTCATAAAAAACTACTCAAGATTGGTGTACTTTCATCGCATACTGACTTTGCTTAAGTTTCACCTGAATGATATTGCAATGTGAAAAAAAAATGTAATATTTAATAACTTCACCAAAGAAAACCTAATACTATAAAATATTCAAAATAAAAGCGCAAAGATGGTGTAGCCTCAATCATGGATAACTTTTGGTAAGGTTTCAGGTTTCAGTTACAGAATGTATCAAGATATGCCTTTATTTTCTATTATCAAAAATATAGGTCCTAATAAAGGTGTGACCTAGATGTTATGATTCAGTGGTCATAATTTAGGTTTCAGTATATTGATGTGATCTCTTTATGTGAGATAAAGACTCCCTTTCATTAATGAATATGTAAGAATAAAAGATGTTTTTAATATAGGTCAAAATGATGGAGATGTTTTTTGATAGGAACCATATCCATTGCAGTATAAAGTTAAGGAGATGTGGTATGATTGCCAAAGAGACAACTATCCACCAGTATGTTGGGTAAAGAATATTGTAAAACACATATTTCAGATGATCTACCCATGAATCATGGTCTTGATGATTTAAATTTAATAACAAGAAAATTGTAAAAGGACTGTTTAATTTTCCTACAAATATTTTATAAATATTACTTATTATTAATGAAATGTTGCTCTATACTTTGATTGTATACAGAAATGAACACTAGCCTATCCTGCTCTTATTGACAGTCTTGACATTTTATGCTCATGTTTAATGCACAATATTTTCTTATGTTCAATGCTCATGTTTAATGCACAGCATTTTCTTATCTTTTAAAAAATGTAATTGGATATCTCATAAAATTTTCAGTATTTTTATTTTTTTAGAATTCATCCTTTTGGATATCTCCAATCTTGTCAACAAAATAAGATTGAATTTCAGTGAAATTGGATCTTCTGAATTCCATGATAGGTTTACAAATCAGATAAACTTGGGATTATTTAATTTGTATTGTGTGAAATATTTTATTACTTTTCTTTTCGAGTGTGAAAAACTTCCATGTCATTTGTCCTGGCTGACAGTTTGTGTAATTATACATCCTATCATGTCATCAATTCACACTCGCACTTCAAAAAAATTGAAAAAAAAATGATTTTAATTTTTATAAATATATATTATTGGACATTTGAAGAAAAGAAATTTATAAATAATATAATTCATCAGAATTGTAAGTTTCACATTGGCATTTATCTTTTTTTCTGCCTGTTTGAAAAGTTTCATTCAATTTGATCTTTATAGAAAGAATTATCCGAAAGTTACTAAATCAATGATAATTCAACCAACATCTGAAGACGAACAATTGGAAACTGTTTCTTGTTATAAAACCCAATTCCAGCATTTACTGTTGATTTATTATTGAATAGTTTAGAAGAAACTGTTGTAAAAATGAAATCTTGTGGTAAAAATGTTATCAAAAAATTTAAAGGAAAAGATTTGCCCCATTTTGGGGATTTTTTTAAGAAAATGTTTTACCACACTTGGAGAAACAAACATCTTTAACTTAAGTTGTTGGACTTATAATGTGATATTTGCTGAGTAATTCCCTGTAATTTATCGTTTTCATTCATAAATAAGATCTTATCTCAGACACATTAATGATATATTTTCCTATGAATTGCATAATTTCTTTTAATTGTTATTTTTTATCAGATATATTTAATTTCAATCAGATTTTCTGATTAGAAATGTTTCATTTTAGAGAAAGATGGATTGATTAATTGGAATTTTTCTACCAACAGAGCATATACTTGTTCATAGGTGTAAAGGATTGCATGTGATCTAATGATGAATTACAAAATAAATCAGCCAAGCAATAAACAACAAAAAACTTAGCTCATATCAAATTTATATGTACAATTTGTGAAAGGTCACCAGTAATCCATAATTTCATCAGTGTTTGTTGGATTCTGATGAAACTTTATACCTTACTCTTATACAGCCAGTAGTAAAAACACATGCTGTACGTGGCCAAACATGGCATAATGTATTGTAACATGTGTCGTGACTCATCTGAAATCATTTAAATCTTGCTGGGAGGCAGTATCCTCATAGAAATAAAAATCAAATTATTCTATAGGTAGTTCAAATTATCCAAGAAGGTGTTTATACATGCCCTTTTCAAGTAAAAAAATAGGCCAAAATATAGTATCGTTGTTTTGTGTGCATTTCCAATGCTCAGTTAATTTTCATTTAAATTTTCTTTACTGTACATGATTTTCTTTTTAAGTAAAATGAATCCTGTTACCTTATTAAATTATTAATATTTTCAGATCCCTAACTGGGGAAGGAAACTTTAATTGGAGATTCTTGTACCCCTTTGATTATTTGGTTGCTGAAGAGAAGATTGTCATTTCACGGAAAGAGTCACTGTTTTCTTGGGATGAAACAGAAACAAAGATCCCACCACGATTAAATTTACAAGTTTGGGATGCTGACCATTTCTCTGCAGACGATTTTCTCGGTAAGTAATTTTTACTTCATCTCTTTAGAGTAAGTATGACAATGTAAGGTTGTTCAAGAGCATTTATATTTCTAAAAACCAAGAGAATTAATCGTCAGTCCTCAAATTCATAAAAAGGCATGCATTTCAAAGCTTTGGTAAGTAAATGTTCCCATGTCCAGAATAATGAGGCCAATGGGAAATGCACTGACTTGTAGGAATATATTTTCACATTTACCAATATGTAAAATGGATGTGCCTTCCCCCCTCATTCTGGATGTGCCTTCCCCCCTCATTCTGGATGTGCCTTCCCCCCTCATTCTGGATGTGCCTTCCCCCCTCATTCTGGATCTGCCACTGCAGAATTGATGTTTTCGACGTTTGCTTAACTCCCTCATGATTTTAGCTGTTCTATTCAGGTCCTTTCAGTTATATTGCTCCTATTTATTTGAATATGTGTAACCTTCAAAGTTTAAGCTGTGATATTGTTTTGTTGAAGCCACTGCAGTTAGTTTGTTTTCCTCTCATTTCATGTCTTTACAATAATTTTTATAAGCCAGCTAATAACAAACTGTACTGTTATCAGAGACGGTGACAAAAGAATTAACATAGCCACATATAATCTTCATCAGCTTTGTCACATATTAATCTGAATAAATCTTGTCCTATAAACCAATGACTCTCTGATCAAGTCATATAGTGCATGATTATTCACATTTTGTTCTACTTTTTATGAACACTTTACTCAGTTTAATGACTGTTATTTCATGTAATTTAGTATATATTACTATAAGTGTTATAATAGTAGAAAATTTCTGGTACATTGTTTTGAGAAAAACTTGTGAAAGTTCAATCTCATTGATGTAGATATCATACATTTATCATACAATAATTTCCCTGATGTAGATATCATACATAATTATATCATACAATTGTCTTTCTGATGTAGATATCATATGTATGTCATATAACAATCTCCCTGATGTAGATATCATACATTTATAATCTAACAATCTCACAAATATAGATATCATAGATTTATCATCTAACAGTCTCTCAGATGAAGATATCATAGATTTATCATCTAACAGTCTCTCAGATGTAGATATCATACATTTATCGTATAACAATCTCTCTTATGTAGATACCATAGATTTATCATCTAACAGTCTTTCTGATGTAGATACCATACATTTATCATATAACAGTCTCTCAGATGTAGATATGATAGAATTGAGAATGGAAAAGGGGAATGTGTCAAAGAGACAACAACCCGACCAAAGAGCAGAAAACAGCCCATGGCCATCAATGGGTCCCACTAATGAAGATATCATATAATTATCATATAAGGTTTCATTAATATTTAGATATATTCAATGAAAAAATGAATACTGAATGAAATATGCAAGAAGGAGGAGGTCGACAAGAAAACATCAACTCTCAGCAAACATTTACTTTTAAGATCAAAAAAGTTAAAATAGTAAAGGATAACTCTATAATCTTATGTAGGTGTTCAAGATATTTGATATCAGCATATTTAATATTGACATGGGTAGTAGATTAACACTTTTAGTTAGATGGTAAAATGTAAAAGTAAGGGTTAATCTTTAATATGAGATTAGAATGTAGATGGTAAAGTGTAAAAGTGGGGGTTAATCTTTATTGTGAGATTAGAATGTAAGTAATATTGTGTCAAATATGATGACGTTATTATTCTAGGATAGCTGAAAGAACTTGAGGCCAATACTAGAGTGTCAAATGGGACGTCATTATTGTTGTGGCTCTTATTCAGTAATAGTGGATACTGAGACTAGCCACAATATATCATTTTGAGCTGATGCTGCATAAAGTAATCAGTGGATAACGAGTAACATATTATAGCATCAAATGAGATGAACAATTACTAGCTTGACCATAGAGTATGGGTCAAAATTCAAAACGGAAAGTCACTTATCAAATGGCAAAATCAAAACAGTTAGTGTCAAATGACGTTCTATTCATTATTTTTGCCTCTTGATAGCTGGACCATAGAGAAAACAGTAGAGTTAAATGGGTTATTATATATTCTTGGCTACTATAGGGATAGACCCTATGTTAAATTATATCAAATAAAATGATCCTGATTTTCTTGGATATTGTTAACTGATACATCCTGAACATAACATCTAGATATCAAAGTTTGTACCCTATTTTCATTATGAACAAAGATATCAGGAGCAGTGTTATTAGATAAACAAGCTTTGTTATTATAAAATACAAAACATATTTAAAATTTTCAACTTTGTTCAAGGTTATCCTGCATTGATAAATAACCTTAAAGAGGGAAATAAATTAGAACATGATATAGCTCGTTTTTCCACAAAAAGGGGCATTCATGACGTCATAACAATAGAAAGAAAAAGCATTTGGGGGTTGTTTTTTTTTTGTGGAAAAAGAAAACATGAAGTTATGGTCACATCAGCTTGAAACTTAGAACACATGTATTATGATGTAAAATTTTATGCCACATTATGTTTTTGACCCAAATTCCACGGATCAAAGAAACAGGATAGTGTGAAACCAGTATAATAATAATAATAATAATGATAATAATAATAATAATAATAATAATAATAATAATAATAATAATAATAATAATAATAAATTCTTTATTTAAAGAGGGTAAACAGAGTTAGTTACAATTACTAATCTTCCCTGAGGCCCTCATATACAATACAGTAAAAAAATAATAATAAGAGAAAAAAAAGCAAACATACAACATATTAACACATAGTCAGTTCACAATCGTATAGTCATGATAGTTCAGTTAACATGTACCATTAGAACATATAAAACAGTTACAGAGTGCATGTAGTAAATAGATATTATATACAGATCAAAATCATACATTCTAAAAAAGTAATAGTTGCAATCATTTCAAGACTGAATATTGGGACTGCCACAAGTATCGTTTTATAATTTGTTTAAAACAAATAGTGTTTTGCACTTTACACATTTCATATGGTATTTCGTTCCATAAAACTGATCTAGAATAAGCAAAAGATTTTTTAAACAGTTCAGTTTTTGGCTTAGGAACTATCAAATTACCTTGAGTAACACCCCTTAAAGCATAAGGATTATTAACAGATATAAGTTGAAACTTTTGAAGTAGGTACTGTGGTGCTTCTTTCCGCATACATTTATATACATGTAGCAGTAAATATATGTGGTATTTCTTCTAAGGTTCACATTTTTTGTTATGGTAATTTGCCTTTAAGTTATAGTCACATCAACTTGAAACTTAATTCATATGCTCATTAAATGATGTAGAATTTTTAAATTATATGCAAAATAATGGTTTTGACTGATTTCAAAGTCCACTGACATGGAAATGTTATAGTGTGAGCTGGTCATGTTGTCTTTTGGATGCATATTCTTGTTTCTGATTGATTGCAGATATTAATATGATGTTTGGTTAGTTGGTATTTTGGCCATTTTTATTTGTTATCATGTAATGATCAGTTACATATAGAGCATATACATTTAGTTCAAGATTAATTTTGGTGGAATACATTTCCTGAACTGCAGCTTCCATATTATATACAGAAACGAAATGACAAATTAATAGTTTTCCAATGCAAAACTATCAAACCTTACTTGTCATTTAGGAACTTGGGTTTCAAGTGGGAGCATTGCTGTTGTCCTCTGATAAAACACATATATATATTATTTCCTTATCTAAAAGTTAGGAAGTTTTATTTATTGAACAAAATACTCTTGAAAGAAATGTCAGAAGATAAATAATGTGTACAAAAATCATTAGAATGACCGTGCAGTATTTATTAATTACCAGTAAACAAAATGATGTAGAATTATTGATAGAATGGTGAAACAGCTGCAGGTAGTACAGAACTATTGTTTTATTATTACTTTAAAAATATGAAGTAAAAAAATTGATTTAAATGTTTAAAACGGTCAAAATCAATAGTATTCTTTCATTGTTCTGATAACCTGTATTTGCATATAACCTGCATATCTATATTCATATTTTGTATGTAGATATTAGTTTACATGCAGGTTGATGCTAAACTATTGTGAAATTTTTAGTTATTTTGCTTAAATACCCAGCAAACTTTTTGATAATGGTTGCATCTAGTTGTTCTTTCTTCAAGTTCAGGATAATTGAAAATTTTGATTAACCCATGCATTGAAGTATTCACAAAAGATGACTTTTCACTTTGATCTATCGTTGTCCAAGTAGACTAGATAGTTTCAAAAGTACTGATGTATTCATCCTGTTACAGTGACATTTTTTATATGAAAACATGACCAATTGATCTACAGACATGTGGTATAGGGAGCTGTCTACCAATATAACTACTGTAACTAGCTGTCAAATTTTATCTTGTTTAATCCTGTCAAACAATCCAAGAGAATTATTCATAGTACTCCTCTTTGTAAACTCAATTCATATTCATTTAAGTTTGTGAAATGTTGTATTTTCTCCTGGCAATCTTCCATTCCTACCAAGAAAACCAAAAGAGGCAATTTTTTGCTTTTACTTTTGTGGATTTACGTTTTTTGTTTCTTTTTTTCAGGGGACTTAACACTTGATCTTAACCGTTTTCCACGTGGAGCAAAGTCGGCCAAATTATGTACCTTAGATATGTTGAAAACCGATGGGTCTGTCCCACAGATGTCACTGTTCAAACAGAAGCGTGTTAAAGCATGGTGGCCATTTGTTGTGAAGAACGATGACGGAGAGTATGAATTGACAGTAAGTATGGAAGTCCATATCTATGATGATAAAAAGTATGGGGGTCAGCAACTGTTATAATTATTTAAATCTTGTGCTACCATAATTCTGTCAATGTTCTGATTTTTATGATGTTACTTACAATAGAGTTTTGTTGATATTTAATCCATACCACACACCAACTTAAAACAAAATTCATGGATGGCTGTTATAGTTACAAAAATATAAGTCTGTTTAGACTTACTCTCTGAAATAATAGGAGAGATAGATGTCTATTTTCTTTCCATTTCATTTTCTTGTTTCACTTTTGAGCATTTGTTTTGTGGTAATGTTATGTTTAAAATGAAGGTTAAGGAATTATAGCATTGATGGCTTTTTGTGATGAAGAACGATAAGAGAAAAAAATTGTTGTAAACATAATTATTGTACCTAGTTTTTATAATTTTTGGCTCTAATATTCATTACATATAGAAGGATTTTTACCATTTGTTAAGAAAAATTAAGAAATATAAAATGAAAGATGCAAAGTATTGTTGAACTTTGATACAATTAAATTAAAATTGGAATGTGTTTCTTAATTAGAATATTAGATTGATAATACTGTTGATTTTGATATTGAGACTCAAAAGACAGTGCATAATGTGTATACTAACTATTTTTCTGCTAATTCTTTATCCAGACATTTCAAGGTTTTGATGGTCTATATTTCCAAAGCCTTGGAATTTTTTTACATAAGCACTGTATTTGTGTACAATGTAAAAAAATGTCCTATTTTCATTTAATATAATATTAATTAAATGGTTTGACTTTGTAATTTGAGTCCATCTCATTTGATCTCTCTTTTCCTTGATAATTTCATTTGAAAACTTCTGGCAGTGACATGGTAAATTTAATCAAGAAGAATTTTCACAAAGTAATGACATTTCCCAGCTTTACAATCTTCCTCATACAAATAACTAATATTCTTCTTCAAAATAATTTCTCTTTTCTCTTTAAAATGACAGGCAATGTTTTCTTGGGCATTATAGAAACTCATTACAACACAGACAGAACTCATCAGAATTATTAACCTTCAGGCTGAGGCACCTGAATGCAGGTGTTTGTTTTCACCTGTAATTTGCTGATTATTAATAACTATACATTGTGTATTAGAGTCAAGTTTTCCAATGTTAAACTGGCTATCACTTAGATTTTTTCTTTTTTGAAATTCAAGAAGAAAATTTGTATTTTCTTTGTCTGCGGATAAATAATAAGAGAAAATAAAGAATTGTTTCTGTACATGTATTTATGTAGTCTATTTGCTTTAATCTTTAGACTCGGTAATGATTAGGGTAATATATAATCTTATATTAAAAACGAAAATGTTAGACATGCTTCTGAAGAAATAAATGGGGGGAAATTGGTAAACTTTACATTATGACAAGGTGGAGGGAGAAGGAAAAAAAGAAATCGGTAGATAAATGCCAGAAGGTCAAGAAATTGGGTTATAAAACAATTTATAGCAGAAAATATTTTGACAAAGAAACTGTTTATCTTGTTAAGTTGAATTAGTGCTTGGAAATATCAAGAATGAAAGAAATGATATGATAGAAAAAAGTAAATAAATGTAATATTATATTGCATTTCTGTGTGAAAATTGAGTGGTTACATTTTGAACATAAACATGTAGAAAGGTTAGCTTTATGTTCAGGTATACTTGCAACCCATCTAAATAAATCTTGAAATCAACATTTTCATTCCAGACTCACAATTTTTGCAAAACTACTATGCCCATAATGGTATGTGGAAATCTTCAAATAGTGGCTTCTGGACACATTAAATTAAAATGTTATGTGTTTTTGATTTTAAAAGCATATTTTATAGGGAAAAGTTGAAGCTGAGTTACATCTGATGAGTGGAGAGGAAGCTGAAAAACACCCAGCAGGTGCAGGAAGGAATGAACCAGACCCACTAGAAAAACCAAAGTATGTATTATGCTTAAGATAGAGATAATCACAGTATGTATTATGCTTAAGATAGATATAATCACAGTATGTATAATGCTTAAGATAGAGATAATCACAGTATGTATAATGCTTAAGATAGAGATAATCACAGTATGTATTATGCTTAAGATAGAGATAATCGCAGTATGTATAATGCTTAAGATAGAGATAATCACAGTATGTATAATGCTTAAGATAGAGATAATCACAGCTTTAAACAAATAAAAAGAATATATAAAAGTTTGGGTGGGGAAGTGACCTAGTCACAGTTATAAACTTAAACTACTATAGGAAGGAAAGAAACAGACCCAGTGGTTAAAACAAAGCATGTATGATGTGAACTGGAATGGTCAGGTAAATACAGTTGTATGTGTAACATGTGGCCATATTTTACCTAATAACCATCACTGCTTACATCAGATCACCTTTATAGTTTAAAAAAAAAGCAATTTAGGTCAATCATTTATTGATAATTAAAAATATAGAAAGCTTTTTCCAGAAAAAAAGGAAAATTGAAATTAGATATGATAGCCTTCATTTTTATATTTTTACTTTTTTTGAATACTTACTTATGAATTGATATTCTGGTGATTATATTATTGTTTTTCATGTAATTGGTTCATTAAAATATGATAGTGAACAAATTTGAAACTAATCAAATAAAACATGCTGGAATAACATGGTCCTGTTACATTCCATTATAACAATACTAGTTGTGGTGAAAATCCATTTGCTGGAACACTTGAGAGGCTTGGTGGTTGTTATCTTTGCATGAAAATGCTGACACATAATTTTATTATATAAATTGACATTTTATTTTTCAGTCGACCAGATTCTTCATTTATGTGGTTTCTAAATCCCTTCAAATCTCTCAAGTACATCTTATGGCACAACTATAAGTGGATGATACTCAAGCTGTTACTGGTAACTCTTCTGATTGCTTTACTGGTTCTATTCTTCTATGCTATGCCTGGTTACACAGTCAAAAGGATGTTTGGAGCGTGATTAGAACTTCAGTGACAAAGAGTCAAAAGTTTTTATGCATGTTTGTAATGATGGTGTTTATAGCAAGTTGTACTACAGCACATACAATTTTGTATAAATATTTTTTATTGTTATTATTTATTGTAAATACACATTCCAAACTATCTGTGATTAACAGGAGTTTTATTGGTAGACAAAGACTTCTGTTTTTTTTTTTGATTTGTTTGACGGATAAAATAATGATGATTCAAATGTAAAAAAAGAAAATGCCCAGATCTAATGGAAGGAAATATTTATGTAAGTTAAATATGTGTTCAGTTTAGATAAACACAAAAAGAAAGCTTTTTGATCTTTTTAAAGAATGTTTAATAATATGATTATGATGTGGATACACTGCCACATTTCTTTTTGATTTAAGAATTGCTAATATCTTTTTTATATCTATTATATATAATTATTGCTATGAAATATATTTGTTATGTGTATGTTGTAAAGGACTGCAAATTATGCAGTAGAAAATTAGAGATACAAAGTACTAGAAAAGATGATCTTTAATTATACTTGGATATGGTCCCACCTATTTATATTTGTAGTGAAAAGTCTAGATATTTACCGAAACTGAAGCATGAGACTACAAATATCCTGACATAGTAATGTTAATAAACAATCTTAAGCATTATAATTTTTACCAAAATTGTTATAAAAAATGCTGATGAGCTTAGTAGCATTTTTTTTTTCAGTTCAATGAATTTTGTGTAGACCAAACTCTGCAAAAGTAGAAACGATGTTTAATTTAAACTATTGTAACAGAGCATGCAATAAATATACCTTTGTTATTCAACCTGTATTTATCAAACACCTGACTGTAAGGCCTTAAGTTATAATCACTCGTATTACCACTAGGCCTAAAAAAAAATAGTAACTTTTCAGGTCACCTTGCAAATGGTTATAATCACTCATTGGGTCACCGGGACTAAGATTATCATCACTCACCCGGTCCAAGTATATAACTACTTGTTATATCACCAGGCCCAAGGATATAAATATTCATTATATAACCAGGCCCAAGGATATAATCAGAGTGTACTCTTCTGGTAACCGTGCCTAAAGTCATAATCATCCTAAAGGTCACCAGGTCTAAGGTTATAGTAGTCATGAAGTAACCAGGCCTAAGGTTACAGAAGAGATGAAGTCACCAGGCATAAGGTAATAATCATTTTATGGCTACCAAAGCTCAGGTTAAAGTCATCTATAAGGCACATGACCTAAGGTTATAATCACCCATAAGGTCATCAGGCCTAAGGTTGTAATCTCTTGATCAAGTCACTCATAAGTGACCATGCCTAGGGATATCGACACTCATGAGGTCAGCAGGTTTTAATATATCAATTATCAAGTTATTAGACCTAACATGAAAATCTTTCATCAATTCACCAGCCCTAAGGTTGTCATCACTCATAAGTTCGCATATAGGTTACAATCATGCATAAAATAACAAGGTTATGGTTATAGCTACTTATGAGGTCACCAGCATAAGGATATAATCACTCGTCACAAGACCTAAAGTTATAATCAATCATCAAGTCATCAGACTTAAAGGGGAATCACCAATCCTAAGATTATAATTTCACATAGATCACCAGGCCTAAAGTTTAATTACCAATCCTAAGGTTATAATTTCACATAGATCACCAGGCCTTAAGTTTAACCACCAATCCTAAGGTTATAATTTCACATAGATCACCAGGCCTTAAGTTTAACCACCAATCCTAAGGTTATTATTTCACATAGATCACCAGGCCTTAAGTTTAACCACCAATCCTAAGGTTATAATTTCACATAGATCACCAGGCCTTAAGTTTAACCACCAATCCTAAGGTTATTATTTCACATAGATCACCAGGCCTTAAGTTTAACCACCAATCCTAAGGTTATAATTTCATACAGATCACCAGGCCTTAAGTTTAACCACCAATCCTAAGGTTATAATTTCACATAGATCACCAGGCCTTAAGTTTAACCACCAATCCTAAGGTTAGTAAGATCACCAGATCTAAGGACAAAATCACTAATGGATCATGAGGTCTAAGGTTTCAATTTGTTTTGGAGATAAATGGTAAAGCGAACAGTGTAAGGTTCCATTAGGCAAATCAAGATAATAATATTTCCAGTTATCTAACCTATCCTAATATTCCAGTTGAAATAAGAACAAATGGAAAATATCTTAAAATATTGGTTGAATAGCATTATCCATTGTTTACATTGAAACTAGAAGTCCATGTACTGGATACTTTTCCTAGACCTTAATAGTTTCCCATTATTGCTGCATGTTCAGTGGAGATGAATTCATAACCTCTCTTGTAGAATTATGTATATAATTAGTCCAATCTTATGTATTGTTATCATAATAGTCCCTTCTCTATTCAGATCAGGTCAGAGAGTTAAACATTGTAAATATTATAAAGTTTGTACTTAATCTTTTTGAAGCAGATATTTTCAATCGTCTTTTTTGCATCTGGTCATATGTATTTTGAATTCAGCTGCTGAAATGAAAACAGTTAAAGAAGGAAGGGTAAAATTTACTGGTAAAGTTAAATCAGGATAGTTGATAATGGGATTCAATTTACTGGTAAAGTTAAATCAGGATAGTTGATAATGGGATTAAATTTACTAATAAAGTTAAATCAGGATAGTTGATAATGGGATTCAATTTACTAGTAAAGTTAAATCAGGATAGTTGATAATGGGATTCAATTTACTGGTAAAGTTAAATCAGGATTGTTGATAATGGGATTCAATTTACTGGTAAAGTTAAATCAGGATAGTTGATAATGGGATTCAATTTACTGGTAAAGTTAAAACAGGATAGTTGATAATGGGATTCAATTTACTGGTAAAGTTAAAACAGGATAGTTGATAATGGGATTCAATTTACTGGTAAAGTTAAATCAGGATAGTTGATAATGGGATTAAATTTACTGGTAAAGTTAAATCAGGATAGTTGATAATGGGATTACATTTACTGGTAAGGTTATATTCAGTGTTTTATGAAAGGTTTAATATAATTTTTAAGTAGCTTTTATGGAAGTTATAGTACATTTGACCAGTTGCACGAAGAAAACTTATAAGGTTGTAGTTTCTCTGTATATACTTGTTAAATCTATTGTTATATTTGTGCAATAATGTGATATTTTATAACACTTTTGTACAGGTTGCACTTTTTGTTGATTTTTTTCTTGTTTATGTACAATTTTTATTGTTATGAGATTTTTGCCTGCAGTTTGTCATCATTTTTTTTCCTGTCCTTGGTGAAAACAGTTGGTATCAGGATTTTTTTCTTGTCATGCTGGCAAAAGATTGGTATCAGTTTTTGATTGTCAATCCTGGCAACATATTGGTATTGATTTTTGCCATGCCATGCTGGCAGATTTTCTCTTGCCATGCTAGCAACAGATTGGCATTTGTTTATCCCTTTCCTTGCAGACAACAGATTGGTTTAGGTTTTTGCATTTTATAGAGCAATGGCCTAAATTGATTGAGATTATACCACCACAACTGGTGATGCACAAATTTGTGACATGTATGTTAAATTGTTGTATATACTCAGACGAAGAAAGAAGTGTTTGGTGTGAAGAAATAAAATCAATAATCTCAAGAATGTTTGTCATAAAAAAGAAAAACTGGTTTTGTCATTTTATAATGGACTTACTCATTGTTTGAATGATTAGAGCAAAACAGCTAGAACTTTACTTTATCAAATTCATAACTTTAAATTAGATGTATTAGCCATGTTTTTCTGTGAAAGAACAAACATGCACACAAAATTACAATGTCAGACAATGACAGTTAGATTATACTTTTTGTAACCTCTTTGTTTGTACTGAATACTTTATGGTTGTGTGATGGCAATGAGATTTTTTTACTTAATAGATACATTTTTACTGTAGCTATCATTGTCTCATTAATTAGTATAACACTTTATCATCATTTTAACTTAAATTGAATTTATATGGTCATTGCAAGTAATCATATTTTTTACCACATTCAAGTCCAAAATTTCAATAGCAATAGATACATGCTTAAAGGACATCTAACAATGTGTATGAAATCCTCTTATGAAGCTTTATTTGATAAAATGATAAAAATAATCTGTTATGAATTAGATTTATTCACTTGGTTGGCAAATTCTATTTCATAAAAAAATAAACAATAACTGTGTCCTTTTCTGCTCTCCTTAGAGTCACTTGAAGTGATACTCAAAACAATCATTTTTTTCTCAGTAGATTTATTTTCTTGGATGAAACTTGTATTTACACAAGTGCTTAGAATGTCCATGAAAGATTGTATAGCCAAATATTGAATACATTTGTGAGCCAAAGGCAAGCTAGTCATAAAAAGAAAAGCTCTTATATTGTTGTGCTGAATTTTTATAAATTATAATGTAAAAAATTGTGCACTTGGTAATGAATTGATGGTTTATAGAAAAAATGAGAAATTCCACTTATTCCCCCCAGTGGAATAAGAATAAAGACAAGGATTTTTTTATCTCAACTGGTAAAAATACAACTTTTGGGGTACGTAAGAACTTCTGAATTGTATAAAAATTATTTTTCAAACTTCATAGAAATAAATGCTGATTGAAGGTTTAAATTCTTATGTCACAACTGTGGTGGCAAGCAAACAGCCAAGTTTTGTCATTTACTAATGGTAGACTGCCTGCTATGACCTGTGAGTGACTATTGCCTAATGTCAACTATAATTTAGGTGGCAATTTGCCTCTTCTGGCATTTTGGAATACATTAAATTTCTTTTTTAATGCCCCCGCCGTCTGTCCCATTTTCGTTTCCGCACTCTAACTTTAGTTTGCTTCATGCAAATTTTATGAAACTCATACACAACGCTAAGAACCACAACAGGCAGACAGAGTTCAAATTTGGGTTGTGAGTCATTTATGGTTCTAGATTCTCCTTTTTGCAAAGCTTGAGCGGGGACATTCATATCCTCAGACACATTCTTCTTTTTTTAGAATAAGATTTGTTTTTAACTTGGTCTGATTCTCAATGACCCATATGAAAAAGGAAATATCTTGAATGATGATGAATGATTAATTTTTTTTCAGACCTGGAATATTTGTTTTCTATGTATCATTTTATCGTAAAAGGGCAGTCATTTTGAAGAAATAGATTTTTTTAAATTAAATTGTTTCAGTGAACATGTGAACTTAAATTCAGCACAACATTAATTTGAGTGTGTATTGAGCCCTGAAAGTGTTCTATCATAATTACCTGTTGTACTTGTTGTTCTTTAATAAAGAAAACCATTCCATAGTGTTTTATTTTATTATGACCATACTGTAGTATAGAAAGTATCTATACTTATATTATAATGTCATTCTAGATTTGTTAAATCTTCAGTATTACATAAATATAGTACTGGCTCATTTTTTTACAAGAACAAGTTGTTTACGTCTGCAAGGGACTGTCAACAAATGTTCAATTCAAATATTTTTATGCTGCCTCCTTGGGCACAAAACTATTTTCTTTGACTGTAATAGTATTGTTTTGTATGAATAAAGCAATATGTGGGATATATATCAATGAGACAGCAACCTGATAATTAAAACAAACAAAGAAACGACATCAAGAGAGCATTACAGTCTTCCTCAACAGACTGGTGTCGATATCATCAAGATTCTATTAAATTGTGAATAAATTAAACAAACTCAAAGTTAATCACCAAACTTAAAAGATAAATGCTAAGGGTGGGTGGTTGAGCTCTCACAACCATGTTTAACCCCGCCACATTCTATATTCTATATGTGCCTGTCCCAATCAGGAGCATGTAAATCAGTGGTTCTCATTGGTTGCTGTCAGTCATATGTGTTTTTTGTTTATTTTTTTGTCATAATCAGGCCACTGGTTTTTCCTTTGAATCGTTTCACATTTTGTCATTTCAGTGGCTTTTACAGCTGACTATACAGTATGGAAAATGAGGTCAAGATCACATGAACACTACAAGCAAGACATGTACACCTTACAATCATTCTATACACCAAATATAGTTGACCTATTGCTTATAGTGTCCGAGAAACAGACATAACCACAAAAAAATAAACATAGACCAATGAACCATTAAATGAGGTCAAGGTAAGATCAAACCTGCCAGACACAACCTGTACACCAAATATAGTTGACCTATTGCTGAGGTAGACCAAACCATGAAAACTTAACATTGACCTATGAACCAAGAAAATATGAAGTCTGTAAGACTGACATGTACATATTACAATCATTGCGAACATGATTATCAAACTTGAATCTTGCTCACTGATAAAATTGAGAATGGAAATGGATGAAATAAAGTCAAGGTCATATGAATCCTACCTGATGGACATGGAACCCTTGCAAAGAACCCATATACCAAATAAAGTCCTATTACTCATATGTGAGAGACAAAAAAATTATACTGTTATTGTTACGCAGTGGCTGAAACATGAAAATGAGGTCAAGGACAATGAAAACATGATGGATGGAAAATTTGTACCATAAGGCATCTGTATACACTGTATGAAGCATCAAGGTCTTCAACATCCTTAAATGTAAAGCTTTATGCAAAAAGCTAAGAAGACAACTCTAAAATGACTTTAAAAGATCACAAAAACAAAAGTGCGAACAAAAAAAACCAACATTATATGGTATCTGAGAAAGAATGATCATATATACTGAAAGTAAGCTCAAGTATCATACTTAACCTGAGTTTGTTTAAATCTATATAAAAACAAGGAGATTTGATGTGATTGCAAATAAGACAACTTTCCACAGAGAACAAATGACGAAAATGTAAGCAAGTATAGATCATGGTACAGCCTTCATAAATGAGAAAGCCCATACTGTATAGTCAGTAGTGTTTTTATACGCCCGTTTACGGGACGTATTATGGTTGTGATCTGTCAGACACCTACTTCATGTTTGCTGATACTTGGAGTTATGAATGGAGGTATGCCTAGTAGGACAAAGTGTGCTACTAGGCATATCATAAGTTTTCATGGTTTACCTCAGCAAAGCTATAAAAAGCCAGACATGAAAAATTAGAAACAATTCAAACGAGAAAACTAAGAGCCTAATGTATAACAACCCATTGACCTAGTTAGTATCAGAACAGCTGTAATGTTCATATCACAGTATACTTTTTTTTTAAATCAGAGTGAGGCTGATACAGACTGTCAATCTTTTCTGATAGACAGAAATCACAACTTACTTTTTTTCTTTTTGCAGTTTTTTTTGTGGATAATTTCATGGTGAATAATAATACCTAACAAAGAAATGAAAATACCAAGAGAAATATTAAAAGAATGGATAAGGTTAAGTTTTGTTGCTGTACTACTGATGTTTACTATATATTTCCATGCATATTAACTTTAAGATGATTCTAAGTTTTACATGTCCAACTGGCAAGGTTAATCTGACCTTAACTTCATTTTCATGGTTCATTGGTGATAACTGTTAAGTTTGCATGGTTATGTATGATTCTCAGATACTATAAGCAATAGGTCAACTGTATTTTATGTATAGAATTATGGTAAGGTGTACATGTCAGTCTATCAGGGTTCATAGACTCTGACCTAATTTTCTTGGATTATTAATGGTATTAAGTTTAAATGATATCTTAGTAAGACTTAAGTCAGGATCAAAGAAAATGGGCCAAGACTCCCCCATCCCTCTTTAAGTCAATTTTTTGGTTTTTTTTTAGTACATTTTTCTTATCTTTGATTGTCTTTATTTTGCCTGCTGGACCAAATTACCTCTTTTTAAAATTCTGGACCGTAAGGACTTTCAACAAAATTTCCTTTATGATTGGTAAAGCAGGTGATATATATCACTCTTGTTGAAATTATAACAAGAATGTGCACACTTTGTCCTACTAGGCATACCTCCATTCATAACTCCAAGTATCAGCAAACATGAAGTAGGTGTCTGACAGATCACAAAAACACTTACACATTACAAGTCATAACTGTCAAGCTTCAGAACAGATATGAAGTACTGGAGAAATGTGTGACAAAATTTAAAGTTAATTCATCATATTGAAAAATTCAAAGTATTGGCAAACAGGAAGAGGACTAACAAATCTGCAAAGTGCTCATAAGTTATAACTTATGGTCCAAGGACACAGTTATCGTCCTTTGGTTTTCCTTGTCTACGAATATAGTCCCTAGTGTGAACAGTGTATAACTTGCATTTTTTTATACACTTTCCCAATTTATTTCTTGATATTTTATGCATGAAATATTAAGTAAGGGGATGAAATTACATGTTAAAAAAATTTGGGTGCTGAATCTTTATGTTAAGTAGTGATTTGGTCCAGTTAAAAAAGGTCAAAAATTAGAATGTCTGAAGCTGTCAAACTGAATTGTAACCCCCCTTAACACAGAGTTGTCAATATTTTGAGTTCGAGCTGGTAGAAGTTTCTATAATTTTGATATTATTTGTATCAATAGTAGTACACTACACTGTAAAAATCTTTTTGAGATAGAGCAGGTGCGATTTTTTTTAATTTGAATTTATTCTCTAAAAGAAATGCACTACGAAATAACTGTGTTCTCGGGCCTAAGAGATGAATTCCGTAAATGTAGATTCTGTACTTTGGCAACTTTCCTGAATGGTTTGCTGGTTTCAATTTGTCAAACTAAATAAAAGTAAAGCATTTACATCTTTGTTTGACAGAAATTCTGTTAAAATGTCCCTTTTTGGCATTATACGGCTAAATAAGCATTTTAAAGCAGTTTCCATTTTATGCCTAAGAGCCATGCTGACTTTCTATCTGACAGCATTTTATGTTCCTGATATTTGTGTTTCTATGCTAAAATCAAATTTAATTAACCATTTGTGAAATCTGAATCTAGAGAAAAGTAGATTATCACAGAAAAAATGTGCAGAATATTTGTATTTATGTCCCTGGTTAAACGGCCTGTTGGATGTATGTGAAATGTGAAGAGCTTTGTACATATAATCTGTAGTCCATCACAAATATTTCACTAAATCTGTAAAAAAAACACTTTACAATGATCAGTACACCCTATTCATTTCATATGCCACCATAATTTTCTTCTTTAGGATAGTAAGTGGTTCAAATATATGCCAATTGAGACTAAAACTACATGCAAGTTTTCCATTGAAAAGATAAAAACTGGTCATCAGACCATACTGTCTGCAAAAAAAAGTTGAATTCAAGAGTCCTTTTGCAATTATACTTCTTGTATCATGACATCTTAGCATAGAAATGAGCAAAAAGTAACAAATTTCCATTTCTTATAGCCTCTGTGTGCATTTTTATATGTAAATATGGGCTACGGCCTAAATCGACTCTATATAATTCTCAGTCTTACATGGCCTAAGACCATTTTATACTCATGTGGTATGCTTTTTGTAACTTTTCTTTACATTTAAAGTACATTTAATATATATGGAAGAATAATGTATGGTTAAAAAACTTCAAAAACTTCAAATTGGTTGAAAAAAATGCATGTTTATGTAAGGCTTCCCTTAATTCGAAAATCTCTATTTTCAGGCACAGGCTCACATAAATTTGACTTTTGAATAACTGTAATAAATCTGATAAATCAAATGAGTGTTCCGTTGCTATTAATACTTATTACATTATATTCAAGAGTATTTAAAAAGCAAATTTTTGCAATATTTAAATTTTTTAGGCCAAAATCTTGACAGTTGAAAATATTTGATTTAAACGTCAAAAATAAACATCCAAATTTCAATACTAAAATGGCCCTAGTTTCTATAATATATATCCTATGGCCATGAAACTTGGCCAACTATCTAATAATTTCCTAAGCTTAGGTCATGCAAAGTTTTATTAAAATTGGTCAAGTCTTTCTATCCTATTAGGTCCAAGGACACAGTTATCGTCCTTTGGTTTTCGTTGTCTACGAATATAGTCCCTAGTGTGAACAGTGTATAACTTGCATTTTTTTTTATACACTTTCCCAATTTATTTCTTGATATTTTATGCATGAAATATTAAGTAAGGGGATGAAATTACATGTTAAAAAAATTTGGGTGCTGAATCTTTATGTTAAGTAGTGATTTGGTCCAGTTAAAAAAGGTCAAAAATTAGAATGTCTGAAGCTGTCAAACTGAATTGTAACCCCCCTTAACACAGAATTGTCAATATTTTGAGTTCGAGCTGGTAGAAGTTTCTATAATTTTGATATTATTTGTATCAATAGTAGTACACTACACTGTAAAAATCTTTTTGAGATAGAGCAGGTGCGATTTTTTTAATTTGAATTTATTCTCTAAAAGAAATGCAC